TGGCGGAGGCGGAGGAGATGTACATGCGGGCGCTACGCGGATGCGAGAAGCTCTCGTGGGCGTCACCGACTCGCGTAGAGTCTCTAAAGGAGTCGTTGTTGTCCGTACGCCAACAGCTGAACGGCCTTCATCACGAACACGCAAGCGACGACACGGAAGATGTGGATGGCTATCCTCCTGTCCTATCGCCACTAGCTCTACCTAGAACCGATGGAAAGAATCGCAAAGCTGTCAGCAGGGTCCTAGACAGATTGTGGAAACGCTAGAGATTGTATTGATCTCATTTCTCTCCGATATGTATAGTCATGTCGATACGAGGCAATGTAAGTAAATCGATTTGATCATCGTATTTCGACGAGAGTCAATTTCCGAGAAGAGTCAATTCCCGAGAAGATACGGAGGAGAACAATAAGTCGGAAGGGCATTCATACGTAAAATAATGCGATTTGCTTCACCTCCAAAATCGGGTGTCTCACTTTATCTGATCGATCGACTGTAGCCCACAGTGTTTTCAAGGGCACCTTGTGTGGACAAGCAGACGAAACAGGATCGCTGTAGCGCATGGCACAGTCCGCGGGACTTCCCGGCCGCTCACCTGACTCAGCAGCGGAGATTCCGAAATGATATCGTGAACCTCGCCGGCGGCAGCACTCGGCATCGCGCAAAACCCGATGAGGCCAAACGATGCTGAAGGCAGCAATAGAACGGACTCCAAGCAGCCCGCCGAGTCGAGCAACGCTGCGAGCTGACCAGAAATACACTCACACGTAGCGATTCACGAGATGACTAGGATTTTACACGAGGAAGGAATCGATCACAGCGACTGCAACACACACCCGATTGCGATGTAGAGCGGTCGATCGAAGGGTGACATCCTAAGCTACAGTGTTGATACAGCAAAGCAAATTCATATCGGTGTTGAAGAGTATTATCGATCAAAGTGTCCAATGCTGGCTCGTTACATAGGGTGGCTCGCGACGCTGGGAGGGACGTTACAGCAAGCTTCCGGATGATATGATAGCACGAAGAATGGACAATGATATAATTTCTTGGGTTTGACTGACTTTGGAGTCGCCTGTCGCTATGACTACTCAAGACCCGCCTAGGTTGCTCCTCTAACATGATGCCAGCAGACGTTTTTGATGACAATTCAACCCCAAAAATAGCCCAACCAATCTCGTATTAGTGATCTAGTGGTAAAGTACTCTAATGATACAGAAAAGCGCAAAACATCACCAGCGATCAGAGATGATAAAAAAGAAACAAGCCCAAGAAACGCATCAACGAGAGAAACGCCGGATCCGAAAGTTGCAAACAACGCCGCTCCTAATTTCCCCATAGGAGCGCTGTGGAAGTGATGATATAACGCTAGAAGAGATTGAGCAGACTTCGCGAGTAAGAAACCAAGCTAAAATCTAGCAAAGGGTACTGATTTACTCGTCGTATTCATCTGCGTCATCATAGAGCTCATCTACGTCCCCGTGAGTCTTTTCAACGTCAATCTCATCGCCGTGAGTGATGTCGCGGGCGTGTCTCTTGCCGCCCTTCTTCTTGGGTTTAGTCAGAGTCGGGATCTTACTTCCAGGTGCCGTGATCGGAGCAGGCTTGGTCGTTTCTGGAGCAGACTTGGTGTCTTGAGCGGGATTGGAGGCCGGGACGGGAATTTTGCTCTGAGGCTTGTCACCGGGAGCAGGAGTTTGAGGTTTGCTTCCAGGAGGAGTTGGAGTTTTGTCTGCGGGAGTAGGAGTTTTGGGCTTATCTCCCGGGTTTGACGGGCCAGCCGCTGGTGCCGAATCATCAAATTTGATGAACTTCCAGACACCATTCACTTTCTGCTCAACTTTGACCACCGCAGCCCAGGGTATAATGAGTTTGGCCGAGACTTCCTTTTCGTCCGCATATGGATTCTTCAACTTCTGACTCGCATAGTGCTCTGCGACACTTTCCTTATCCCCAATTTTGCTCGAGTCGAGGTGGTAGACAAACTTTCCATCTTTGAATTTTTCTTTTGCAACATTCACGTCGGTCGTGGTGGAGATGTATGCGTCCTGGATACCTCCCTTGAAAGTGTTGGTCACATGGTCTCGCAATGTGCCTTGCTTTGAAGCTGGTCTGCCATAGGCCCGAGCAAGGAAGCCGGATGGGTTATTGGCCTTGATTGACTTTGGACCACGAGTGTCGCTGCGGAACAGATCTGCTGCAGCATCGACTTGTCCCAGGAATGAGTAGATAACGCTTAAAAGCGTGAGGGTAAGAAATGAGATACGCATGATTGCTGCTCGGTACGAAAATGCAAGGAGAGAAGGTGGACGCGCGAAAGCCGGACTCCTGATTTGAGAATCAGAGAGTCGAGTTGTTCCCTTTTATTGCGGATAATTAAGAGCGGTAAATCGCTGGCATTTTATAATGTCTCCATCCTCCGTCCAAGTGGAAGGCTTCATATCCGAGAAGGGCGTTAATTTCCGATGTATCACTTGCTTCGAGTCATCTCGCCAGATGCCGCCGCGCTGCTGGGCGACAGCATCCTCTGTATCAGTCTGCTGACATCATAGCTCTGGAACAAATCCCTCTGCTCATATCAGAGATATCAGAAGATGGGGCGGAGATTCCTTCGTTTTATATGTTGAGCGCAATATCGAGATCTCCGTCAGATGTGCTTTGAATCGCTGTTTGAAGAATGTAGCAGGTCTTTCGTTTGATCCTCTCGGCGATCCCCGGGCGCCGCTGAGCGTGTGTCATGATGTGTTCGATACAAATTGCGACGATGGAATGTCAGGATCGAGGTATACTTGCGTCTTAAATGTGTTCGAGTATATTGCCGGTACAGCTTGCGTGGGAAGACATGTATGGTCGCTCGCATAGGGAAGCGCTGGAGGGCTTGAAACAAACGGCCCCAATGTCGGAGAATTTGGGCCTAACGTCAGCCCAAACGGGGTCGATGCTGCGTAATTCGAGGCCCCACAAAGCGCCCCAATTACTCTCAAACTGGCTTGTGTTTGTGATTTTCGTTTCTTTTGTGAACGTCCCGTTATAAATACGCCATGTGCTGCAATCTTACCGTAAAGCTCACACATACACCGTTCTACCCCAAATTCCGCAGACTCATTCGCGACAATCTGTATAGTCTAGATTTCCACTTAAATCAAGAATAACACTTCAATCTTCACAATGGACCGCGTTCACGAGATGCGACGTCCACAGACAGTACAATGGGACCTACCTATCAGCGACGCCGACTTCACGATTCTGAAAAAGGGCCTCAGACCAGAATCGATGGACGACAAATGGTCCGTCCATCCAACTTACCTTCAAGAGAGCAATGCGTACAGCGTCAGCTGGGCCCGAAGCTGGACCGGCTACCCGCACTACACGCTCATCATCGCGCGAAACATCTCCAGCTCCAAAGGCCCCGTCATCGAATCCATGGTCTTCGAGTCTCTCACTCGTGCGGACAATAAAATTACCGCAGAAATGGCCAAGCAAGAAGTTATCTGTCTCTCGAGAAATGTACTGGGTTGCAAAATTGCTGCCTTTCCGCCTATCGATGGCGATAAGTTCTTCGTGTATCCGTTGTCGAACGATGCGCCGACTAATGCAGCGGGCTCTGGTCAAGATGAAATTGATGAGTGATGTAACACTCCGGTGCATCATGGATACTCACTAAAAGCGACAAATTACCATTAGAAGCCCCGAACCTGTTATCAAGAGGAAGAAGAAAAGACGAAGACTGTCCCCGATCAACACGTATTCAAAGCAAGCGCCAAAGGTAAACAAAAGTAGCCCCTCTTTCAGACCAGCCGATGGCATGCACCAGTCATTTGAGCAATGCTACGAGCACGACCAGCGTGCAAAGTAGGCCTTCAAATGGTATCCTCTCTCCCGATACATGCCCGATGCACCGCTATCCCTGCATGGGTGAAATTGAGCATACGCCCGTGCGATTTGAACTGATTTCATCAGCTTCACTGGGCGTCTACACCAGTATCCTCTTCGCCTTCAGCCTCGCTGTCGCTGTCATTGGTATTTTCGTCGACCTCATCTTCTAGGGAGAAATCACGTGGATGTTTGGCTTTCTGCTTTCCCTTGGACGACTGCGTTGGCGACATGAATGAACTAGTCTTAGGTGCTTCCTTTGCGGGCGCCCCTTGACCAGCTGGGGCAGCTTGAGCTTGTCCCTTGGACGAGCCAGCTTGTGTTCCTTGATTCGATGTTACCGCCTGTGTCGGCGGCTTCGACGAATCGCTCTGTTTCTGTCCCGCCGGGTCGACTTGTTCTTCTGGGGCAGCTTGCGTCTTTTGCTTCGATGAACCGACCTGAGGCGTTTGCTTCCCCGGTGCCACCTGTGCCGGTTCCTTTGACGGATCTGTAGCGACATCTTGGTTCGCCGGCGCAGCTTGCGTCGGAGGCTTCGATGAGTCGGCCTGACTCACTTGTTGAGGTTGAGATGATCCGGCAGCGCTCGCGGGCCGCTGTAGTCCGGCTACTGACTCCTGAACCCAGCCAGTGTCCGTCTTCCTGTCCACGCGGATTACTGCTTCCCAAGGAATGAAGTTGAGGACTGAAATCTCCTGCTCCTTTTCGAATGGGTTCGTCCTTCCCGCGAAATATTCCGCAAGATCAACTTGCTTCTCCTGGATCTTGCTGTTATCGATATAGTATACCCATGGTCGCTTCCTGGCCTCACGTATGATTTTTGTCGTCGAAATATATGAATCGTATATGTCAGCCTTTCCAGATGTCGATACGTGCTGCGCCAAAGTGCCTCGCTTTGCATCCGGTTTTCCACGTGCTTTACAATGGAATCCGGGTGGGTTTTCTGCCATGATTTCGGTTGGAGGACGATTGTCGCCGCGATACACAATCGCAGCTCTAGCCTGTCCCAGCAATGGGATGACGATGCCCCAGAAGATGCAAACCGCCGAGAGACGCATTTCGGCATACGGTAAAACTCTGTGTAGTCAGATGAAGGTAAAGTTTACGACAGCTACAGGTGCTGTACCGAAATTCGGCTTTTGAGCGAGGAACGCCATCTATGTGTTTCCAAAGTCATCACTAATTCATGATCAGGACCTCAGCTTCGTCAGGTGGTGGATACCGTGTTTGATGTGACGCCTACCTCCATGCTCTCCTTCACATCCTTGCGTATGGCTAGGCGCGTCAAAGACTTTGCCGGCGTCTCGATTGCCGCGCAGACGACTTTTCGAGTAACAGCAAAATTTGCAGGACAAGAACGCTCCTCGAAGTCACCATAGTGGGTTGGCAAGAATGGGCTTCGCAAAACTTGATTATGGTTTCAACTTGTTTCGACCGTAGTTGACTAGCCATGTTTCTTGCGAGTTGGAAGCCCGAAATGAGACGTTTCAACTATATGACTGTAGTTGATTCGCGACTCATGAAGCAGGCCTCAGGTAATTGTTTGAGAGTCTATGCCGTAGTCGAGTTGGTGTTTGAACATGTGTCATCCGACTCAGCCATGTTCTGGGCTGCATGCCGCATGCAACCTTCCGCGGCAACTTTATCATTGCCTTCAGTGAAGACTTGGTCCCAATAAATTCCCGCCTTGTTATCACTTTTCAAATTCCAGCACTCCGAATATCTAGCTGCAAGTCTGTGTCAGGAAATAACTTCATTCGAATTGTAGCAAGTTATCGCTAATGCAAGAGACAGCGCACAGCACAGTCGACCATGGATTCGCCCCGAGACATAACAGTGATGGCCTATCCAGAAACGGTACACTGGAACTTGCCAATCAGTCTGCTAGATTTCGAGAAATTGAAAGACGGATTTGAGGCCCATACGATGGAGGATAAATGGGAAGTCAAGTCGACTTATTCCAAAGAAAGCAATTCGTACTGTGCGACCTGGACGCGAAGTTGGACAGATACGCCATTCTACGCCCTTGTCCTCCGACGCAATCTTTCCAAGAGTGTTGGTCCCATAATCGAGTCCGTGGTGTTTGAGTCATTCACGTATGCCGCTATCCATATCACCGCAGAAATGGCGAAGAAGGAAGTAGTTTGGCTCGCCCGAGGCGTCCTCGCATGCGACATTGAAGCGTATCCGGAGATCGACATCGACGAAGTGTTCAATTACCCTTTGCAAGATCCGACGGACACTGAACTAGCACCCGAAGAGACTGCCCCGACTAGTTAACAGGGTCTTCTGCGTGAATCAAGCGTGCTTGCTTGCACTTTCTACAGTTCAGACTCGACGCAGGCTGGCCCTCCAGCCTCCTGGCTCGTGTGGCAATGAGCCTCTCATCAATACATGAGGCTTTGGTGGGCGACGCAAGAGATACCGCCGCATCATCTGGGGTGCGCGCTGAGCACACTCGTGCAGCATTCGCGGCACTAAATGCGCCGCAGACCGCGCCGCAATTCGAGACCGATCCGCTGCGCAAAAAGGCAATCAGGCGGAGATTTTGAAGCCTTCACAGTCATATACTTTGTCTCGAAACTCCGTCGAATTGATGTCCGCCAATTGACAGTCACCTAGAGACATGTTCCGACCAACGGAAGTGCCGTCGAACCCGCCTATCAGCTTGACAGACTTCGAGAAATTCAAGGCGGGGTTCAAGCCGACGCAGCCCGAGGATGGATGGGAGATCAACTCAACCTACCTCAAGGAGAAAGATGCCTGGAGCGTCAATTGGGCGAGGATGGCTTTCGGTCATTCGCATTATGTGTTCGTGATATTACCTGCCTCGGCTCATGGAAAGGGGCTATCAATTGAATCGCTCATCTACGAATCGCGCACGGCTGCTCGTATCAACATCACAGAAGAAATGGCAATAAAAGAGGCAATATTTCGTGCGCGATATGACCTGGGATTTGAGATCGAAGCGCATCCAAACATTAGCTTTGATGAGGTGTTCCAGTACACTTTTGACATGGTGTATTGAGCATTCATACGTGGTACAAGGGCCATCAATGCGGAACTTCGCCTCTGCAAGTCGTGTGGGCTAGATAAATTCACTCAAAGAATCACGATCTCAAATACATCTCTTCCTGCCTTTCCCCTTGTTACGTACGTGGCCATCGAATGTCTATTTGAACCATTTTCTTCCTTCAGCGACGTCCTCCGGGGCCACCTGGCGGCGACATGTTTCGCCTGGCCATGGTGTATTCTAGCTTACCCACCAGCGAGTCAGACTTCGAAAATTTCAAGCTGGCAGTTCAGCCACGATGGCATGAGAATGGCACATGGGGTGAAATCTACACGACATATCTGAAATAAAGCGAGGCATACAGCGTCCTATGGATTGGAGGAGACTATGCATGTTATATATTTGTCGTGGTCCCTGAATCAGCTGAAAGCAGACCGCCGACTATCGAGTCGCTCACGTACGAGTCTCTCACTGCCTCGCAGGTCGACATCACGGAAGAGATGAGGAAGGTCGAAGCAGTCTTCCGTGCGAGAATCGATCTGCAATGCGATATTGACGTCTTTCCATACATCGATCCCGATACCATAGATCTTTACCCTAACAAGAAGACGCACCGAAAGGAGTTATTTCGGGTTATTTGGATGAGTGTATCATGAGTGTAGCTGAATCTAGATTGGAGGAGAGGCGTCGCAAGAGTTTTGTGACACCGACGCGAAAGGACATGATGAATTACTTAGCTAATTTTGACACTAAGCATTTGTTTATGATGTTGCACCACTCTATCGTATGTGTTCCGCAAACCACTCCAACGCCAGATCATAGCCACGCTGGTACTCCTTGCGCACCACAGCATCCTCCAAATCAGCGCGTGCACTCATCCAACCGTGGATTTGAGAATCGAATGTCTCAACATGCTTCGAGACCGTCAACGCGTCCCGAAACGCCTCGATATCCCCAGCTGGCTCATCCTTGCTGGCGAGCATCATCATGGGGATGGTTGTCTTGGCTGCATCACCTGCATCGACGCGGGCCGGGCTAGATTGGACACCGGCTTTCCATGGTGTGTCCGAGCCCGAAGTGAGCGAGACCATCTTACCGCCCCAGCAGACTATGATATGTCAGTACAGGATCCTCCATAGAAGTTTTCTCGACACATACATCCGATGGCGCCCCAGCCCTGCACAGATGGATACCTGGCCTTCGCCGCATCGAGAATTCGATGGATGCGAGCGATGTGCGGTTTCGCATCTGCAATCTTACCCATCCAGGATCCCAGCTTGGCTTTCTTCTCCTCATCTGGCAGGTCCATCCACTCGACCTTGGCGGCCTCGCCGTCAAAGAAGTCAGGCATGATGACGAGGTATCCTGCAGCTGCGAGGATGTCTGCGCCTTGCCAGGTGGGGTCTTGAAATCCGAAAACATCGTAAATGAAGAAAATTGCTTTGCTGGCGTCGGAAGATCCGCTGATGTAGCATGATGTATCTGCAATACTGTGTAATGTGCCTCTGGCGGAGTATTTGGAGGCTGACCGTGAGATTGGAGCGTCGCAACACGCGGCTGAGGTATGCGTGTCGTTTGTTGAGGCCATAATTGAAATTTTACTACCTGTATGTTTGGAGTAAGAATGATTCGAGACTTCTTATCAATATATACAAGAAAGTGGTGGTGGGTGCTCGTCTGTTTCTTTTGTTTCCACTGTAATACGCTTCCCAAGTTCATCTGACGTAGCCCACACTCACGGCCCGATATTCGGGTGCAGATCTCGGACACAAGCTGTAAAGTCCGGCGGCCATGATTCCATCAGGGCCGAAACGGCCCCTCACAGCGCGGAACGGAGGCCGGCCTTCGGAGACACTGCTGTATATGCGCATCAACTTCGCTGCGTTAGGCGAAATGAACCCCATCTAAGCACGTTTGCACCGGTGGACATACGTTGGCATCCATGTGGTCATCATACCCAGGCCAAGATCTCACGGCAAGACAGGACTGCGCTACATCTGTCTCGATGACCTAGATCTAGATGTTCATACATTCAGAGTGGTTGATTGAAGTTTTTGCAACCTCAGAGAATGATAGCACTTCGCGGGCGCTCTGTCTCTTGTACGTAACACCTGACCAATGCCAGGATATCTAGTAGTAACTGTTTCCACAAGAAGACCACTCACTCGCTCACTCACTCTCCCGGAATTGATTTTGTTCCGCGACAGCACGTGACATCGCGCTGACTGAGCACGCAGCGACGCGCCTTTGCCGTGCCGTTCACGCGATCGGCTCGTGGACAGACCCCTCCTTGCACAATTCAATCACATTTGTATGCACAAATCCCAAATTGTGTTCGGCTTTCAAGATTCCAAGGTTCTTATTCACAGTTTATCACAGTATGTCGCTACACAAATATGGCTTCCATAACAGAATTCAGTGTGGGTAGTGTACCTCCGGCAGAGTTGCAAAAATGTCGCGATGAATTACTGAAAATGGCAACGACCTTATCGTCGCCTTCCAAGGTTAGTTGCTGCCGCCGCCGCCCTATCTGCATTGGGCCGTCTGTGCATGTCGGCGAACTGACGCAACGATCCTAGCAAGATCGCCGTGCCGATGCGGCATCCCAGGCAAACACTCTCGCGCGACACCTCATCGTTGATATATCAGAGCAGAGTCATCATATTATCGCTGCCGATGCCGCGGGATGTAGTGTTCCTGAATTCCTGCAGGACGACACCGCCGGCGCCCCTGCAGCGACATTGTCGGCGCTGTCTCCGAAGAAATCGTCGCATCGCCAAATCTCGAAATCCGCGTTGATGGGCAACATGGCTACTCATCAACCGACTGATTCAGAAACCATTCCCCATATCAAACTCACCAAAGCGGCGACATTCAATGGCCGCGAATTCGGTGATACTCAGCCCATGGAGTCGCAAGTCTATCGCGAGTTGACTGAGTCCATCGCTAAAGCTGCCTCGTCCGAGCCGCCAGTCAACACCAACGCGACAGACACGCCTATGTTCAACCACACGGAAGATTCGCTGTTGACTGAAAGGACACCCCATACTCTACGCCAAGGTGATACGGGATTCATCGATCTGGGAGCTGCATTCCCGCCAGCGTCGCAAGGCCGCAGCTCCAATGCAGACTTCGACGATCTACTCGAGGACACAAGCCCGCAGACTCAATTCCAAATCCCAGGGCGGCCGACGTTGCCCGTGACGCCGACAGTGGCTGGTCATAAACATGGTCGAGATGGAGAACTTTTGCCTTCCACCGCCTCTAGAACCCCCGCCTACTCGCAGCTATTCGCGGGTCAGCTCGGCGCGCCATTGCTATCTGCCACGCAGCTCTTCAATCAAACACAGGCGCCTTCATCGCCTCTCGCCGACGGTCTTCGTTCCGATCCCGTAGTATCACGTCCTTCTCCAAATCTTCACAATGTCGAAGTGACGTCTCCTCCTACGGTCGCGTTCTCCTCGCCTGTCGCCACGATGAATGTCCGGCCTAATACCTCCTCTGGCGAACCTCGGGAGACATACACGAGCATGCGCGAATCGCAGGAACGCCGGGCGGCACGGCTCAGAGAAGAACTGGGCCTTCCTGGAGTCGCTGAAGAGGAGGACGAGGAGGAAGATTTATTCGAATTGGGACAACCGCTCGGGGCAGGACGAGGCTTGCGGAGGGCGTTGAGCGCTCAGCCAATGCAAGATACATTAATGAGACGGGCGTCGTCAAAATTGGAGACGCCACATCACTTGCGACGGAAATCGGGGTCAATGGTTGATCTAGTGACTCCCGGGACTACACGGCGTGGTGAGAAGATCGATTTCGAAGAGGACGATGAAATTCTATCAGCGGAAGACGATGCTGGGGTGGAGGGACCTGATACTGCCATGGCCGATCCGGAGCAGGAAGGAGGTGAAGAGGGGGGAGAAGGTGACAACGTGGGAGATGAAGTCTACGAGAGTGATGCGAATGACGAGTATGATGAGCTTGGACAGACCGTGCTTCGGAGTCAGAGTAATATGCCAGACGAAGATGATCCTGTGTCCGACGATGGCGACGACAGGCCCAGTGACGACGAGGCAGAAGCTGAAGAAGCGGACGAGGAGGCCCACGAAGAGTCGGCTAAGGGTGAAACAAAGGACGACGAAGCATTGCAAGCGCAAATTCAAAGTGAGCATGTGCAAAGCCAAGGAGCAGCCGGGAATGATCTGTCAGATGGTCCCCTGCCAGCGGGTACGCAGAGGTCGGCAATAGCAGATTCACAGCCGAAGTCAAGTCGGAAGCAGCGACGGCAGGCTCTACCTCCCTCGGGACCAAACTCTTCCATTACTTCATTCATCCCTGGCTCGCAATACGCCGGAAGAACCAGTCAGGAGCTGGCCTTCATCCGGCGTGTCCATAGCGACAGCCAAGCTGTCAGCAGCGCAGATAGAGTGCCTAGCAGTCCTCCGCCGATGCCCAGCCTTAGTGGAGCAGGCATTAGTCATGGTTCTGTAGCAAACCAAGACAAGCTCCCGACCTCGAAGATCTCACAGCAGCTAGGAGCAGGAACTGTTGGACAAGATTCGCGGAATGACAGGAACGAAATCCCGGAGAGCGAATACACCGATCACGAGAATACTGACAAACGTCACCAAGCTATCGCCAACGATAACTTGCACTCAATGCAGGAGGGCAGTCACAGCAACAACAACAACATACTGTTCTCCACGGCTCGTACGCATGTGACCTCCCCAAGTCCTTCGCCAACAAAGCTTGCAGGCCGGACAATGCCGACAATTTTCTCCGCCAGTCAGATCAGCAGACCCAGTCAATTCTCCCCGCGCAAGGCGGCTGGCGTACGTCGTTTCGGCGACACCATGACGGAGGATCTCATACCCATGAACAATTCTGGTGAGACGTATGATGCGATGACCTCGATTATGAACGGTGTGTTGGGCGAAGATCATGATATGTTCGCCGCGATAGCAGATTCGCCGGTCAAGAAGAAACCAGTCAGGCGGCCTTTTTCGAAGATCTCACAGGAGATTCCGTCCTCCGTATCAGAGGTCGTGGGTGTTCCACAAGAGCGTGTTGCCGAAGTACCGGCTGCCAGTGCATCTCAGAGTCGTGTTGAGCAGCCTGCGTCAACGGCAGAGGAAGCATCAAGTCCTGTTCGTCCAACATCAAAGAGGAGAAAACCAGTACCTCGCGTGCCATCATCCTCGCTCAGCAGTGCGCCCATGGAGATCGATGAAACTGTCATCGAGGATGTTGCGCCCACAGACCACGTTGAGACTACGACTCCCAAGGCAAGCACTTCCGCACAGAGAAGTGGGCAACAGGGTGTATTCTCTCCTCCTAGTCCCGAGATGGCAGCGGTAGAAGAACATCAGCCCGGAACAACTCCCAATAGCGTCAAGAAAAGGGAGGACGCGGGTGCGCGGGCAGTCTCACAACTACTCTCATCGAGAAACCGCAAGCTCCCGCCCGCAACGAAGAAATTGAAGGCGATGAAATATGGCCATGCAGCTACAGAAAAGGCGAAGGGCAAGGCCGCAGCGACAAAGCAAACTAAAGCGGCAAGAATCCAGACTCTTCGACCCACGGTTGAGCATTGGGGGGATGAAGCGGAAGCGATGGAATTGGATGTGCCTCTGCCTGCGGTTGCTGACGAGGAGCATATTCCAGCTGACACTTCCAAAATCACGGGTGTTGTCGATGAGCCCGGTGAACACACTGATGAGGATGCAACAAATGCGGTGCTGGCCCCTCGACGGATGTTCGCACTCTTCATGGGCAGTCTGAACAATTACTATCCTGCGACCTGGATCGCCACTTCGATCGACGGCTTTAACCATCAGGTCAAATTCGATGATTTGACAGTCACCACTGTCTCTGCCAAACAATCCTGCCGTCTGGATCTACGAGTTGGCGATGCGGTGAAGGTCGATCTGCCGAACATGCGAAAACAGTCCTGGACCGTAGTTGAGCTCGTCAAACCCTCCGCTTCCGCGCAAACAGATGGTTTCACCACCGACATCTTTGGTCACACTCACGTCAAAGTGCAGGCAAGAGCCCCTCGGAATAGCCTATCTAACACTCACGAGGCTCTTCAAGATCAGGGGGTTATTGAGGAAGTTCCCATTACCTTCATTTATCTCACCCTGACCATGTGGACACCATTTCAAGATCGGCCATTCCAGATCCCTCAAATGGACAAGCCCACCTCACGAATGGAGACGCCCTCCGCCACTAGCATCAACACGCCTTCGGCAAGGAATACCCCGTCTGCTTCCCGTCTCGCTCGCACACGCGTGCCTACAATCAAAGCAAAAGACAAGCTCGCATATCTGCCGCGTGACGAGCCCATCAGTTTTCCAGTTCAATCCGGCGGGACCAGCGTCTTCAGCGGAATGGCGTTTGCCATTTCATACATAGCCTCCGACGCATCTACCGAAAAGGCCGAAGTCATACGTCTGATCGAATCAGGTGGAGGCAAAGTCCTTGAAGATGGTTTTGAGGAGCTGTTCCTACTTCCATCGGATGGCATGGATATGACTAAGGCTCATCAGAAACGGGCATCCATATCTGCTACGAACAAACACGAACTAGAAGCAAGTGCTGCAGATCTACAAGCCGAGGACGGCCTCTGCCTGCGTCCTGAGTTCCAAGGGCTAGGCTTCGTCGCGCTCATCGCAGACCAACACAGCCGTCGCGCGAAATACATGCAAGCCCTGGCTCTCAACCTACCCACCCTCGCGGGCCGCTGGATCCTCGACTCATGCAATTCCACCCTCAACACCACCCTCGACTCCACTACTTCCTCTCCCATCCCTCTCCCCTGGTCCCGATACCTCCTCGCCTCAGGCGAAAGCAATTTCCTCTCGGGCGCCGTCCGCTCACGCACGCTCACGCCATATCTACCCAGCGATATCCCCAAAGCAAATCTCGCATCCGCCATCGCTCGCCGGAACCGCCTTTTGAGAAATGAGGGCCTCCTCATGGTTGCGCCTAAGAAAGGCACTGCCAACTGGGAGAAGAGAAAGACCTTTGTCTTCCTTACGCTAGCTCTGGGAGCGGGCAGGGTCAAGCGGGTTGCCGATGTCAAGGAGGCGAAAGCGCTCCTTGATGAAGATGACGACGACGCTGAGTGGAAGTGGGTTTATGTCGATAGTGCGATGGGTGAGGCGAGCAGGGTTTTGTTCGGGAAGGATTTCGCCGGTGCTGCTGGCGGCGCTGGACAGGGCAAGAAGAGGAAGAGAGCGGGCAATGATGGCGCTGCGGGTGTTGGGAAAGAGGGCAATCTGATGTCGTGTTCCGATGGCAGGGTCAAGTTGGTCAACGATGAGTTTGTGGTGCAGAGTTTGATTTTGGGAGATCTGGTGGAGTAGCGACATCATTTGCTGTTCATCGGTGTTATGTTCAGGAGGCTTCCCAGTGGAATCGGTGTTGTATCATAAAGCATCGTTACTTGCTGTCCGAGGCAGCAGGAATGATTGGCCGGCCTTTCAAAGTAGTAATAACTGGTCGACTGCGGGGGCAAAAGACCCGTGAGCTTCCTTACTGATACATTTCCTCATCGCTTGCTCTATCTATACAAGGAAGATGCAATAATACAACAGTTTGAACAGTGGCCGTCATGCCTTGACGCTCTGGCTATACACATTCTCCATTATTACTCCAGGTGACAATCATCATCTCAAACCCAAAGGCCGTATTATCCTCTCCCTCACCACCCTCGTCGCGATCTCTCCGCCCTGCTTCAGCACTAATGCACCCACCATGCTATACATCGCGTGTGCCATGATAAGGTCCTGTCCCGAAGACTCGAGACTATCCGATTTACGCGGCTTCCACCGGACGGCTTGAGGGATCTTATATGTGTCAGCCAATCTCGCGAGCCGGGATTTCTCCAGAATGGAAGATTTGGCTCCTTCCGAGACGTTCTCGAGACCGTGGAGGGCCGGGTGTGAAAAGACGTCTTCGATTGGCGCGTCCCGGGTGCTGGTGTTGGGTCGGCTGAGGAGCGCGAGGCTGACGTGCCAGTCCACGAGACGTTTGCCTAGGAAGGCGAGGCGGTCGTTGAATCCCTGGGCGCCGTGTTCGAAGGATTTATGGGTGAGGGAGATCCACTGCGAGAAGGGGAAGTTGAAATTAGCATAGGACAGATTATTTCTCCATTGACGAGTTCGACTTCGACAAACGAATTCTCCCGGTCACGCAGACTTTGCTAATTTATTTTTTGCCGACGAGATGAGTCTGAAGAGGAACATACCTTTGTCTCATTGTCCAGCAGTTCGCTCCCTCTCATATTCCCACCAGCATTCCCCACGAAATTATCATATGCCTGATCCACAATTTCCTGTTTGTTGTTCACACTCCACTGAGGCTGATTTGGAATTGGTCGCATGCGGATAGGCATCCTCATCCGTGGCGGAGTCTTTTGCCATCGTGGGAGGTCCGCAGCGACATCACGAAGCGCATCATGTTCTTGTTGCTGCCGGAGCACAGCGCTGTTCGCCAATGTACGGATCGCATTAGGTGATGTTCGTGATCGGATTGATCGTGCGCAGCTCGCGCAGATGAACGACGGTCGTGCGGGATTCATTGTAAGGACGGTGGTGATGATTGTGATGGTGAATGATCGCAATGGTGAGCACGAGACTTGGGAATGTCAATGTTAGGGATTAATTTTGTACGGCGAACCATACGGTTGCTGTCTTGCGGAGTTTGGACCTTGGCTTCCCCGAGCTGACCATTGTTCGCTGGACGAATCGTGGTGTCAATGCTAGTCACCATTGTTATTGCTTCTATTATAAACACCGGTGATGAATATCCTCATATCTGTGAAGTTAGATATTGAGATATTGGGTTTCTTTGAGTGATTTCGCAGCCAATTTGGATGCTTGCCTTGTGAAGCGGCGACTGGCTTGGACAACCACATTCATTAGTGACAACTAGCGGCACGGAATAACGAGATCACCATACAACGAAAAGGACAATGTCGGCAACAACTTCATTAAAAGACAAGTTGACCAGTGCATTACCTTCGGGGTTTCAATGCAAAATTCGATACATTCGTACTCAAGCCAAAGACTGCGATGCTTTATTTCCAGCATTTCCAGGTGGTCAGCCTGAACGGACACGGTTGACCAGTCATCTCTTGACCGTCAGCGTGGATCCTGCCAATGTCCCATCAAACAGCCCTCCAATACCTGCTGGCTCCGCCGATGTTCTCAGCTTTGCGATCGAGGTGTTTGTGTATACAACGAAATACCTGACGACCATATTTGTTAGCAAGATCGATTCGACGTCGTACATTCCTCGACAACGGCCGTCACCGATTCAAAGGACGGTGACGGCGTTTCTGGAGTGGCTGAAGGACTCTCAATTGCAGAAGTTTCCTACTCGAAAAGTCGTCATCTCGCTGTTCGCGCGAGCACAAGCTCAATACATTTTCCCGGGATCATCAGATGATCGAGGAGGCGCGAAATATAACAAACACGTGCTGGACGATCGACAATTGATCAAATGGTGGGTTCGTACCATTGATCCGATCATTTCAAATTCAAAATCTTCGGAGACGACATATCAAGGTCATTTGACGGTACCAGGCTACGAGGGCAACGAGTTGAAACGATCGTTCACACCAACATCTGCAGACCCTACCAAACCGAATTGGCTGCCTGGCAATCCTCTCGTTGAACTGGCGCGAGCTCGTGGACTGCCTGAGCACGCTCCTACTCGATGTCTCTTGCCACGTTTCCCCGACGATCCCAAGGCTCGATTTGTACTAGAGCTAGATGAAGAGGTCGGTCTGTCTCAGGAGTCCCAAGCGACCACAGCAAGTCCGTCCAAACGCAAAGGCCGATGGACGTCAGTACGTGATTTGAAGAGTTTCTGGGACGCGATGGAGTTTCGACAAGAATGTTCATCAGGGCGAGTTGTGGGCTTTCTCTGGCTCGTTATCACGCCTCCGGGAAGTGACGATGTAGAGATCGATGAAACGGAGCCATCCAGCCAGATCTCCCTCGCAGATATGCTGGATGGATCGGCCGAGAAAGAAGAAAATCAACCCAAACAGCCATCACGAGATCAATCCAAGAAGAAAAGGCCACTGACCGGACCCATCGTTCCGCGTCCGCCCCGTCTGAAGGGTGGATCTTCTAACCTGTCACAATCTTCGAACAGGTCCACAGTAGGCAAATTGGATCTTGTCCGTGGCCTCGTCGTCACCAAAGATGGCTACGACAAAGCTGTACAGACTCTCTTGAGTCTCGACTTTGCCAATCTTCCTATCGCTGTCAAATCGACGAAGAAATGGATCTTCGAAGTCTCTAGCATCTGTGGCCTTGACGCGGGGGAGGATTTCAGTATATCCATCACAGGAACATCGCCGGTGGAAATCACAGTCGTGGCAGGTACGCATTCGTCGACGACGACAGAAGGCAGTGGTAGTGGAGGCGGCGGGCCGGTAGTAAACGATCTTGCAGGGATGGTCAGGAAGAAACGTAGTGCGACAACGACTGTGGACGGGCTCTCGACTGGTGAGCAAACGGGTGCGAATAGTGAAACGCCAGGGGTGAATGTTTTGGGTAGCAACACGATCAGGAAAAAGGCCAAACCTTCAGCATAGTACGGAATTGCAAATCAGGTTAGGGTTGATGTACAATTGTATTATCCTACGAAAAGCAAGATGCATTTCGCAACGGTCCGCGATGAGATGACGGACAAAGAGTCCACCCACCATCTGTTTTAGTACAGAGTGCACGCAACTCCTTGTCACCGTGCAAACACTGCCATCACTGCACTTTCTTCTCGTCCTTTTTCTTCGCCTCAGCACTCTTCGCTGCACCAGCGCCCGCGAACAACAACCTCGAGCAGATCCACAAAAACCCCACCAGCACGACGGCTGCCGTCGCAACAGTCACCCACTCCGCCTTCTCGGCGTCCAACGTCGGCACCTCCAGGCTCTCCATCAACTTCACGCCGCGATGGTCGCCAGATCTCGCTACTTCCCTGCCAGGCGCCGGCGGGACGTGGTAGTACAGCGTATCCGGCGCGAACAGGCCGTCGTACCCGAGGTCCCTGCGATCGAAGGGGTTGCGGACGAGGTTGAGACCCGCCTGGGCGTCGCCGCAGGCCCAGAAGACGGTCGGCCAGGGGATCTCCACGGTGCTGCGGCGCTGGCCGTGCTCTGGTTGAGAGGGGAAGGTCATGTAGCGGAGGTGGGTGGGGATGGTGACGGTCCAGTCTTGGTCGGTGGCTGTGGTGTTGGGGTAGGCGAGCGTGAAGAGCGCACTGGAGCCCCAGGTTGGGATCGCCCAGTCGGGAGCTTCGAGGTCCTCTTCTCCTGAGAGGGACTTGAGATCGATGAGGTTCTGGGAGGAGAGGACGAGCGGGTCGGAGAATTGGTAGCGGTCGATGAAGAGGGACGATGGGAGGGTCCAGTGAGCGTGGAGGCTGCAGGACGATGGCTCTGAGGATTGCGGTGGGACGAGAGTATCGGCAGGGAAGGTCAGAGAGAGCTTAGGATGCAGTCCAGTGGGTTTCTGGAATTGTGCGGTGTAGTGCACGCCGCGCTGCGTTGGGTGGTGACGAGCTGGGAAGGAAAAGAGTGTGCCGCCTATGTGTTGGAAGATGTCAGTCGTTGCGAATCTTTTCTTTTACGAATCGGTCAGGAACGTACTGGCATGATCGACCTCGCCGACCAAGGTCAAGAGCCCCCCAACGGAGAGTTCTTCCGGGTTTTTGGCCGTTTGTGGCTCCAACACGCCGATCTCGAGAGAAGTCCCTGTTGGCGGCTTTTCCGCCTTATGAAGCGGATACTTTGGTCGCTCGGTCAATTCACGGAGATCATGGGAAGTCCAAAACGCCGTCACCAGCATGAGATTCGCACTGGCGTCGTAGTCGATATCGAGGTGCCGCGCGTACGAAGCGGTCGAGAAGATGTCACATAAGGTCTCGATTGTCGGATTCTGTGCTCTTGTGAAGCAGAGGTGTTCACGGACAATTTCGAAAGCGGGTGAAGAGTGAACGAGATTATGGTAGAACTGCTGAGACAGCAAACGACCTGATCGTTTGTACAAGGTGGCAAGCTCGGTGAAAGTCTTGCCCTCGCTACCCGGGAGGCATTTCGCGCTCGAGTCCAATAATGGTCGAAGGGCTGCGCACAGGATCTCACTTTGTTGCCAGCACTAGTCAGAAGTCAAACGCGATTTTATAAATCAAAAATAGCTCACCTCGCATGATCAGCATCGCGATTAGTCTCGAGTCGCGGAGTAAAGAAGATATGCAGACCCGGTGGCAGTCGTGCCACTACGGGAGTGTTCACTTGCGATGACTGGACCTCTGCATCGTCTCGCGGCGATTCGAAGCGAATGTGGAGATCATCGAAATAAGCCAACGCTTTGTGGAACTAAAAAGAAAAGCGCAGAGACCGGTCAGCCATTTGTGAGGAGAATCAACAGCTCTTGGGTTTATCGATATCTGACGAGCTTGGGGGAGATCGATTGGTACACTCCGCGAGAAGCACTGATCCAACACGGACGGGAGAAAAAAAAGCAGGACAGTACCTTCTCCGGCAAATCCGTCACGTTTAAAGTCATCCTCCTCTCCACGGCGGCATCTTTATGGCGTGAGAATTCGAGCGTCGAAGCGGTGACGACGACGTCTTCCTTGGTGAGGCCGCTGTTGGGAGGTAAAAGGAAAGTCCGACGTTCTTTCATGGTTTCCCCTTCTCTCTGTGTCTCTCACTCTCTCACTCGTTCCGCTGCTTTGCGAAGTTAATATGAAGGTATTCTGGGCTTGGAGATTGCGATTGAATCGTTATCGGATGAGGATGTTGTGCTTGTTTGACTTTTGCGTGGGGTCCGTCGTTTCGATGGAAACAATGTTACAGGGACGAAGGGCTGCTTTCCTCTGATGCTGTTGGATCAGTCGGTCGGCTTTCCCTCCCTTTGTTCTGAAATGAGGTCTGTTGCCGATTCAATTCGATGCGATGCGATGCGAAGTGATGAGGCTGCCTGCTTCAAGCTCCAACCTCAATATGTGATTACTTGACGGTCAAAGAAACTTCTTGCTCGCAGACAATCCCAAGGAAAACCAAAACGCAGAGACCAGCATCGATCAACACTTCAAGAGAGATGTGGTCAACCCACACGTTGTCCTCTTCGGGGGCATCGCGCGCACCGTTTCAGCTCGTAGATTCAATTTGATATACGCACAAATTTCAGCACAGACATCCTACTAAGGTAGGGTGGTATGGTCTAGTGGTATGACGACACGTTGTGGCTGCTTACAGCCCTACAATCCTGTTCCCAGGAGGCGTATCATCACCTCCGTGTTAGCGTGGGTTCGATTCCCGCTACCGCCAAAAATTGGTTCGATTCCAATGAACGGTGCATGACGAAAAGTCATGACTCTCTTTTTTGGAGTTTTTTGGTGGTTTTTCATGCTAATGGAATGACGGTGGAGAAAATGGAGGATAGAGTGTACATCAATTAGGCTTTGAGGAGACCATCGATGAGATGGGACTCCCCAAGTGTAGTATCATTCATTTTTGTACAGAGCGTGCTGATAAAGCGGGAAAAGTGTGAAGCTCATTTCTCATCTACCATAACATTTCGTGAAACGCTCGCCAAAACATCATCATCATCATCTGTAAGAAAGCAAAACGTATGCAACGAAAGGGGACCCCATCTCCACCTCGACGATGCAAGACATCCGCTGATGTTCTCATTCGTCGGGTCGTGATCCCCCTCTCATCCCTGGCTGCTGCTAGGTTTATACATCATCGTGGTCAAATACTGCAGCAAAACTCGTCAGCCGGATGAAAGCCCCCAACGGAAGAAATAACGAGCCAGCCAGGAACAGGAAAGAGGAAGAAGAAGAAAAAGGGAGAGGAAGCAAAGAGGGGGGTAACAAAAAAAAGAAAGAGACTGAAAGATGAGTCAACGTACCTTCCGCTTGTACCTCGTCGTCGCCGAGATGGCCAGGACGCCGCCCTTGATGCTGCTGGTCGCGAGGTGGTTGATGACGGTGTGGTTGGGGATGACCAGGACCGAGGCGTCGTCCTTCTGCGGGGTGCCCGCGTTGAGGATGGACTTCCCGAGGAACATGGGGAGGGTCGGCGGCGGGGGGAGGGTCGGCAGCACGCGCGAGGCGCGGAGGAAGCGGTCGTCGTGCGGCGTGTTGTAGCGGTCCAGGTCGATCAGGTAGGAGGGGATGGTGGTCGTGTAGCTGTGGCGCGGCAGGGGGACGGTTTTGAGCTTTTGCGGTTCCGGGGAGGGGTCGCGTTTGGATTGGGAGGGCGGTTGTTGGAATTGCGGTTGTTGGGCGACGGCGGCGGCTTGTTGCTGCTGCTGCTGCTGTTGCTGCTGTTGCTGCTGGGCGGCGGCGCGGGAGGAGAGGGAGGTTGAGGGGGCGGGTGGTGGGCGTTTCGGGACGGAGCCGGGGACGATGAGGCCCGGGGGGGTGGTGGTGCTTTCGACTTTGTTTGCGTTTGCGCCTCGGATGGGGATGGGTTCCGCTGGAGCCACCGGCACTGGGGTGGTAGGTTCCGATACTTCGGGCGCAGCGACTTCATAATAATTCACGAGGGAGTTGCTCCAGTCGACGGTGGTCGGCATATCCGGGTTCGTGACCATTTCACCATCCACCAAGAATTTGATATGATGTGTTCCTGGCGGCAAGGGGAGGATCGCGGAATATCCGCGACCGTTCGGGTTGGGGTGTAATTTGATCTTTTTATCCCAGGCGCAAAATGTGCCCGTCACGTAAATCTTCTCGCCGGGCGCGTTCCACTCCATTCGGGTGGGGATGCGCGGTTGTAACGACTGGGAGGTCTCGGCGACAAAGGTGTCGTTGTCGCCATCCTCGTCCTCATCGGCATTGGAGCTGAGAACGCTGCCGCGGCTCACCAGGATGTGCCCTGTCGCATCACCGTGGACGAGCCCGTCGTTGATATCCTGTGGTGTGATGATCGGCGATCCAGGCGTGTAGAGCTCTTCTTCGATAGGCAGCGGCAACCGCGGCGGCCGACTGTAATCAGGCGCGGGTAAGCCATAGGGCGATTCTGAGTAGCCCGGTGTGGTGGGCTCCATTGTGTGTTGGTTTTCTTCGTCCAGCTTCGACGAAGAAGGTATCTGTGTCTGAGGCTGCGGAATGTCGACCGGTTGCGCCGGTGTGGAAGACCTCGTCGCAGGCGCACTGCCCGGTAGCGACGAGGATGGTGGTGGTGCGACGGGATCGACGTATGGAGATTTATTTATGGCCCGCTTGGGGAAATCGTTGCCCAAACCCGCAGCGGCGGTGGTGCTCTCCAATGCAGTGACCTTCGGAGTCGCTAAGGTGATAGAACGCGGCCGGGCAATTCGAGGACGATTCGGACTGGCCGATGTGACATGGGCGTGTGCATGTTCAATCGAAGTCCAAGTGGGCGCGGCGGTGGTGGTGGTAGAATTGATGATGCTGGTCGCGGGGTTGAGGGGCGTCAGTGGTGGTGGTGGTGGTGGTGCGGGTGACGAGGTGGAGAAGGGAGAATTGTATGGGCCAGCGGCGGAGGAAGCGGAGGCGGAGGTGGCCGCTGCTGTTGTTGAAGTCGCTGATGAGGCGGCGGCTGCTGTTGGGGCTTTGCGGGTGGGAACTGTCTCGCGCGAGGACTTGGTCGTGCCTGGTATGGTGGGCGATGGCGATGCTGCTGCTGCTGCTGTTGCTGCATCTGCTCCTTGCGACGACGAGGATCCCGGGCGGAGCTGATAATGTCCGCTGAGACGGTGGAGATGTTGTTGAGCGGAGGTGGGATTGCTATTGGGATGATTGTGGTGATTACCGCCGCTGCTGCTGTTGCTGTTGTGTTGTACGATTCCCACGGCCCGACTGCGATCGGGGGGGGATTGCTGTGGAGTCGAGGAAGCCAGCGTCGTCGGCTGGAAAGGTCCACTATTCCCACCATTCCCACTACCACCACCACCACCAGTACCACCGCCGCCGCCGCCGCCGTCACCACCACCTCCTCCAGGCGGACGAGCCTCGTCGGTGGATTGATTGTTGCCCATGATGGATTGGAGAGCGGTGAGTCCACGGGCGGAAGGGGAGTGCACGATTTGCCTGACGAGAGCTGCCCTCGTTTCCGCAGGCTGCGATGTGAGTGCGAGAGAGTGTAATGACAATAGGTAGGTGAGGTATGATGAACGGCCGACGATGAACTCAGTTGTAGGCGGGAGACCTGCAATGGACGCAACGCAACGCAGTACAGCACAGGAAGTAGCAGGTGACGGATATGGGAGGGAATGTGAAACGAATGATTACCTAGGAATGTGAGGCGATACGCTACATACCACCCAGGTAGTATTATATCATGCCGGTTCCCAGGCCAGGCCAGGGAGGTGGTGATCCCAACTCTCTCTCTCTGGGGAGAAAGACGACTGCGCGCGTGAGTGCTCGCTCCTCACCACTAGACGGCAACGTAATCGGCAGAATGTCATATACTGTTACAGGCATGGCAGCATTCCAAGGTTTGTTCCTTTCGTAATTTTCATGTGGTTCCAAGGTTCACATCGACCATGCATTGTTGTGTTATCCCTGGGCCCACCAAGTGACAGTATATATACCACGGACGAACAATCGAGTATGCCCGTGAGTGCTGCGGTGGAAGATAAATCCATCAGAGGCCACTCGGGTTGAGGTTGGGGCAGACCGTAACCCTAAAATCCCCCCCGTCGGGAGTCTCCATCTCACTCTTCGACCATCCCAAGATGTCAATCGATCCGGCACGATACCGAGTCTTCGTCAGCCAGAGAAAAAAAAAACAGACGAAGCAATAAAGAGACAAAAAGAGAGAAGAGCCGGTAAACAGGAGGAAATCAATCTCAAATGAGCGAGGGGACAAATTCTCTTGATCTTCTTTCGTACTGTATATCTCTCACTATCATTTCCTCATAAAAAGTCCTTTCCAAACGTGTTTTTATCCCTCATATCCCGCGTAGAAAATCCCAACTCTCACATAATCATGATGTCCCCATCAGACAGGGTTGCTGACGCTGCCCGTCCGCGCGAGGGTATCCGCCTTCTCGACCGCCTCGCTGCGCGCGTACAGCGGCTCGAGGGTGGCGCTCTTGTTCTGCAGGACCCACCTCTTGAACCAGTAGGGCGCGGCCTGGGTGGTCTGGTATTTCATGAAGGTGCTCGTCTTGACGTCGAAGATGTAGTCGAGCTCCTCGAGGGTGCGCTGCTTGGTCTCGGGCACGAACAGGAAGATCATGAAGAAGGCGATGACGTTGAGGCCGGCGTAGAAGCCGAAGGCGCCGGTCGCGGTGAATTTCGCGAGGATGGCCGGGAAGGAGATGGACAGGACGGAGGCCCAGAAGAGGCAGGTCGCGACCGCCCAGCCCATCCCCACCTCGCGGTGGGACAGCGGGAAGACTTCGGCCGAGTAGGTGAACGGGACGGGTCCTTCGCCGGGGGAGTAGAAGGCGGCGAAGAGGTAGATGAAGAGCGCGACGAGGCCGAGTTGGGTGGTCGGGTTGGGGATCAGGAAGCAGAGACCGGCGGCGAGGAGGGTCCAGGCCATCTGGGGGAAGGTGAAGAGGAGGAGGGAGCGACGGCCGAAGGTGTCGATGGTGTAGATGGCGGGCCAGGCGAAGACGAAGTTGACGAGACCGAAGCCGAAGGAGGCGATCAGCGCGTTGCGGGCGGAGGCTCCCGCCTTGACGAAGACGGTGGACGAGTAGAAGGCGATGATGCTGCATGGCGTCAGTAGGTGAACGGTGCGGATCGGTCTCGGTGTGACTTACTTGATGCCGCACATTTGCTGCGCGATCATGACGGTGAAGCTGGCCAGGGTGGCGCGGCGAACACGCGGAATGGTGAAAAGCTGTGTGAAGCGGGTAACATAGTTGCTCTTGCCGACGATGGCCTTTTCAATCTCGAGTTGCTTGTGGATGTAGTAGAGGTCACGGGCGGCTTGAAGCTCGCTGAATCGCAGACGGAGGAGCGATTGGAAGGCCTTTCGGTAGAGACCCTTCTTCATGTACCAGCGAGGGCTCTCCGGGCAGAAGTAGATTCCGATGGCGAGCGGCACGGCAGGAATGAAGGCGGACCCGATTTGCAGACGCCAGGCGATGGCGCCCACTTGGTAGACGGCGAGGTTGGCGCAGAAGCCGAGGAAAATGCCGAAAGCGGTCCCTAATGAGTAGATTCGTCTTAGATTCGTTTTCCATCCGACAATCGGGTGGAGCAAAACTTACACATCTGCCAGGTCATGACCAAAGCACCTCGGATTCGTGCAGGCGAGTTCTCAGCGGCGAAGATCGGGACGGAAGAGCCCTTGAGACCCATACCGATACCCATGAGAAGACGAGTGATGAAAAGCTGAACCCAGGTCTGCGAGACAGCGCCACCGATGGGTGTGAGGATACAGATGATGGCGGAGAGGAAGATGGTACCACGGCGACCGAGGTAGTAGTTGCAACTGTGAGCGAGGTGGCATGTTAGAACGCGTGATTCTCCAGGGATTTTCCGGTCGTGAGTCGTTTTGCTTTCTCATCCCTCTCTTTTCATGTTGTCGCAACCGACGACCTTCTCAATTTCTGTTTTGCCTTTTGGTGAAAGCAGGCGGAAGGGACGAGACTTACGGATCGGCAAGCCAGCATCCAAGGAAAGCACTACCCAGATATGGACCAGCATTCACGACACCGACCAGCCAACTGTATCGAGAATCAGCACCGAGCAACCAATCATCTCGTTGAGTCTGTCATTCGAGAGAGAGCCACTTACCTGTCGCGCACCTGGTTGGGAGAGTCGTAGTTCTCACCCTCGCCAATGCCGAATTCAGTAGGGAAGCTCAGGTTGGCACCGTTCGATCTGCATGAGAAAGGCCTATGTCAGCGGCATTGCCCGTTGCGTCGTGTTTTGTCCATCTTTCGCTCTCCTCCCAGCGATAGTGCTCTCGATGAGTGAAGACCTACCCAGTCTGATCCCAACCCTGCACCGCCGCACCGATCGAACAGATGATGATTGTCCAGTATAACGCCATCGGGTGACTCCATCGGTGAGTGACCTCCCGCCGGAGGAGGTTCTTTTCGTGCTCATCGAGCTGCTCGAGGGATTCAAAGCCCGCAGGGTCCTGAGCGACGAGGGCTCCCTTTTGCAAGATGGTGGTCTTGTCCTCGATGCCCTTGTCGCGGGCGAAAGCCTCGACTTCGGCGAGGAGCTGGTCGCGGGGAATACCCTCGAGAGGATTGCTGACCCTGTGAGAATAGCGCAAAAAGAGCTAATTAGTAAAAACGTCCTACATTGTCCAGACTTGAGACATGAATTTCAACGCGCGTGAGATTTCTTTTTTTCTTTGGCGCCGAAGTTCTCTGGTAAGAAATGTAGAGACGCTGTTTCGTGCGAATCCAATGCAGTGATGGTTGAGTTGAGACGATGCAAACTTACCTGGCAGCCAGGGTCGTCTTCTCGGGGTGGTGCTCCGCATGTTCAGCGGAAACGGTCGGCGAGATATCGGCCGCGGTGTGGTTCTTTTCGTCCGCCATGATGTAGGCTATCTCTCAAGATTGTCACGCGCGCGGCGACAATTGAGCGGTGTCTAGGTGAGCGGAAACGAAGCAAGAAGCCCAATTGATGTTCCGAAGGGATCAATGGGATGCCAATAGATGTCTGTGAGCGCAAAGAGGAAGGGAGGCAGACGGAGTGGAAGGAGGGGAACAGGATGCGCAAGACGGCCATTATATAGGTTCCATCGCAATCATGGGTATGGATGGAAGGATGGATGTATGCAGACACACACATGTGCGCGCGCGCACCTACATCGCTTCCTTCGTGTCCATCTCATCCCCGGCAGAAGATGTGCTGAAGGACAGGCGGGAGACATGGAAGCTGGAGATACTGTCCTGGAGCTTAGTGTGGATGCCGAAGCGACAGACAGACACACACACCAACACACACACACACACACACACCCGAACACACCAACCTGGATCGGGGAGAGGAAAGGAATTATTAGGCGGTAGAAAGGCGCATGCGCCGCAATGGGAAAGCTTTCTCTCACACATCCATCCTCATCCTCCATCCCCACAAACCGCCTATTCTGCCCTCCTCCAGGGCTGGCGGTGGGTTGGCAGGGATGAGGCCGCCGCCGACGACGCCGCCGACGCCATCCCTCCTCCTCCTCCTCGACCACCGCCAACATCAATGCCATCACTGTATGCTTGATAATTTCAGTGATTGCGTGGAATAATGAGAAGAAGAGGTGTGGTGAGTAGGACAGGCGTGTGTTGGTGGAGGGTGAGTGAGTGAGTGAGTGAGAGAGAGAGTGTGTGTGTGTGCGCATGTGAAAGCTCACGCGCCGCCCACATGCTGACTGCTTCTAGCTAGCTCAGGCAGGTATCTACAGTACTAGCTACTGGAGGGGGATGAAGAGAGAGAGAGAGAGAGAGATAGTGAGTGCAAACCTCACCCTCACCGGTGCAGCCGTATGGAACGGGCAAAGGCAATAAATTGATGCGAGTTTGCGGTCGGAGAGGGAGAAGGCAGCTAGAAGCCACACTAGGATCTGCACCATTGACTCCCAAGGGTGCTTACGACTGGCGACCGAAGTAAAAATACGCCTCGTGTCTGATAAGAGTCTAAGAGGAGAGAGAGAGAGATAGTGCAAGGTACCTAGGGATAGCTTTGGACTGACCCGAACCATACTCAAGCAGCAGCAACAGTGATAGTCGGTACGGTAGGAGCAGCAAAGCCGAACAATCCGATCGCGACCCGGCTAGACCTTTCCAGTCCGTTGAATCTCGAACACAAGATGCCCGGGATCATGAGGAAGTGGTCCCAACGCCGATGTGCAACACAACAATCCCAATCGCACGAAATAGTATGGCTCATAGCATCATCATCGAAACAACATCGCCAAGCGGGAGCGAGATGCTGTCGCAAGCGATAGGGAGAGGGAAAAAAAAACGTGAGAATGGTCAATTTAGTGCCCGCCATTCGGACCAAACATTTCTTACGGCGCAGGGCAGGGCCCAATGTGGGGACCCCGCCCTAGCAGCCTGCCCAGGTGTCTAGTAAAAGGCACGTGCAAAGTAAAGAAAAGCACAGGGACCCGTGGACAGTGGTGGCAATGGCGGCGGCGGCGGCGGCGGCGGCGTTCGTTCGCGGCGTTGTTTGTTGGGTAAAGACACCAGTGAAGGGAGTAACCGCCGCCGCCGCCGACGACGATGACAGGCAATGGCTCATCCACACGGTAGCATGCCCAGGTGTATACCAACGGCCTCTGTTGCTTATTTAGTGAACACAAGACACCGATTAGGCGGTTTCTGATTCCCTCATCGTGATGAAGCAGACTCGACGTCTCATCCGCCAAGACGGGACAAGACGTCGTATCCGTGGCCGGGAACTTGACTTTCTCTTATCGTTGCTCGCCAAGCCGGGGTGTGAATTATCATCACGGCGTAGGAAGAAGAACGGTCGCATCCAATTCACCGTCCTCCTCATCGGACACAGCATCATGTTGCTCCAAGTTCCGCGATTGGCTCAGATGGGCAGGGAATGCACACGTTGAGAACACACAGGAATTTCTGTCGTGAGACACCCATCATTGATCGGAGGCCAGATGGTGAGAAACGAGAAACAGACCACACGCGTGAGGAAATCCAGACAGGCTGCGAAGAATGGTGTGCACATGGGCTCGGGGATCGGACGCTATTCCACTAGAGTGAGATGCGTCGCACGCCATCGCCATGCGCCACGGGCCTTCGTTCTTCACTCGCGCCTCACTCTGTCCTCGCACTTTTCCCCTAGGAAACAGTAAAGTACGGTACAGTACAACAACAGCCGAGCACATATGTGGATGGGACCATCCATTGCCGGTTGTCTTTCGAGGTCTCCACGGGCTCTGTAGCAGTATCGGAAATTCTCGCGCAATGGGGGGACAGTAATCATGACGCTCGCAGATGGGGGCGGTCTATTCACGTGCTCCCATGCTCCCATGCCTTGTCACCGCTTCTGATCTACAAAGAGGAAGAGAGAGAAAACCAGAGTCCTCGTTGGAGGACACGTGAAGATCGCGATCTCTGTGACTCACGGTGGCGGGCACGCGACCACCGGAGCAGGGATGGCTTCGGCAGGGGAAGCAAAGCGAATGGAAAAAAAAAGCTCACCAAGCCGGCCACAAGAACGAAAGAAGAAATAGACAGGAAGGAAAAGCAAAAAGCAATTTCATGCCCAGCGCAGATTGGCGATGCGATCGTCGGGTGCACACTGTGCTGTAAGATGTGTGATGAGTGACTGCGGCCGGTCTCGTCTCATCTGCTCACCGGTCTTGTCTCTCTTGGCACAAAACCATTCGCCGTCTCTGTCGTGGTCGTCGTGGTCGTCGGAATGATTTTAGTGTCGTCGCTCGGCTCCACGGTAGGCCAAGAGAGAGCGCCTCATTTCGATTATTACTGCGGTATGACGACGACGAGGACGATGATCTGTGCGGGTGGCTACAGGACTCATGTGGTGAAATGTACAGTATGCATGTAGAAACGGGGCGCCCGATCGGACGACAGGAAAGATTGCTGCGACACACGCGCAATTGTGGGGCGAGTGGGTGCGAGTGTGTGCTGCCGCTGGTGGCGGGGAAATATTATCCGGGGATGGAGATTGCTCCACCAACCCCAGCAGGGCAGTATCAAGATCTGTATTCTGCGGCGACGGCTCGAAGAATTGGCTGCTACATTCCTCCGGAGAGTCAGCCAGCATCTTGCTTCGATTGGGACTTCACTCACGTCTCATCGCCTGATAATCTCCACCCGTCACTCCTCCGCAACAGGTCCGAACGACCTGTGTTATGCTCCCTCGTGAAGGATCGTACTGAGGAGGATGACTACGTATGAGGATAAACGCCCTTAGCGACGCCATGGTGGAATGCCACATGTAACACGCCACAACCCACCGCCACCCGCGGATTAGCATCGTACTGTAATGCTACGTTCCCTCATCAAACACGCAGGTAGGGCTTTGAGACTGCTGCGCGGTTCACGTTGCAAAAGGCGATGGGATTGACAGCACGGGTTGGGGATGGAAAAAAGTCCGAGCTAAGCCGAACGGACAGGACGAAGAAGGCGAACGGAAGAAGACTTTCCTCTCCCATCGACTCGTGCCCAGGACTTGATCTTGGCGTTCCCGGCCAATCCCTGCGTTGTATGCGACAAAGTAGAACTTCCTGCGGCGATCGCGTATCAATCCCTCCGTCACGAGACGAGGCGATTGAGGACAGACGGGAAAGCCATCATCCCGCCGCGCCAGGTTCGGTAAGCTTTTCTTTTCGTCGTCGGTGAAGGACCAAAGAGCAATGATGAGCGCGAGGGGAGCAGCATTGATCCACGTGACAGCCATTCCGGCATAAATCCGGGAAGTGAAGAGCAGAGAGGGAGGTTCCTCCGCCCAGCTCACACCAACACCGCATACAGTACCTTCCAACAGGGCCACTGCGGCGTGCGATCTCGAGGTTGTCATGCTCCCCATTCCCCAAGAAATCACCCATGAGCTAGCTAGCTAGCCACCCGGCCAGGCGGCCCAGCTAAGAATGAGGCGAAGAGCAAAGAAAAAGCTTCCATTTCAGTTCCACCATCATCTCACAAGGCAAGATCAAGCGGCTCCAGGCCCGGGTTTCCTGCCGCAAAGGGTTGGCTTGGCTTCTCCTCCCCGTGTGTCCTGTCGGGATGGAGCAACGAAGAAGGAAAAAAAGTCAATTCCGTGGTCCTCGTGTACGCCTCTAGCTTTCTCCCAGGCCGCATCTTTTTCATTAGTGGAATCCCCAACCAACCAAACAAGAAGATTCGTAGATGAGGCTCCGCATCCTGGGATGGGAGGTGCATGGACAATCGAATAGAGTTTCCGTTAGATCTCTGGGACGCGTCTTGGGATCAATGCAGGGTTAGCCTTTTCCTCTCTTCCCATGCCAATAGGGGACGATGTTTGATGGCTAGGTAGGTGATGCGGAGGAGGCAATAGTCCAGATCTAGACCTCCGGCGCTCTCCATCATCATCATCATTATGAGCCACCCTGCTGTACGGTACATATACACCTAGTAGGACCATCAAAGCGACCTGTTCCTGGATGGGCACGTTGTGATCGCGTGGCCCCCCTCGTGGACTTGGGGAAACGTGCGGCGGCCGTGGAGAGAGATGCACAACAGCCGAGGGAACTTCTTTGGGGCTGTCCCTCTCCCGCTCTTCTCTTCTGTGGAGGGAAGTCTTTGTCGAGAAAGGGTCTGGACGGAGGGGCAGTCCGAGTACACTTGTTCCTACTTTGGTATTAATCGCAGCCTTTCTACCAATATGCAATAGGCGGTCTTCATTTTATTCGCTATGTCTGTATCAGCAACTACTCGCTGATGTACAGTACATGTCTAGAATTCCTTCTTCCGACATTTTTCTGTCGAGTCGTGCCGCCAGTCGCACTTCCGTCTCTCGTGTGATTAGGGTTGGTCATATGTAACTTGCCAATTATCTTTCTGCAGGATTTGATGGCGTCTGTATCATTACAGCCAGCTCATCATCGCATACCTAGGTAAGCGAGAGGCGACGACGATCGTCTCTTCAAATACTTTGTATTCATGTCCAGGTTGAGCCGAGCAGTAACCACGATCGTCCGAGCAAGATTGAACCAATGACGAGCCTCGAATTTGGACTCGTCTATTCAGCTTTGAAAGGACAGCCCTGGAGGACTGCAGCTAAAAATACACTGGGACGTTTCATCTTCGGATAGCTATAAGAACCACCGCCGAGATAGCGAAAAGGACTCGACAGATACATCGTAACGAAGAAGAATCGATCCGATGACATTTCCTTATACATATGCGACCGCCATTGGGCTGGTCGTACTGCTCGTCTTTACCCGATTATTCAGTGCTTCGCGCACAAGGTCCGTCTCGAACCAAGATGGAACCAAGTCCGTGCCGGCAATGCCGTACTGGCTACCGATTGTGAGTGATACCGTGAAGAGCGAGGAAGAGAAACGCACATACGCGAAACGTAGAAATCGGCGACAAGAAACAACAACACTAATAATCTGTCCCCAAGATCGGTCATGTCCCGAACCTCGTCCTCAATTCCGACGGTTTCTTCAAATCCCTCCGAGACAAAATCACCGAAGGCATCGTCGCCCTGAATCTCGGGGGCACTCGACACAATGTCATCTTCACACCCGCCCTCACTGCTGCCCTCTACAGTCCCAAAGTCAGCCCACACGTCGACGGCGATGCCGTTTCCCAGAAGCTCATGGTCAGCGTCTTTGGCTACCCGGCGTCGCAGCGAAAAGCCTACGATGCCGCCATCCATGACATTCTCGCCTGTTACAAGCATCTCACCTCGGAGCCGCACCTGGGTAAGATGGCCGCCAGCATCAGCCGCGACATTCGCGCGAACATCACCGACCTCGTCACCTTCAACCCCAGCCTCGTCGACCAAATGCCCTGGGAGCGGGTCGCCCGAGCCGAACTCGTCACCACCGCCCTCGGCGAGACCGTCGTCGAAGCCGACTTTTTCACCCTGATCCGCGACTTTTGCGCCAACACGGCCATCCCCACCCTCTTCGGCACCGACCTCCTGTCGAACGCCCCGGACCTGATCGAAAACATGTGGACGTACGATCGCGGGTTCTTCCTCCTCTCCACCGGTCTCTCCCGCTTCGTGCCGATCCCGGGTCTCGCGCGCGCACACATCGCCCGATGGAGGTGTCTCCTCGAGTTCGAGGCCTTCCACACCGCGCTGGACAAGCATTCCCGCGGCGAGGATCCGGGCTCGAAATGGTCGAATCTGCAGGATGTCGGGAGTTTGATCCAGGCGAGAGTGCCCGTGTATCAGAAACACAAGCTCAGCATGCGCGCCCGGGCGGCGTGTGAAAACGCCCTGTTCTGGTAAGTTCCTTGATCTTCCGTCATCCCCGCGCGGCACAGATTACACCCACGCATACGCAAAAGTTGCAAACCATGAAACGTTCCTGACGGTTTCTTCTCCCTGAAAACAGGGGTTCCAACGCCAACTCCAACCCTCTCGTCTACTGGATGCTCCAACACATCTACAGCGACCCCGCCCTCCTGGCGACCATCCGCGCCGAGATCGCGCCCCATCTCGACATTGAAGAATCTGCCTCCTCGGGCCTACCCATCTCCGAACCCCGCCGGCTCGCCCGTCTGGACCGCGACGGCCTCTGCTCCTCCTGCCCGGTCCTGAAGAGCGTCTACATCGAATGTCTCCGCCTGGACACGGCCAGCTGGTCGCTGAAAGTCGTGCAAAACGACGTCGTCCTGCGCGCGAGGAACGCCGATGGTGGCGAGAATGTCGATGGCAGCAGCAGCAGCGGTGGCGGTTATGTGCTCAAAAAGGGAGACTATGTCCACGCCGCCCACGACCTACACAACACCGACCCCCGCTATTTCCCGGACCCCCTGACCTGGAAAGCGGAGCGCCACGTGAAATTCGACGAAGGCGGAAACCCGAAAAGTGCGGATCTGGGCAGCATTCGACCCTATGGTACGTGACATCCTCCCCCTCATCTTTCCTCTCTCCCCCTTTCCCCCCCACAAAATCCACACTGCTTTTCCTCCAGCGACCCACATTTAACTCCTTCTCATCACACAGGCGGCGGATCGAGCATGTGCAAAGGCCGACAACTCGCCCTCCAGGAGATCCTCCTCTTCGCCGCAGCCATCATCGCCATGTGGGACATTTCCCCGGCCAAAGGCGCGCCCTGGAGGATGCCCGCGAAACGCCGCGCCACCGGGGTTTACAGCCCCGCGGGGCCTGATGTCCGAGTTTGGATCCGTCCGAGGACGTCATGAGGGGAGTTTCGGGGCGGTGGATAGGAGGAGGAGGAGGAGGGATGAACGGAAGAGACCGGGGAGTGGAGTGAGAATGCGGAAGTGGGCAGGATGAAATGCGACAGAGTGTATTTCCTTTCCCTCTCTCTCCGCGTGAGCGAAGAGAAACCACCCTCAGAGGAGCTCAAATAGAAAAAGACATCGACAAAAGGGGGAAAACCCGCGCAAGCAGAGCAGAGGAAGACCGCCAATCCATTCAAAATTCCCGGGGAACGTCGCTCCCTTCCTCCCTCCCACCTTTCCCCTCTCCCCGCGCCTGTCAAACCGTCTTCAGAAATCCGAATCATCCCCGTCCCCCTCCTCTAAGATTGTCTGCGCAATCAACCCATTCTTCCCCTTCCTCCCTCCTCCTCCTTTCCCATAACCTCCACTACCGCCGCTCCCACCGCTCCCCGTAGGACTCAAGTATCCACCCGAAGACGACCAGGCGGCCAACGCCTCGTCGTTCGCGGGGAGAGGCGAGATCGTCCCCGCCGTACTCGCGGCGAGGCTGGCCTGCTGGCGGCTGCGGCGGCTGAGGCGGTATTCGGATATGGTGCGGTTGGGTTCGGAGTCGTTGGCGCTGCCGTTGACGGCGCTTTTGGTAGAGAAGGAGGAGGGGATCTTTTGTGTTGCGTTTTGCGCTCTCCGCTTGAGGTCGGGACTGCTGGAGAGCGAGTCTTGGTCGTCGAGGCGCAGCGCGTGCCGCAGCCAGGAGAACAAGAGCCGGATTATCAGGCCGCCCAGGAGGCCTAGGATTGCGGCGACGGTGAGGTAGATGAAGAAATCCTGCGTGAATGATTGTTAGACTTTGCGAGTGGCGGCAGCGGCCAAGTTCAGACTTTGCCTCCACTCCCCTCTGCGAATCAGGAAGGGCAACTCACCTCGTAGATCACCACGATTCTCACGGGAATCATCGCCAGCGCGAGGCCGAACCGTCCGATGTAGAGGAATGGCTTTAAAGCAAACCCGATGGGGCTGTATAACAGGCGCAGCGTCCAGAGCGTGGCGCTATACAGAAATTTCGCCGGGACGACCAAGATGTAGTAGCTCAGCCATCCAAGTCCGATGATGGTGTCGCGCAGAGCGAGCCGGCTTTGTCCTTCATCGGTATTGTTCGCGGCGAACGCTCCGGCCGCATCGGCGATGTCTGCGGCGGCGCGGAGGGCTGTGGCCGGAGTGGTGGGCTCGCTTGATAAGGCCATGATACCGATGCTTGTGCAGCGACTGTGGCGAGATATACTAGTTCTTGATATACGAGTCGAATTGAGTCCAGAGATTGGTGGCTCGTTGAAGATCCTCCCCGCGGTCTAGAGAGGGTAGGTGCCCCTTTTGTGACGAGCAATCGAGTGCACACCGGCACGAGCGCGTGGAAATAGCTTTACGGCTTCTCAATGGCGTCGTGTGTGGTGAGAGATGCTCTTCCCGCAAGAAGAATGCTTTAGAGGAATTCAATGTTCCGAATACGCTGCGTTCGTCGCTGTCATGTTTGTCGACAAACGACAGAATGTGACGGAGGGAGTCTTGCTTTCAGAAGCTGCGGAATCTTATCACATTGTAAGCCCGGATGAACAAAGTACTGTAGGCTCAAGACGAGGTTAACATACCTGGTTGCAGTATGTTATTATGAAGAGTTGAACATGCTCATTGCGGCCGGTATTCCCAGCTTGTGCTGTACAGGATCTTGTGCAATTCAATGCAATGCGAGATGACGTGCACAAGACTTAATGGTCAGCAAGGTCCAAGCCCTAATAGTGCCTCATACCGCGGCATCTGGAATTTGTGCACGCACGTGAAAGATGAGTCAGCAATCACACTGGACCCCACCATACAATCGCGCATAAATGGCGTATAATAATAATGAGTTCTCACGCGACGACGCGCCATTTTCGTTCTCGCGCTAACTTCCCACGCGACCAACTCTATCTTTCATACATCATCACTCGCATTCCAGACGTACACGATCGACACTGCATAGCAACCACTTCGGCTCCAGTCACGATTGACCACAATCCTAGAACAGAAGAAGACATATATAGACCAATAGACATCTACCACATTCTTCGAATATCACATGCCATACTGTCCGAGCAATCGTCCCCTGCGCAATCAAACATCACATGTGCCCCACCATCGATAATGTTGAACATACACGGTATTGTAAAACTATGCCGTTCTCCTTCGCCGACATCTGCACGCTCTTTGCGCGTCTAGAGTGTATCGAGCAGCATGATCCTCCGCTCCTCCCAGGTCCCAAAAAGTCTCAGGCTCACGAGACAACAGCAGCATGGTTCCGTTCTCACCGTCGGGCGATTCGCAATCTCAGTACTTCAAGTGCGACGGCTTTACTCTCTGCACTTTTGCCAGAATGGCGAACAGATCGAGTGTACAACTTGCAAAGCATTCGTCTGGCGCGTCGAGTCGCGCGCGCTCTGAGACTAGGCTCGGATCGGCTGAGGATGCTAGAGGCGTATAGGGTTCCAGGGAGAGGTGATCTCGGAGAGTGTCTAGAGCGTACAATGCACGCCGGAGGGCCTTCGGCGAGACCAGGCGTGGAGTTGGAGGAAGTTGATTCATTTCTGCAGCAGCTGGCCGGGCAGTCCGTGTTTTCAGATCCTTCAGTCCCACGTTCATCGTCCTTAGAAGATGATGGCTTGGTAGAGCTGCTATGGAGGTTGCAGCCCCTTGAGGCAAAGTGGTTCGTGCGAATTATTCTAAAAGACTTGAAGACAATCTCGATCGATGAGGACGCGATATTCCAGGGTTTCCATTTTTTACTTCGAGACCTGCTCAACTTTCAGCGAAACCTTGGAGCTGCAGTCAATCTGCTGAAAACCGAATTTCGAGAATATCCAGAATGTCCTGATCCGGCTTCGGCGAGGTTATTTCGAAGAAGTGCAGCGGAAAAGCTGGCGCCTGTCGTCGGAATCAAGGTTAGCAGACCGAACTTCGTCAAGGCCCGCGGGATTGATCACTGCCTGTCAATTATTGGCTCGAAGAAGTGGGTAGCGGAACGAACATATGACGGCGAATACTGCGAGGTGCACATTGACCTCCAGAATTACACTCGAGCAGAACCAACGTCTTGTATTAAGATATTCTCAAAAAGTGGCAAGGACTCCACGGCCGACAGGATTGGACTACATCAAACTATCATGGATACGCTCAGTATTGGAAAGCCAAACTGTTATTTCAAGCGTCGCGCAATCATCCTGGGAGAGATGGTAGTGTTCTCGGATTCTCAAAATTGCATTCTACCATTCGAGAGGATTCGCAATCATGTCAGCCGCTCGGGCCGATACATTGGCAATCAGGCCGACTCGCCACCATCGCAGGATGATCGTCTGGCTATCGTTCTTTTTGACTTACTACTCTTGGACGACGAAGTTGTGATGAAACGGCCAGTCGATGAGCGACGCAGACGGCTTCGAGAAGTATGTCGTGCAATACCTGGCAGGGCTCTACGCGCAGAGTGGACGATCATTGATTTCAATGAGAGCGAAAAAGCTAAACGCCGTCTAATTGAGCAATTTGCCATGTCTATCACACGGCGCCACGAAGGTCTCGTATTGAAGCCTTGCGACGGACCTTATATTACTTTATCGGCGCATCACCACCATGGCTACATTAAGCTCAAGAAGGATTTGATGGGCATGGGCGACGAGGCAGATTTTGCTGTCATTGGAGCTTCATATAATGCTCAACTAGCAGCTGCAAGTCCCGTCAAGGATCTCACATACACCACATTCCACCTTGGCTGTCTCGTGAATAAGAGCGACGTGAGACGATTCCAGGCCCGCCCGAAGTATCAACGCATGGGTTCGATCAGCTGCGACGGGCATTGCGTTCCGCAGGACGTCCTCGAAACGTGCAATACACTCGGTCGATTCTCCGCAGCACCTTTCAACCTCGACGATCCTGAGCGCAGCTTCGATCTGACCTCACCCCATACGAACCCGGTGATGGATGTAGTCTTCAGCACACCGTTCATCTTCGAAGTCGTCGGCTCTAAATTCGCCAAACCGCCCGGGAGCAATTTCTTCATGCTGATATTCCCACGCGTGACCAAATTGCATCGGGATCGCACCATACTCGATTGCCCGTCATTCCAAGAACTGCAAGAGCAAGCGGAGACTTCATGCGCTGTGCCTGAAGCGGAGTCACAAGAGACCCGCGAGTGGGTGACCAAGCTTGAGCGTCGCTGCAAACGCAAAGTCGAGCGCATGGAGACCTGTTCGCCGCGATCTCCGGCTGCTAGAACGCCGGAGAAAGTGGTGCGCTCGAGTCCTCGAATACATGTCGATGTGTCGGTGGCGGTGCAGGATGTCGCTTTGGGAACGGTCACACCACGTGGATCGTCGCCCGCTATCGCTGTGCCGTCACCATGCTCATCTCCAGTTTCTGAGAGTTTACGAGGCAACGAAAACGCCAGCAGGAAAAGGATACGAGTCACCATCGATCCTCAAGCAAAGGACTGTGCCCCTCCTCCTGCCGCAATACCTGCGTCCCCTGCTCCCATCCTGCTCGAACTCTCACCGAACATCCTCTCATCTCCCACAATACCACACCCAAAGCCACCACCCAACCCTCCTCCCCCAACCACTCCCGCCAACCTATGCGACCCATCAACCTGCCTCCTCTCCACAAGCACAATCTACCTCGCCCCCTGCATTTCTACGATGCCCTATATAACCCAAAATCTGCTCCCCCTACATTCCAGCCTCACCATCATCACCTCCCTGAGCCACTGGTCCCGACAAAGCTTCTCCCATCCACCGTTCACCTCCACCGTCTCCGAAAGCCAAGCATTCCCCGGAAAAAAGAAACTCATCCTCGTCGAACGCCATCGACGGGATGTTGTGACTTCCATCGTGGAGATGTTGGAGGGTCTGGAAAAGGGCCAATTCAGGGAGAGGGTGGAAGTCTGGGATTGGAGGGTTGCGGAAGTCGTCGCGAGACATGGTGGTGGAGGCAGCAGCGGCAGGGGAGGAGAGGTCATGGGGCACTTTTTGGGGGCGTTGGGGTGGGATTCGCATCGTGAGAGGGCGAGGTTTGTTTGGAGATGATGTTGAGATTTCTTGAGGGTTGCAAAATTTAATGTATAATGGGAACAAGGATGGATGATATGCTCAGTCAATAGGGGGTAATTTCGACGAGCCGGTTTGGAATCACTAGGCTTGTGGTGGGTCAGAATCTGCGCTCGTAGGGAAGCTAAGATTCGGTTTCGAGATTGGTCAGATTCCTGCCCCTGGGAGTGCGTTCAGGAGGGAGGAAATTCGGCAGGATTTCACGATTGTCCCTCCTCGCTTCTCCAGCCGACGTGCTCTCTTCATCATAACATTCGGTGTCTGTTTGTTTTCGTATGGTAGGTATATTTACATCTTGCCCGCATGCAGTATGAAGCTCACATGGCGTTCTCGTAGCGAATCGTCTCGTTTATTAAGGGCAACAATCCTCCCTCGCTGACTGGACCTGACAGGAGGTGTCGCGTTCCCGCCGGACCAAATCAGAAAATGCGCGTATTTTGTTTCCACGACATCATGAGAACGCGCCCGTCCGGCTGGGACTACCCCGAGGACTTGCTCTCCCCTTCTCATACAACCACTTATTGTTCAAACCCACCGTCGCCTTCCCACTCTTCGTCGGCGTCGCCAGATTGCCCACGGCGTCGAATTCACTCACGCTCAAAGGCGAACTGCGCGCGGAGGTGTAGCTCAATTTCCTCCTCTCGCTGCCCAGCGGCGATCCAAAGGGTGAGACTGCGCGGAGAGAAGAGTCTAGCGCAACGCCGCGGCCGCTGAGCGGTGAGTCGCTGGGCTCGCCACGCAGGCTGGAGGTCGGCGTCGCGGAACGCGAGAAGCGTGGTGGTGTGACGTACTGTTGCTCTTCGAGGGGAGTGGCGCTACGCGACATTGGAGGGAGGCCGAGCAGTTTTCGTTGCGAGGGAGTGAGGGGTATGTCCTCGCAGGGATCCGGGTGGCGGAGGAGTGGAGCCAGGGCGAAGCCGATGTTGATTGTGAAGAGGAGGGAAAGAGCCAGGACGGCGTAGGTGAAGTATGGGTCAATGGCGGATGTGAGAGTGAGTGGAAGGCTAGGAGGAAGGAGATGTCAGTCTGATGCGTCTGGCTGGTTGCGGGAGACAGCGATCTCTTACTTTCGGCGTGTGAAGTTCAGAAAGACAAAGGATGCGATGATGCATGCAGCATTGATGCCGATCGCTTTGATATTACTGTTGTCGAAGTTGGTCGCGTTGCGCCGCCTGATAACCTCGTCCATGCGTGGATGTAGCCATCTTCCCGATTCCTTCTGTTGTGATTGTGGAGTGCGGAATGTTTGCGGAGATGATGACCTTTGCGGCGTCACGCTGAGATGCGATCGTTTCTGTTGCGGAGTCGTGGTGTTTGGGTTCGTCTTCGCTGCCACAGCGCTGGGCTTGTTGGCGGTGGTGGAAACAAGGCTGGCCGCTTGGGTGATGGGTGCTAGAGCAGTGGACGACATGTTGTGTGTTTGTTGTCGCTTCGATCGAGATGATGTTGTTCTCTCTGGGCACGATTGCTGTACAGCTGTAATGATTAGTATGTTAGTAGAAATTTCACAGACGAAGCGACCGTGTGTTCACGACATCGATGGCAATGAAGAGGATACGAGATCTTCTGAAGTGATGTTTGTGTTGCTATGTGGATGTTGACATTTGGGGTGGCTTGCTACGGAGTACCGCGATCGCGTCGGAGCCATGCCCGCCGAAGGGCAGTCAGCTAAGCGCTGTTCGGCATGTCGTCGAGGTGCTTTCTTGGAACCCTAACAACTTTGTTCACCTGCACCTGCACGGGCACCGACATCGTGCCGCAGAGAGCCCACGAGACTGGAGCCTCCTCAATGCCTAAGTTTATCTCGATTACTTCGTTGCGACGATGTTGATCGCCTCGAATTAGAGATTGATTCGTGTCAGACCCGATCAACGATTCATATTTGGAAGTCCAAAATGCGCTGCGGTGGCATGAGGATCTACAGTAACCATTGGTATGGGAATGCGGCAGACTGTCAGCAACGCTTCGCGCTACAAGCTGTCCGCACTGTCTGAGGTATAATCGCCATGACAAATATAGATCCACCAAGAAGTATAACGCCGAGAGGCAAATGTATAGAAAACTCTGTCGCATTTGTAACTATTGTGTATCACTTATAAGTAGTGAGCGTCTCTTAGACGGCAACAATGCGCCGAGGAGAGGCGAGAGCGAATTATCCTCGTCCCTTGCGTCGCAGTGCGACACCATCGCGATCGCCACTTCATGCATGAATGAAGCCTCAAGCGATGGGGCCGGACACAACTCCAGACATGCCACACAGCACATGGTGGCGAATCATTCAATCACTTTATGACATCCTAGTTCCAATAAATCTTCAAAACAAAACATCGATCGATGAGTGGAGCTATCGATGAGAGTGGGTTTATACAACACCAATTCATCTCCCAAAAGCTCCAGGATAATGTGTGTAGACGTCGATTGTCTGGGATTGGGCACAGTATCACCGGGAGACATGGTTGTTCGATCGCCTGAGCTAGTGCTATTGTCTCCCGCACACTCGAGGACGGAGCAGACTCCTGCTTTAGATTGACTGCGTATAAACGTTCACAAATGGAAAGATGAAGCCGAAGACTCTAAAACGGCGTCAGAGGATGCACGCAGTACCAGTGTCCTTGTAGGAGTGGCAATAGGCACGAGGAGCAGCTAGTGATGTAGGACAAAATGGGAAACATATAATCGTACTGTACTTGCAATTATGCCAACCGGAAAACAAATCTTCCATCGTGCTGATTTGATTCCGTCGTGATCCGGAACGAGCTCCGCCGGAAACGCCAGCTTCACTATTTTCCCTTCCTTATCGGTGCTAAAGCTGCACGCACTGGCCCGGATTTTCAATCTTTGCATGTGAGACAGAACGCCACCGAAGTCGTCTGTTCGGGAGACGTCACCTCGAGAATAAGTAGTCGGCTACTGTCGTTGCGGCATTGAAATTCGAAGAGCGACACGTCAAAGCCACAAGCGAGCGAAACACGCAATCGCGCGCCAGTTCGCCCGTGCGCTTCGGAAAGTCGCGATTCCCACCATCACCGACGTCAACGTCATCAAACCTCGGATAAAGCCCCGATACAGTCCTTCAAATTTCTGTGATATAAAAATCCAAGCCTGGTGCCTAGTTTCAGGAGACTCTACGTCGGAACCAGAGGGTTCCGCTTGTTCCTCCGGCCAAGCCACGTCCTTATTAGAGGATAGAGTGTGCGCTCCCGCTCCCATTCTCCAAGCACCAGTTGACAAGTCGTGGCCGAGGGCGCATAGATCAAGACTTTGACGAAACCATACAATTGGGCCAGAGAGTCAAGGAGAGAAAAATAACAGAATCCCAAGAATGGAGCCTGCCGTCCAGACCGCCGGTCTTGAATCCATCTCAATCAATACGATCCGGGCGTCCAATGCGCAGTGCAGCTTTTTCGACGGCCTGGTCGTCGTCTTCATCGGCGGGACGGACGGCATCGGGCGGGAAACAGCGTTGGAGGTCTTCAAGCGGACGACGAGACCGAGAGCATATATTGTAGGGAGGTGAGTTTGTCTTCTGTTTACTTGCAAGGTCATAATACTCTTATCTGGCTGATAAAAGGACATGAGCACAGCACAACGGAAAGTTGAGAAGTGACTAATGGAATACTTTGATTTCAACAGGAATGCCGCAAAGGGCGCTTCACTCGTCGCCGAGCTCCACGACATCAACGGTGGTGGTCGAGCGACTTTCATTCAAAAGGACATAAGTCTAATTTCCAGTGTTGATGAGCTCTGCGCCGACCTCGCTCGGCGCGAGCCCAAGATCAACTGCGTCATTCTCACTCCTGGATACATGACGCTCAAAGGCAGGGACGAGACCAGCGAGGGCATCGACAAGCGCATGGCGGTCAACTACTACTCACGCATGCGGATAATTCTAAATTTAATGCCATGTCTAGACCGAGCGGTAGAGGCAGGGGAACTATCCCGCGTCATCACCGTGTTGGCTGCGGGATCCGAAAACGACATCATCCACACGGACGACCTGGACCTGAAGCACCACTTCAACCTGAACGAGTGTCTCGCGCACTGCGTCATCATGTCCGACTTCATGGTCGAAGAGCTCGCGCAGAAATTCCCCAACACATCCTTCAGCCACTCCTTCCCGGGCTCCGTCAAATCCGGCATCACGAACCAACTGACATCCGCCGCACGACTCGCGGCCAAGGTGCTCTTCGCGACCGCAAACTCCTGGCTCTTGGACTCGCGGGAGTCCGGCGAGCGACATTTCTTCCAGATGACAAGCGAATGCTACAAATCCTGCAATCGCCAGATCGGGATCGCCGTGCCCAGGGGAATGACCTTCGCGCGCGGGATGAACGGTGTGCTGGGCAGCGGCGGCTATCTCCTCGATTGGGACTGCAAACCTGCGGGCGAGCATGAGACCATTGCGAAATATCGCGCGCAGGGCCTCGGGCCGAAAACTTGGCAGCACACGGCGGAGATTTTCGAACAGGCGCTGCAGAGAAGCCGGCGAGATGCGAAACGTCCGGCGGGAGAGGAGGCGGATGGCAATGGTATTCGAGCAGTGCCGAATCCAGTCGGTTGGAGATCAGCGGAACCGCAGACGGAAGATCTACAACAATCGAGGAATCCGCCCGGCTGGCGTGCAGGGTCGTTTCGCTGAGCTTTCAGCCAAGGCTGTAGAGTATGAGAAGATGCTTGCTGATACGATTGCAGAAAATGAGACACATAATTTTCACCGATGCCAAGGAGTGTAAAAAGTCGAGTAGGATTGGAGTCATCTTGACTATTGACTTTGCTGTCTAAACTCAGTGACCTGAGTCTGTGATCTTCACTTCATAAATCATTAAAGGACATCAACGTCGTAAAAGCATGCGACAGCTTCTCTGGGACCGGTGGTATTAGCCACACCGGACTCGGCGCGTTCGTGCAACATCAATCTCCTCCAAGACGTCGCCCTGCTCCTCGAGAGTTCCAGGCACTCCCGCTGGTCCAACCACCAGCTCGGCCAGCTTCCGCTTGAGCAACTGGTGCTGAACCCGGGCCACCAGACCGGGCACCAAATGCGGTGCCGTAAGCACGTGTCTGACCGGTACCCGCCGGAGCTGCAAACAGTCTTTGCAAGAATTGTGGCACCCGGATCAATCGAGGGCCACCGCCAAATTCAGGCCAGATTTTGTCGAAGAACTCATAGGCGTGTGCAGAGACGATTCCCATCGACTGAATTAGAGCCAGATAGGGTGAAGCTGTGACGAAAGTAATCACTAGCGAAGCGAATGGGACATACTTCGCTGGCATTTGAATGATGATGAACGAGACCTGTGCGTTGGGGTTTTCCATCGAGGCGGTGTACATCAACGCCATGCTCAGGGGGCTGAGCAACAACATGCCATTAAGGTACCACCCTCCTGTCAACTACTCGTGCGTTAGCAAATGAATTCCATCACTTGAAAGATGGTCGCGATAGATTTTGCGGGTTTGAAGCGCAATGTAGGACCCAACAACCACTACTAGCCACAATTTCAAGACTAGAAAGTTTTCTCAATTACGAAGCCCACCATGCTCACACTCCAACAACGTTCTTTAGGATTTGCGAATGACGAACGTTGCCACAGTGCAAGGGGTAATCTTCCTCGTTTCCAGGAACCGTGACAGCTAAGATGAACTGGCCGGGCAGATATAACGAGGGACAATGACGGCAGGAGAACTTGTTTCAGTAGACGTCTGGGACGGTGACTTACCAAGACGATAACGGCGTTGAAGAGTAGGTAGAATGCGTATGCGCCAGGTGAACTGAGCCGCGCATTGCTAGTCTCGAGTTGGCTGCTATACTGCCAAAAGATGAATGGGTCCATGATCAAGCCCCATTTGGGACCAGTGATGCAAAGCCCTGTTGCAAGGCGCCATATTTGAGGCAACTGGCTGATGGTGAAGACTTTTCCTGACTCGAAAATCGTCCATCCTAGGTCATAGAGGCCTAACCATCCTGGCCACGAGAGCAATACTATAGCAGCTGTGATGGTTCTAATGATCAGCATCAGATGTGTGTCTTACGCGCAGCGCGATTCCATCGGGATCTGCATACCTCGATATTGGCGGCGCCGCGAAATATGCGTCTTGGAGCGACATATTGATGTCTTGACGCGCTCAATAATCAGTCACGCTGATGAGCAATTTCGACGGCGCTGGAGCGAATCCTAATAGAGATGTCGCAAGGAGGAAGGAATTGAAGAGGTCTCGAACATGACGAAGTGAAAGTCCTGACGGCTACGTAGCCGTTAGATCACGTGACAAGCTTGGACATGAACACTCCACCAGATTGTTGCGGGTAGGAAATGCCAAGAATTTCGCACCGACAAATCTTGTGAGCGACGCTAGCCATAGAAGCCCACACAATCACACACGATCACCAAACCGAGCACATCTCACAACACTTCATTTCTTTTCCACAACAGCCGCAAATATGGCCGTAGGAAAGAACAAGAGATTGTCCAAGGGCAAGAAGGGCCTGAAGAAGCGAGTAGACCCATTTGCTCGCAAGGACTGGTACTCGCTCAAGGCCCCGTCAACTTTCAACGTCCGAGAGTACGCGCACACCCAATCGCATTTGAAAATATAATCTCGACAGAGATTTGGGAAGGGATCCATTGGCTAACGTGGTATTACAGTGTCGGCAAGACGCTCGTCAACCGAACCACCGGTTTGAAGAACGCCAACGATGCTCTCAAGGGCCGCATTTTCGAGGTCTCGCTCGCCGACCTTCAGAAAGATGAGGACCACTCATTCCGCAAGGTCAAACTCCGCGTCGACGAGGTCCAAGGCAAGAACTGCCTGACCAACTTTCACGGTTTGGACTTCACCTCCGACAAGCTCCGATCGCTTGTGCGCAAGTGGCAATCCCTCATCGAGGCCAACGTTGTCGTCAAGACCACCGATGACTACCTCCTCCGACTTTTCTGCATCGCCTTCACCAAGCGACGACCCAACCAGATTCGCAAGACCACATACGCACGATCATCGCAAATCAAGGCTATCCGGAAGAAGATGATGGATATCATGACCCGCGAGGCTCAGAGCTGCACCCTCAGCCAGCTGACCACCAAGCTCATCCCGGAGGTCATCGGACGCGAGATTGAGAAGAGCACACAGGGCATCTACCCTCTCCAGAACGTATGTTGATATGGATAAATTTCGGAATGGGCAGCTACAGGATATACTAACACATTTTCGACAGGTCCACCTCCGCAAGGTCAAGCTCATCAAGGCACCCAAATTCGACCTTGGTAACCTTCTTTCGCTGCACGGCGAGTCGTCGACCGATGACTCAGGCCAGAAGGTTGAGAACCGGGAGTTCAAGGAGACTGTCTTGGAGAGCGTTTAGAGGGATGCGATCGGAGAGACGGTTTACGCTGTTTAAATGGGAATGGCTGGCTGGCTGCTTCTCTAGCATTTTGTCGGGCGAAGTCATGGTTATCATGGTGTCAACGTTAACGGGCGTTTTGAGCAGGTCATGGTAACACGGTTCTCTTTTGCTGCCGTGGACAGACGAATAAAAATATTTGAAAGTTCCTTTTTGGTATCGTGTATGTCGTTGCTGCCACCTGCGTCCCTTGTCGGTCTATGAGTGAACTATGACGTGGGAATCGATATCGAAAGGATCTCGTTCTCATTTCCTTATGCGTTTCGGAAATATTTCGACATCGATCTCATCGCTTGGGGTCAGCGATAGCCTTCTGCGTTCAATCACCCCAGGGTCCATCCTCGTCATAACCTCTACAAGGTCAATCGGATTCCTCTTTACTGTAGTTCCTCAACCAGCAATTCCTGACACACTGATCTAATCAACACCTGGGCAGTGCCAGATTCTCAAAGAGATACGACTCAACATCATGGCGCCCAAAGAACTTAATTTCATCACCGGCAACAAGAACAAATTGGCGGAAGTGCAGGCCATTCTTTCCGTCACGCCCGTGAAACTACAGAATCAAGCATTGGATCTCCCCGAACTACAAGGCACGATTGAGGAAATTTCAATCGACAAATGCAATCGTGCTGCTGAAGCGGTATGAGTTGTATTGGCGGTTTTCGAATGGGATCGTCAGGTCTGATTTTCTTGCTCCGTATAGGTTCAAGGGCCCGTGTTGGTCGAAGACACATGTCTCTGCTTCGACGCTTTCGGCGAGCTTCCAGGTCCCTATGTGTATGTTCACGATACGACGTGTAATTCCGAGTCGAGCATGACTTAATCAGAAGTACTGATATCGTTCCTCTCGACAGCAAATGGTTCTTGCAATCCCTCGGCGTCGAACAGTTCCACAAATTGCTCGCAGGCTTCGAAAACAAGGCTGCTCAAGCGGTCTGCACATTCGCCTACTCAGAGGGACCGGGTCATAAACCGATCATTTTCCAAGGTAGAACTAAAGTGAGCGACAACTCAAGTTTTATTGTGATGTTCTGTCCTCGCTAATTTATCTCACCAGGGTACCATCGTGCCTGCTCGTGGCCCGACAAATTTTGGTATGGAACTTCACTAGTAACATCAAACTGGCAGCGGACTGATCATATGTGCACAGGCTGGGATGCATGTTTCGAGTACGATGGGCAAACATACGCAGAAATGCCCAAAGAAGAGAAGAACAAGATTTCGCATCGCGGGAAGGCATTAGCCAAACTGGTCGAATGGCTTCAACAGGAAGTATAAAGACCAAAATTCATATCATGAGTGATTTCGTTATGCGACATGGCGATCAACCATGCAAAAACAAAGGATTGTCCTCATCCCTCGTTTCCTCTGCACCCGCAGCCTTCGCATCTCCCTCCTTCCCATTATCCTTCCTCCAATTCCGTATCCAGGTTTCGATCCTCTCGACATTCGCATCGATGTCCTCCGTGCTCTCACTTCTCAACTCGACCACAATCTCCTCGTCGTAGGCCTCCCGCGCCTCGTTGAGCAATACCTCCATGATTTCACAGTCCATGTTCTCCTCCAGCTTCTTTCCGCCGTAATTTCGCGCCTTCAGACGATCGTAGAGGATCTTGTTGTCGCATCGGATCACGCAGACGAGGTCGATTTGTTTCCTTGGGAAGAGGTCGCAGGCGTGCCAGTCGATGATCTGTCCACCTTCTTCTAGATCATTTTCTACGCAGTCTAGCAGTCGGTCTTCGTCGACGATTTGCAAATTGGGGTCATCTGGGTCGTCCGAGGCCTCCCCGATGTTGTGCTTCTTGACTACTTCATTGATGTCGAGGTGGTGGAGGCCGGTTTTGGCAGCAAGTTCTTGGCAGTGAGTGGTTTTGCCAACGCCGGGAGTGCCGGTAATGATGATGTTGGGATCTGTTCGCAGGACTGGAGCCATGATGATTGTTCTGATATTCACTCGGGAAATCGTATGTCGTGACACTCGCAAGGTTGTATCTCGCAAAACAGCCCGCGCACAGAATCGCGAAAACATGAATGACTTGGAAAATGGATTTGTGACCTGTGACGTAGATGGGGCTTCGAGGCAGGAATTTCTGAAGCTCGGAGAAGCTCCCTCCATCTACCATACCTAGGTATCTACACGAAAGTACCTGGGTATCAAAGCTCCAGGCATAGATTCACGAAGAATCAATCACCTGCATCGTATCATGATGCATGCGGCATTGCTGAGACGAGCGTCACCTTTGATGGGTTCGCCAGTCTGGCATACATTTGCTCGTCAGTCACGACGTGCGTTTTCGACGACGGAATTGAGCAATGGCATCAACATGGCCTACGATTTCTACGAGCCTGATGCGAAGAAGGCGATGACTGGTGGACCTATCGTCTTCATCCACGGCTTCTTTGGCTCCAAGCGAAACAACCGGAGCATGAGTAAGTATGCGCACCAAACGAGACACTCTTGAAGAACGTGTTGTAACTCATCGTTCAACAGAGTACTGGTCCGCGACTTAAATCGTCCCGTTTATGCCATCGACACACGGAACCACGGCGACTCTTCACATTCACCCGTGCATAACTACACTGCCCTCGCCGAGGACGTCGAGCTCTTCATCGCCGAGCACCGTCTCGAATCCGTCACCCTCATCGGACACTCCATGGGCGCCAAAATTGCTATGACGGTCGCGCTCCGCCAAGGCCAGCGCGAAAGCAAAATCGACGCAAAGACAATAGCCAATCTCATACCGGTGGATAACGCCCCCGTCGACGCGGCCCTACATGGTGGATTTGCGAAGTACATGCAGGGGATGCGGCGCATTGAGGAGAGCGCCGTCACGAGTCTCGACGCCGCGGACAAGATTTTACAGGAATATGAGGAGAGCCTGCCGGTTCGGCAGTTCCTCTTGACAAACCTCATCCGCGATACTGAAGACCCTGGGAATAAGCGGAAATGGCAGGTCCCGCTGAAGTATCTGCAGCCCGCACTCAACGGCATGGGCGATTTCCCATTTTCGGATCCGGATACTGTGCGATGGGAGGGACCGACTTTGTTTGTCCGGGGTACACAGAGTCCTTATGTGGCGGATGAGATGTTGCCGACGATTGGCAGATTCTTTCCAGGTTTCCGGATTGTAGATGTGGAGGCGGGTCATTGGGTGATTAGCGAAAAGCCGGAAGATTTCCGAGAAGGTCAGTCCCATTTGCTTATCGAACTGCTGTGCTGATGTCACGATCTGGTGGCGATTTCCCTGCAGAACATCTCTTCACATACTGACTTTACTCTAGCTGTTGTGGACTTTTTACAGGACAGGCCGTGAGCGTGTGTAAATCAGGAACCTTCTTCTTGAGTCCGTGGATTATCTATCTTACTTTGGACCATTTTCTCGCTGAAACATGTCAACGCTTCCCGGTAGAGGCATTGCTTGCTAGGTTCGAAGACATCGGTAGATACATTTGGATATCTGCAGAATAATCCATGGTAGCTGCTGCAACGCACAGCGAGACCCAAGCATCCAAGGTAGCTCGGTAATGGCCATATTCTGCTCGAGCAGCAGAACATGGCTAGGACATGGTCCGCTTATTGGGACACGGCAGTGGCCTCCATGGCTTTCTGAAGTCCCAGCTGTTCTTGTCGCTGTGTGATCAGCTTCGCGCGTCGGCGTTTCATGCTCTCCATAAACTGCAACCCATACCGAGGCTCGTTGTAAAAGATTTGGACGTTGTCGACGAGAGGGACCGGGATGAGATCATACTCAAATGAGAGTGATTCTTCAATGCTGTCCACATGATCCCCGACAACAGCAGCTCTGCGCATGAGAGTCTCGTGGCTACGAAGCCATGGGAATACTTCTTGAATGTATTGACACACATTGATTGAATGATATTGCGAAGGTGCTTGAATGAATAGTCGTGGGCCGGAACTTGTAGTGGAGCATCAAACCCGCGCGACTCGCAACGACGCATTGGCCTGCAGACCTCCACAGTCGTGTCACGCTCCTGATCGCATTCACAATAAAGTACGTCCCACAAGTCGTGCCAGTTTTCGAAGACATCGATGGACACCGAAAGCGCACTGATTGGTGTTGTGCAGAATGACGCAGCGGCAACCTGGCTTGTGTAAGTGAATGGTTTCTTCGGTCCGTCACCTAATCTTCCGCAATCTCCCATGATGACCCCAGCCTGTTCTTATTTGTCTCCAACGATCTAGATAGTAGTTTGCTTCTTCTTTGTATGCGCAATTCATGGCAGCGCCTACATTTCAAGTTCATCGAGACTCGAATAAACAAACAAAAAAGGCCGACCAGGTGTCGCATGAAGAGCCACTCTTCGAATTTGAGGTTTACGACGAGCAGATGAATCGCAAGATCGAGCTCATCTGCACGAGTCTGTACACTATCAGAGTCACTCTCTTGAGAACACTCCATCGTTAGCCCCTTGAGCGGGCGTGCTATGTTTTCATCGCTGCTGTATGTTGGACCAGTGTCTCGAAGTATCCAGGCATGGACAAACACAGCAAGAGACGATGCAGTGTGCGTCTGCGAAGATGTATCAAGTGTATCGCATCAACTTCATGAGTGCGGGTACACTTTCTCGAGAAGATCTTGGAGGCATGCAAAAACGTTCTTATCGATTTTAAGACTCGTCGTTTTTGGGTATATATCTCCATCAAGGTGATTTCACTCATACCTACAGTAGCTTAAATTCTGATACGATTGCGCCGTGCACAACATCACCACAACCTCTCAACGGCCATGTGACGATCGGAACACATGGGGAATTTCGCCCGGAGAGTCAGAACGACAACGTAGAGCTTGACTCAGAAATTCGACAATCGAATGTCAGAACGGTCTACATGCGCATTTCTTCTGTTGACGTCGCAGATTGGAGCAATGGTTTTAGGCATCGATTCGAATTGCGCACTCATGCATTTGCATCCTGTTGACGCTGCTTGATCTGTAAGGCACGTCTCTTCTTCATGCCATGCAGGGTTTGCCGGCCATACTTTGGCTCGTTATGACAAATCTGTATCAGTGCACAATTGGCGATGAATGGGATAACATCCCACTCCGGTTGCAGAGCTTCATATGTGCTGACTGTCTGTGTTCCTTTGACAATTGCTCGTCGGATCTGGGGTTCTAGCTTTCGTAGCCAAGGAAGCACTTCCTTGACATAATGACCGATGGTGATGAAATGGTACCGAGACGGCGCTTGGAGGAATAGTCGGGGACCAGGGCCAGGCCGGGGAGAGTCTTCGTTACAGGCTATACAGCGCCGTCGCCAGTTTGGTGGACGAGGTTTGCTGTCGAAGTCGGGCGCTGGGTCATCTTCGGAGTGCAAGTTGCACCATGCATCGTAGAACTGGTCGAGCACGTCCACCGAGACGACCACCGCAGAGATCGGCCGCTCGCCGATCGATGCAGCGGCGATTGGGTTCTCGGGAGTGTATTCCTCTCCATTGCCGGCTTCAGCAGTGTTGACAGGATCGTCGACGACGAACACGGCGGGTTCGTCAGGATCCGATGACAAGGTCCATCGCAGTCGAAAGAATTCCAACGAGAGCGGCATCTGTGCCGGCGCTGTCAAAGGCAGGTATGACTTCATGGAAGGACGGTCGGTCGCTCCAATATAGCTGGGATTTCTCTCGAATACGCCGTCACATAGTTTGCGCACGGCAACCTTTTCGCGCTGCTTCGAGGCGTATTCCATTGCTTCTAGATCGGCTCCAAGTCTATCGTTATAGATAAATATACGATCTATCAATGGCATGGGCACGAGGTTCCATTCTGGATCGAGAGGACCGTCAAACTGTCCAATCGCTTCCCTGATCTGCCGCTCGAGACTCCGCAGCCATGGAAATACTTCTTGGACGTATTGTCCAATCGTCACGAATTTACCCTCGGGAGCAGTGATCGTAAGTGTTGGACTGGCTGGAGCATCCTCAGGCTTACAGCCACACGCGTTTTCACCAGTGGTCTTGAAGATATAGAAGTGATCGTCATGTCCCTTTTTCCAGATACGTTGCCATTCCGTGAGCTCGTGAATGGAGATGGTAACAGCGCTGATTGGAGTTTCGCAGATCGAGCTCTGTGCATAGGATTCATCCTGGTTGAAAGGTTTGGAGCCGCTTCGCTCATCAGTGGCGTTGATCATGAACCGTACTGCTTCGGACACAGTAGAGTGCGACAGCTCCCATTGAACTCCCAGGAAGTCAAGCGTGGGATCTAATCTCGTATCATCGTTCACTAATGACGAGTTGGTCCCAGGCGACAGCATTTCCCAAGATGGGTATCCATCTTCTTTGGTTGATGAGGTTGACATGAGACTAGTCACAAATGATCAGACGGGAGAGTCGATATGCGCTACTGCTTTGTGAGTGGTGTGAGATGTCTCTCATGAATTGGATGTCACCAGTGACGTGACTTTGGTCTGGGGGAACGAATGAAGACGAGAAGGCATCCCAGGGTGGGAGGTTGACATATATATACACGACCTAATTGACACCTCCAGGGCCGTGCATGATTCCAGGATTGCCTTCACTATCGTCACTACGTCCGAATGCAGTAATAAGTTTAATAATCGCCCATGATGGTACGAACCTTGGAATGTTCCAAACCGCGCCCGGGCGACTATTGTCCTTAGGGTTGCGAATTGGAGTAGTGACAACCACACACTGCCCAAGTGAAGATTTATCAACTACACGTTCTTCGGCACCTTCTCGTGGACCAATAAGATTCCAGTACTCAGCATTTCGACATCATCCATGGATAGCACTAGTGGTTCCAAATTGATTGGGTTTTAATGTACCTTGCAATGCCTGTCTACACTGTGTGGCTAATGAGGAATAGAGAACTCGAGTTCCAAGTCTTCCTCGCTTTGCTTCGTAAAATTGTTAAATACAAATGTGATCATCATGTTCCAGTTCTTATCCACGAACAATCCCATAATTCCCTTCTTTTGATTCCCGCCTATTGAGCGTTGTTCTTAACGATCTTGACCAAGAGACCAGTCGGCTTAGCACCGGTCTTCTTGTACTCAGCAGTGTTGTAGGCCGGATTTGTTGAGTTGGTCTTGACGCCAACCATACCTCCATGAACCCCGCAAGCGCCGAGAAGAGCCTGCTTCTTCGCAGCAGCGGAAGCGTTCTCGCCGCCATCGATAGCATCCGCGATGTCGGTGTATAGCACGTAAGCAGCGTATCGGGGAACGATGTGCTTGGCAAGGGACAGGACGGTGCCAGGGTAGTCGACGGGCAATTGCCATTCGTCGCAGGTGCCGACGGCGGCAGGCATCTTCCACATGGCGTCGAGGCCCTTGTTTGATGTGCCTAGGTAGCGGAGGTAGTCGGCGGCATATTGGACGTCGTCGAGGTTGACGTCTTGAGAGGTACCACTGTCGACACCGTAGCAGACACGCTTGTCAGTCTCGCCGCAGGTAGCCCGAGATTCGAGAGTTGCACCAGCAACAGCAGTACTGAGGGCAGCGAAGACACTGAGGATGATAGTTTGCTTCATTGTGATTGAGAAGGAGGAGAGTTGTAGAATAGGTGTGAGAAATGGTGATCGGCAGGTAGGGTGCCTGAGATGACTTGGAACTACAGTCGCTCTTATATGGACAAGGACTGCCTGTTTCCTTTTTTTGAGTGCGTCGTATACTTCGATCGATTTCTGGAAGCGAAGCAAACTGCCTAGCTAGCTAAGCCTACAGCCCACGCACAGCACATCCAGTCGTCCATGCCTCTTACCATCAAACCACGAGTGGTCTCATGCAGGACAGCTTACTGACCAGGAATGCATACCGAAAAGGGTTGCTGACCAAAAGCATCAGCTGCGAGCTCCACGCGAAGGATCTTTCGTGCACGATGTCACAGTAACTCTCAACAGGAACCACTTCGTCGTCGTCACCTCGGCTGGAGTATTCAACACATGTCTATTGCTTCAATCCTTCACAAGGCCGGCGGCGATATCGCGGTGCCGGAACGATGTCGCAACCGCACAGGAGTGCGCCTCAAGTGTTGGGCGGGAATATAAATTTCGATAATCTGAATCCAGAAGAACATCCGTTGTTAGTGCTTATCATCCTGGGCGGTGCTGGAGGTAGGTGAACATCCGCCGCAAGTGCTTATGATCCTTGGCGGTAGCTTCTCGGTGCTTGTCGACCTGTCCTTCCACGTGTCTCGCTCCTGGCTGGCGTCGGATGAGTGTGAATTGGATGCGCGATGCTGTTTATGGTATGTACCTCGATCGCAGCCTAGGAGATGGAGGGAGGATGTACTGGAGGCCTTGGAAGAAACATAAAGTAGCATATACTAGCCCGAATGGCGCCCGCTGGCTAGCTCCCGCACGGAGGACAGCTCCTACATATTTATTGTTGGGTCCACGGGTATATTTAAAATGGCTTTCTTCGGTGAACTTCGGCCCTAAAAGAGGCGTGTCGATCGAAAAGCCCCGGAAGCTCCGGACGACACCATGGTAGTGCTTACCGATATTGTCTTGTGAATAGTACTGCACAACGTGACAGAAGTACATGCACAATTTCGATGTGGCGTATGCTACGGGACTTGGCAACCAAAATCTTGTACACGGCTGCAGCACCATAATCCATCAGAGTGTTGAGATGGAGGTGCCATTCGCCGCGGACCTCGTTTGCGGATCGTTGCTGGAAGGATTATCTCCAAGCCCTCTCATGCTCCACCAATTTGATGCCAAGACGGGTTCTCCTCTGCTTTAGCCAGAAATGACCAACATTCTCTTGCAAGTGAGATGTCGAGGTGAGATGCTGATGCATCCTCCCAGAAGCGTGAGCTTCTCGACGGCAGCCCGAGGGTGTGGTTGCCTTCGAAGCGAATGCGACACAACCAGATGGCCATCAGCCTAGCTTTCACGACGACCGAACTCTCATCGAAGTGTGATGGTCTTAGCGTTGTGTGTTCGTGCTTACTTCCTTGACGAAGTAAGCTAAAGCTAGAGGTAAACGCAAATACTCTCATCGAGGAAGTGAGTTTGGCGACTCCCATGCAAGTAAACAATCATCTTCCCTTTCCCGAGCGAAGTCCCAAGCTCGCTGAATCAACAAGTTCTTGAATTTCACCAGGACGACGTGGCCTCGAGCGGGGAGCAATCATAATGTTGACTCTACGTGTTCTGGTTGTGCTTCAATGCCTCCTCGGACTCATTAATGCTCTCGTAAAGAGGGATGACTGTGTACCATGGCAATTCAACGCGAAGAGAAGCATCGCCTCGGTCGGCCAGACCAATTGCAGATATCACGCGAAAACGGGCAAGAATGTCAACTACTTCACCTGCACGGAGATTGCGCAAAAGTACAAATTGACCATTGCGGAGCTGCTCGATCTCAACCCGGAACTGGACGAGAACTGTCAGAGAATTAAGGCCGAAACTGATTACTGTGTCGTTGGCTGTAAGTTGAACAGCTTCGGTACTCACAAGGACTGCAATGCTAACGCAATTTTCCCAAGTCCACGAACCCGTGCGAGCCTGGGACGGAAAATGCGGTGCACCTCATGGTAACGCCTCGTGCTTGGGAACGGACAAGCAGTGCTGCAACTCGAAGACATTCACTTGTGGTAATTCCGAGTACGTTCTAAATTCCCTGCACGACCGGGCATCAGAAACATTCATGCTGACTCTTTTGGTACAGAGAGGATTGTGCCACAGGAGTGTGCTACTCTGGTGCTTGTTTCGGCTCCGTCCAATTTGGATACTCGCTAGACGGCACCTGTGGACCGAAACATGGCAACGCCATCTGCGGTGGCACCTGGGGCGACTGCTGCAGCAACGACGGCCGCTGTGGAACAGGTGATGGCTTTTGCGGCAAAGACAGTTGTTTCTCTGGCAAGTGCGCCAAGGCAGATACGCTCGTCGCGCCGGCCTTGCCCGGAGTGCCCATCACTGCGCCATGGCAACTCGGAACGACGCCCGACGGTACCTGCGGTGGACCTCACCACTACACCTGCGATGTCACCTTTGGAGCCTGCTGCAGCACTGATGGAATGTGCGGTTCTACGGAGAAGCAATGTGGTACCGGCTGGTAAGTTTTCGATGCTTCCCGCTATCTGGCGAGAAATTCGAGCTTTCACACAATCACTAACGCAACCTGCAGTCAATCCCGCTTTGGCAAATGTAACAATGGTACAACACTGGTCTATCATAGCGACTATGGTCATTTCTGAGCGCCAGAAGCTTGGACGAGGCATGGGTGAAGCGCATAGGAGTACGATTTTCAGACGAGAGCACGTCAAAAGGTGTGAGCTGACCTAAGGGATGTTCTGCTTTCCATGGTAGACTTAGTCTCATGATTTGAATTTTCACGCGCTGTATCGTTGTCTGATGTCTATTTATTCAGATTGGTCACGAAACAAATCACCGCCGAGGAAAAAGGTCCTCAGCGCTGCGCGATGCACATAAGCCCCGGAGATTTTGCAAACAGCGAGCTCTGTAACCCGCGTACAATGTATCGTCGTCGAATAGCCTAAATTTAGCTCTGCCAGAAAAGCCCCTCGCACTTCACTAAGCACGGAGAACAGCGCAACGAGGAACGTAGATACGCTCGTCCATAAAATCTGTAGACTCGTCAAAGTTATTTGCGCTGGCCCCGATTGTTGAGACTTGGTTCTATCAACCTCGGCTGCTCGAGGCTGATGATAATCTCATATTAAAGCCTTCAATCTCGTATATCGCTTTCGCTGACAGCATAACGCTAAGCGTCCTTTGATGCCTTGTTCGGCGCGACTCTTGAACAAGGGCGAATCAGGGGAGAAATTTCCGCGCGGATATACAAAGCACGCAAATGTGTCTTTGACGAATGAGGAAATAATGCGCTGTCGTAGGATCCTAGGTAAGTGGATCAATCTAATCAATCACCAGTGGGAGGAGCTTGAGTGAGGTAAGATTTTGGTTGCGGCTTGGCGCTTACAGGCGGGCTTTGTGCGAGCTTGGGGCGAGCTTGGGGCGAACTTTGAAGCTCGTGAACCCTGCTCTCACCGCGCGGATCACTTCACTCCTTCCACGCCCTGCATGAGAATTATGGGCTTGGCGGTCCTCATCAGGCACTGTCCTTCATATGTGCATAAGCATAGCTTTGTGGCGCAGGACCACTATCGTCAAACCTCACCACGAGGCATGTCTGACAACCACCGGTCCTCCTCGATCCGACTCTTCAACCGCATCTTGTGGAGCTTCCAATGACAACGAAGACGGACGACGTTACATCGTTAGATGCTGACCACCATGGCACCAAGCCCGCGGCGGTCCTTCAAGAGCTGCATCCGCGGAGAGATGCACGTTGTTCACACAGATGGAGCTCCGTTCACCGGCACTGCGGTGTCGTGTGTATCGCCGAGATGGTCGTTACCCTAGAAGAGCGTTTCCTCAAGAGGTGTCGCGACTTCTATTTCCCGAACCAAGCACGAAGCATTTGTGGCTTCGAAGGATCTATTAATGTAACCTGATATGCTCCGTGGTCTTGGTTGACAGGTGCAGGGCAACTTCGTGCTTATGCGTGTAAGATTGTTCACTAACCCGTGAGCGGAGACATTGCAAGTGCGGAATAGTGCTTACCTCGCCTTGTGAAGTATGGGTTCAAGCCGAGAATCACAACTCGCGTCTTGCACAATTTACGTTCTACGCGAAGTCTCTATCACCTGGAAGGATTGTGATGGTGTACTAGCTTATGTGCTTCTTGGTATCCCAAAGCCTGAGCTCATCGATCCAATATTAACCATATCTTTGTCAATGCCGGGGCATTTGTTCATTGAGTTCCTATTCACTTCTCCCAAGGCAGCTCAGTTCGAGTTCGTTGCTCGACGGTTTCACTGTATGCATCATGTCTCAGCTACGTGCTGCTATTACAGCATGGCTTTTAATTTGGCTCGTTGCGCCATCAACAGCACAGAGATATTCGCAAAACCTACAGAATGCAAACGGCGGTCAATGCTGGCAGCCTGAAGCCGGCAATGCTTGCACGCCCGTGCTCCGCCCTGCGCAAGCGTTTTTCCTTGAGTATAATTGCCGCTACATGCCAGCAATTTGCCAAAATGCCCGAGCATGGCTCACGGGACACACAGTGAATGGTCAAACACGGTCTGAATTTTCATACGATTTTGACGGAGACCGAAAGGACTGGCGACGAGATCGTGAATCTTGTCCCAGCAACTGGATCAACAATGGAAGATGTCCGGAGACAGGAAATCCGGGCCAGCCGCTTGCCTATCGTTGGACGATCGGTACGAGAGCAAGCGCTGGAGTCGCAGCAGTCCCAGGCCACGGTGAATTCTGGCCGACGATCGCTCTGGTACAGGGAAGTAACAATCAAATTGGACCCGATGCCAACGGCAATCCATCTGGAATGATCTACTCCTGCGACGAGTTTCCTCCTGCAACATGGATCGAGGGCGGTCAAGGTGCCAATACACGATGCGCCGCTTTCAGATGTGCAGCTACTCGGTACAAAGCCGAGCAGCAATTCCAAGCCGAATCGCATCAAATCCTTCGGAACTACATGGCCCGAGTTCTCGGACAAACACCAACCGGCGCACAAGTTGTTCCCTTTCTCTTCCGCATGAGAAATACAGACGACGGAGTTCCCTCGTCACATGGCCAGATTGATATTGAGGACATTGCCAATCCTTTCCGAAGAAGCGAGAGCTCAGCCAATGCTACTACTTGGCACGAGGAGTTGCACAATCTTAGTATGGATGAGATCAGATCACGATATCGTGTCCAGACGCATCACTACATGCTGAACCAGACCGAGCACAGTCAAGACTTCAAGCTGAGCATGAACTTCGGCAAGGAAGGTCTCAGCACTTGGAGCTCGGAGTATGGCAGTATGATTGAGCCGTCATTGGATATGATTAACGCGCCCAAATCTCCAGCCATCGTCTCAAATGTCTCAATCTCATTTTCCGGCGAGGACGAGGAATCCGACGCGTATGTGCAACCTCTCACGCCACATCGGACAAAGACCTACCCTCGAGGAGGACAACTCCTTTCGAGCATCCACGGGCGAGCTATTACGGAATCCCCATTGCTGAAAAACGCCACGGAAAGCGCGCTGCAAGCCGCCATCCGTCTCGTAGAACAGGCGATTTCCGACTCCACGAAGCTCAACGAAGCGCGTTACGCGAATGTCGCTCGGAATGCATATCAGCTTGCTCCAGGTACCGTTATCGGAACCGCAAATGGGGCACAGCGACGAAAACGTCGAGGCATTGCCGGCCTCATTGGGCTTGATGATGCAACGTCCCTTCCACCTCCACTTCTGGACGTAAATGCCGAGTTGGCAGCTGCTGCAGCGTTGGTCGCAGAGGCAGATGCTGCTGGTATTACTGGCCTGGGAGCAACAGCTAATATCACTCGACGAGCCACGGTTGCTCCTCGGGCTGGCTCGTTCTGGATGGCTGGTCTTGCGCGCAAAGGAACTGTCCCGTGGGGCAACGACCCCAGCTACAAGATCTTTCGAAACGTCATGGATTATGGTGCTACGGGTGACGGCAAGACCGATGACACAGCAGCGATTCAAAAGGCCATGATCGATGGCAACCGATGTGGTGAAAATTGTCATGGCTCTACTACTAAGAACGCCATCGTGTACTTCCCTCCCGGCACTTACCTTGTTTCCAAATCGATCGAGATGCCCTTCGGAACTCAAGCTATCGGCGATGCTAACAGTCGCCCAACGATCCTCGCTGCCAGCCGTTTCATCGGACTGGGTGTATTGTCCACCGATAAATACACTGGCGGCGGCGCCGGATCTGATGGTCTCGATCAGGAATATTATGTCAACACAGCCAACTTTTATCGACAGATCCGAAACCTTATAATCGATGTTACGGCAACTCGTCCTGTTCAGGGTGTTTCCGGCGTCCATTATCAAATCGCACAGGCCACATCGATGCAGAATGTCGACCTAATTGCCAAGACGGGCACAAATCAGCGTGGAATGTTTACCGAGAATGGCAGCGGAGGTAAGCGTCCCCGATGGAGATTAAACTTGACACATTGATACTGACTGATCAATTAGGTCAAATCTCGGACGTGAACTTCAAGGGCGGCAACTTTTGTATTTACGGAGGCAACCAGCAATTCACAGCGCAGCGCTTGACTTTTGATGGCTGTGACACTGCCGTCAGAACCATCTGGGACTGGGGCTGGGTCTGGAAGTCCGTTACTGTCAAGAACGTCAAAGTCGGCTTTCAACTGCTCCCCGACGGCACCACACAATCCAAGACTGATTCCGTCAAAGTGTCTTCTGGCAACATCGGATCTGCCTCATTTGTCGATTCGAGCTTCAGTGGAGTTGGGACTGCGGTCATTGTTGCGCCTTTAAGCTCAACTCCTGGAAGCGGCAGCACTGGCATAATTCTCGAGAATGTGGACTTCAGCAGTGTCACCACCGGTGTTGCAGATACAAGCGGCAAGACTTTGCTCGCAGGTGGTAGCCAACACATCGATGAATGGGTCGCTGGGCCTGTTTACTCAGCCAGTGGCACTCGTAGCTTCAACATGGGAGGAAACATCTCCAAGTACCCAAGACAGCCATCACTTCTGGATACGAGCAAGACAAACTCGCCGTACTACGAGCGCGCGCGACCTCAGTATGAGACTCGCTCACCTTCTGACTTCGTCCATCTCAAAGATCTTGGTGCCAAAGGTGATGGCTCCACCGATGACACTGCTGCTGTCCAAGCAGCATTCAACAATAACGTTGGTAAAATTATCTTCGTCGATGCTGGAACATACATCCTGACCGATACGATCCTCATTCCTGCGGGATCCGTTCTTGTTGGTGAAACCTGGTCACAATTTGCCGCGTCAGGTGACAAGTTCAAGGATCCTAAGAACCCACGAGTCATGCTGAGAGTTGGTCGAGCCGGCGACGTTGGTACCATGGAGATGCAGGATCTCTTGTTCACCACGCAAGGTCCGACCGCCGGAGCGATCTTGGTGGAATGGAACATCAAAGCCAGCACCCAGGGTGCGGCTGCATTGTGGGATTGCCACGCCCGTGTAGGCGGTGCAACGGGAACAAAGCTTACCGATAAGGAGTGCCCTGCTATCACTACTGGTACCGATCCTGGCTGCCAGGGTGCTAGCATGTTGTTTCACCTTACCTCACAAGCTTCGGGATACTTCGAGAACATGTGGCTTTGGGTCGCCGATCACAATATTGACGATGCAGACTTATCCAGCCCGAGCAATCCGATGATCCAGAATAGTGTCTACGTTGCCCGAGGCTTCCTGATTGAATCGAACACTGCAACTTGGTTGTACGGTACTGCTTCTGAGCATTCCGTCTACTATCAGTACAACTTCAACGGTGCAAGCAATGTCTACGCTGGCATGCTTCAGACCGAATCTCCTTACTACCAGCCTATGCCGAAGCCGCCGGAGCCATTCGCCAACGTCATCGGACAATTCTCTGGAGACCCGACCTACCGCTGTGGCAGCGACTCCGATGGCTGTGACGCATCATGGGCCGTTATAGTGCGAAAGAGCTCAAATCTTCATTTTGCGGGTGCCGGTGTTTACTCCTGGTTCTCCAGCTACACCCAGGACTGCATCGACTCGCAGACCTGTCAGAAGGCTCTTATTCTTGCCGAGAAGAACCAAGCAAACGTTCGTTTCCAACATCTGATCACTATCGGAGCCAAATACATGATCTTTTCAGATGGCAAGGGAATTACCGCTGCCGACAACCTCAATGTTAAGGGCCATCCACGCTGGTCGCAGATCACTGTCATGGACCTCGCACAGGGTAAGGCTGACCATCAATCGCCAATTTCCGCTACTGTCATTCCACTACCACATACGACTGTGGCACCAGGAGCAACACTTACATTGAGTGCTCCGATTCAGTCCGATGCTTTGAGTCTTCCGAATGATGGTAATCAGAACAACGCTCCTGGTCCAGGAGCCAACGATTGCGAAAGTTGTAGCTTCTTCCGTCTCATCTCATCCACATGCTGCGGCACCGGAGGAAGTCTCGGTAATCCGCTCGCCATTCCAAGTGGAGTCGGTACATACTTGCCAATCCAGCTGCCAGCTGGTTTTGTGCCGAATCAGGCATTCACGGGAGAGGACGGAACAACGTATCCTAAGGGAGTCGCGCTTCCCAAGCCCGTCACAATTCCTGTTGGCACCACATTCCCCACCGTCTTCATCATCCCAGCAGGTCAGCCTCTTGCGCAAGGTGAAGATGGGCAACCCGGCTCTGGTGAAATTATCTGGATCGATCCCAAGATCTGGGGTCAGCCAAATCCTCAGATTGCCTGCGACAATTTTCCTTGCACGTTCAAATTCCCTCCGTGGACGGGCGCCACCAGCACTGTCGACTATCCTATCATGACAGTCATCAATGGCTCGTATTCTACAACCATCACTCGTAGCGCCATCACCATTACCGAGTGGGTTTTTGTGCCCTACACGCTCACGGCACCTGGTCCGACCACCATCCCGACTGTCACTAAGACGACAACGTCTAGCTCTACGACGCCCATATTCTTCATCTGGCCACTACCAAGTTTCGCATCGACATCGACATGGCCACCGGTGACATACGTGTCATCTGGTACCACCAGAACGACACGACCCCCCGCAACAAGCGTCTCATCGAGCAGTGGCGGCGGTGGTGGCGGAGGCGGCGGTGGTGGAGGTCCTAAGCCCACACCCCGACCGAAACCGCCATCAATCAATCCCCCTCCGGGCCCGCCGCCAGGCGGTAATTGGCCGACGGGCATCACCATCACGGTCAACCCTGGTAAACCTTCTCCAACCGTGAAGGATTGTTCCTTCCCAGATTTCAATTGCCCCAACCCTCCTGGTGTCACTGATGGACCAGGATACGATCCTCCGGACAACGACCCTGACGATGAGGATGATGATGACGATGATGAAGAAGAGACCCCTTGCTCGGCCAGCGGCAACGACGGTGGCGGGGGTGGTAGCGGAGGCGGCGGCAGTGGAGGCGGAGGCAGTGGTGGAGGTGGCAGCGGCGGAGGCGGTGGCGGTGGCGGTGGCAGCGGAGGCGGAGGCGGAACTCCCACCGACCCTTACAAACACCCCGATCCTCAAAACAACGCCCTCGACTGCTACAACTCCGGCCAGAAAGAGACCAACGCCAAGATGGCCGCTGCGGCGGACTCCTTCTGCAGCTACAACCTGGCGCCCATCGCTTCCACATCATCCGTCTTCGGACCTGGCTTCACGCAATTCGCCAAGAAAAATCCCCCGGGAAGCAACCGCATCGATCTCAGTGTCGAGGTCTACTCCGGATGTTCCTGGACGTTTGACATGGATCAGTGCAAAAAGTACTTACGCGGGCCGATCGATGGTTGTAATTGTGATGGCAAGGATGGGAAGCAGGGCGGTGTTGTGAAGAATAGCTGCATCGGCTGGCGGATCGATCCCAACACGGGTATTTGAGATGGCGCTCCCGGCCACTGAGGCTGCTTTGAGGTTTTTTTTCCAGTAACGCATCATATATGAAAAAGTTTGACACATCATGAATACACCATCGAATAAATATCACCATTGCTACGAGACACCATAGGAACAACGCTTCTTATATCCGGTTTCGCCCTGTGCGACAGTATAATTCCTCAGAGATGGAAGCCCGGAAATGCCACTATATGTTAGCTGCGTTCTCGCGGCCTCGCACCGCTCACAGGACCCTCGGGGCTTCAGTATTCCCGGACACGACATGGCTGGTTTCCCAGGTTTGTTAGACCTCCTCACCGTCTGACGCGGATGGGCTTCGGGTGTGACACCGAGGCGATGTATTCTTCCTAGGTATCGTCCTTAGTTCAGATTGGAAATCGCCGTGTTGGACAATGAAATCGACAAGGAAAGAAGGAAACAACTCAAATGGTGAAGAAGATAGGAAATTCAACTAAATACATACATACGGCAAGAGCAGACAAGAAGAAGAATACGATAAGAGAGAAGAACCAAGCAGGCAAGCAAGCCGCAATCCCCGATCCCAATCGAAAGGCATACCATCACATACCTTTCGCCAGACCAATGCTCTCCCGCAAGGGACTTTCCCTCTCCACGCCCGGTTTCAATTGCTCCCTCCTTTTCTGTCCTTCTTTTTTTTCGCCCAATGCTTAAGTGTGTATGCTTCTCAATCCCGCAAACGAAAAACCCAAGAGCCTGACCGACCGACCGACCGAACCGAACCGGACGCCATCGCTAACCCTTTTTCAACAACGTCAACCAGCACGCGCCCCCCTCACGCCTCCCCCTTGCTCAAATCGCCCTCCATTTTTGTCCTCTCGGCGCGCCCCAATGCAAGAATGTTTCCCGTTTGCCTTTGGGCCCAAACTGTGAATAGATGCTTTGTTATGTAATAAAATTGTTTTCGGTGTTGGTGGTGATGCGCACGCACGTTTCCAGATGCTTTGTTGTGACTGCAGTCTACTCATGTTGTCCTTGCTCCTGCCTGCCAGTCTGCTCCGAGCGACGACGACGACGAAAACACAACTATTGTGGGGACTTGGCGTTGTTCTGGTTTCCGCGACGGTTGTCGTTCTCGTTGATGCCGAGGTTGTTCATGCCCGAGGAGAGGAACGAGAAAGGATCGGAACCATTCTCGGCGCCTGCGTAGCCATTGTGGTTGGCACTGTTGTGATTGTTATTGTTGTTGTTGTTACCGCCGCCGTTGTAGTGACCATTGGCGTATTGCTGTCCGCCCTGCGGTGGTCCGCTGGAGTTGCCTTGGTTGAAAGCTTGTTCGGCTCGGCTATCAAAGCCGCCTTGTCCAGCAGCGTGGTTGTTGTTGCCGGCCATGTGAGGAGGGTATCCGCCGCCCATGTATTGATTCTGACCAGCGATACCGGATGGCAAAGCGTATGTCGATGGTGGGCCGAAGGACTGAGCACCAAAGTTGCCCGGTGGGCCAGGCATGCCGTTACCGCCGTAATTGCCAGGAGGCTGGGGCATGGAGTTGTACGAGCTCGGGTCCATCGACTGCATAGGAGGCATGTTGGGAGGGCCGCCGTAGGAATGGTTTGGGAAGCTTGGAGCACCATTGTCGGCGATGACGGCGGCGTTGCTGCGTGAGGAACCACATCGCAAGCAGTTGATGTTCTTGGCGAAGTTGTGGTAGGCGCAGGTTTCATTGCCACATTTCCAGTCACCAGCACGGAAGGGAACAACTCCTCCGCGTCCACCAGAGCCGCTCATATTACCGCCGCCCATGCCGCCGTATCCGGGTCCGTGTCCATGTCCGCCCATCATGCCGGAGGGTCCACCATAGTTAGGGCCACCGTAAGGTCCAGGCTGCATTCCGTATGGCTGCTGGCCGTACGGGTCTGGCTGAGCACCCATGGCGGGGAATGAGCAGCGGAAGCATGCTGTGCGGCGTTGGAAGTTGGAAAAGCCACAGCTTGGGCAGCTCCAATCTCCCGGACGCGGTCGGTTCTTTGACGGCGGGAATGGAGTGAGAAGTGGTGGGCCGCCCGGAGGCTGCGATTGAGCAGCACGGTCTAAAACTCGGCTCGACGAAGGTGAGACCTCAATAGCGCGGTCATTCAACGCTCGTCCGTTCATGCTAAGCGACTCAGCGGCCTGTGTTTCCAAGTTGTTAGTATGCGATGGTTTCGGGCAATACCGACCGTAGGTTGATCTTGTCAGAAAGGCTGCCATTTCGAAAGCTTGGTGAAGTATGCGCAGTGAGCAACAGTCTCAGATGCCTCAGCCGTGATCACCAGTGCACTCTGGAAGCAACGATAGGCATGCTCAACAGTCAGAGGGCTAAATGACCGCTTTTGCCTGGTCATGAGAACAGTGGGGGCTATGTAACGACTTCTTCACCGCCCGCCAACACGGCTGCCCGAGCCGAAAATTGACGTCGCACAACATGAACACGAATACAAGTGTGCGTGAAAGATAGATGGAGGCCGGGTATTCGCACGAAAGAGCCGAAAACACAACACCACGGATGGAATGTAAAAAAAGATGTAAACACAAACGTACCTCTTCGTGACTACCAAAGACAACAAAACCGCTACCGCTGGGTTTGCCGCCTTCGGGAGTTCGCAGCGTCCAGAATGCGATAGGACGACCGCCGTATTGTGTAAACCAGCTCTCGAGTTCCGACTGAGTGGTATCGTGAGGGAGACCGCTCAAGTGGAGCACTTTGCTGCGCTCTCCGAGGAAAGCTCGGACGTCACTCCGGGCATCGAGAGGGCGGGAGAGGATGCCCTCAGTACCTTGGGGGTTGCTTGGTGAAGGTCGAGACTTGACTAGTAAGGAGTTTAAGCAACGGGACAGCGTCAAGGCTTCCTCCAAAGCGCGTCGGGGCGAGGTAGGAGCCAGAGCTTGTAGGTGAAATGGCAGTCCGCCAGTGACCTTTCCAGATGAACGCACTTCCTCGACCTCCAGACCAGCGCAGATGGACGAAAGGCTGGACGAGCTAAAGGCCAAAGTTTCGGGGTGCTGAGACTGGAACATCTGGTATTCCGAACGAAGTCCAAAGAGGATCGGGTGCTGCAGGTAAGGTGGGAGGACGACGTTCTTGTCACGCGCCTCACGAGGCAGCTGCACCCGGAGATCCCAGGGCGTCAGGGTCACGAAAGCAAACGAAGGGTGCGCGCCGGGACCGGCATCCTTGGGAACGAGATGCTCGCTGGCATAGACATCGAACGCATTGATGGCATCGCGGAAGGTGCCTGCGTTCTTTACATGTTCCCAAGTGAGCGTGGTCAATGAAGTGCACAGCGGCGTGATGGGCGTGTTCACGGGTCGGACCAGCACGGATTGACGGTGGAGCTGTAGCAGTGATTAAGGTCAGCAAGTAGCCCTTTTCTCTCCTTGTGATTATTTATCTCAGCATATCTCCTGTCTCTCGCTCTTTCACATACCTCTCGCTCAGGGTTCTTTGCGTCTATGACGACCCATCCAATCTCAATGACCTCTGCACTGTCCTTTGTCACGTAGACTCCATGCTCATCACAGGTGGTGGCAATGTGAATGACACAGTACCTCTCGAATGGTGGGTTGCTGGTAGGTTGCTGCTGTTGGGATTGGTGCTGCTGCTGTTGGTACGGAGTCACGGAGTTGGATTGAGACGACCTCTCGACCGAATATCCCGGTTGCGATGCTGATGGACCGGTCACTTGTGATGCTGGGGTTGGGTATGCATTGTTGCCATAGGCCTGGCCTTGCGTAGGTGTTGACATGTTGTAAGCGTGTGACGTGGACAGCTGCCACGGATGACGTTGGTTCTGGGGAGAGATGCCGTCGATATCGTTGGTCTGCGATGTGCAGAAATTGGTGTTTCCTCGAGCCGTACAAGTATGCTGGTTAGTTCTGACACTGCAGATGATGATGAATCTCCAAAGACTGAATGACTGTCTGCTGGACAGTTGTCTGGCTGATGTCGGACGAGATGCTGTGAAGCTCGAGGGAGCTCCTACACTCCGAAAAAGGGAGTCCTTTGAAGGGAGGTGGCAGTGAGAAAGCACACGCAGGAGATGAATTTCCCAGCAGCGAGTCCGAGGACTAGGAAATGAAGCTGGAAACACGCGAGCGGATGGTGGAGAGGAGATGGATTTATGTCCTGCTCACCATTGCATTGGAGCAGATCTCAGTACTAGTTTAAAGTGTAGTCGCAGGTGGTCGGACAATTATTACAATCCAACCTGAGTAATGTTGGACCTCCGGAAGTTCAGGGTCAAGCAGCGGCGGCGGTGGTCGACGATCTGAATATAGATCGGCGGGAATACCCTCGCCCAGTACCCAAGAACATCCAACATTATTCTTAAAACCTTTAATATTTATACAGTCGATAACAAATTCCTCATGGTATTACTCCCTACCTTGGTAGACAGCTGGTCATAAATTACAGCTCATCTATACAGTACATAACCTGCACATCTGCCTCTCCTGCTAGGATCAAAGTCCCGCAATGACCCCATCCCCGTGCCTCTCCGCAAACATGCCAAGCGCTTTGATTGGGAAGATGAATTTGTAGTTCGGATAAGAGATCGTGCTGTATTGAACAATGTCAGTGACGATAGTCGACAACGTATACCGAACTAGCACAAGGCAGAATGTTCGAAACTCACCAGCTTTTGTTGAAAACTCCCTCAATGCCTTCCTGCAGCCACTCGCCATTGGCCTGCTGTCGTTGCATGAGAAGTCGAACAGCTCTCTCGACCGGTTCTTTGTCCGGGAATTGAGCTTCGAGGAGAGCGATGATGGCCTAGAGAGAAATTTACTGATTAGCGTCCACACCGGACATTCTTTCCAAAAGACGAGATGACTCACCCAAGCCGTCTGCACAACCTGCGACCCATCCGGATGTTGACACCACGTGCTAGTCTCGCAGCTCTTGTAACTCTCTCCCCATCCACCATCATCCGCCTGCCTGTCAAGGAAGAATTGACAGGCTCTCTTCACCCGTTCGCTGTTCGCATACGTCTCACCCTGCGACGCGAGACTCTCCAGGGCAAACATTCCCGCATATGTGAAGCAGATGCCCCAGCTACCATACCACGAGCCATCCGCGCGCTGGTTCGTGCGAATCCACGTCACAGCGCGAGTGATGAATTTCTTGATCTCTTCTGCGCGATAGGATGGGTAAAGCTGGTTGAAGAGGTGCAGCGTGGTGACGCACGCGGTGGTGCACTCCGGGTAGTCGTATTCGACCATGATGCGACCAAAGACTTCGGCAGCATTGAGATATTCCAGGTTCTCACTACCTCGCGTTGGTTCGTACGAGCTGCAAGCGCCATTGCGATTTTGCATCGTGAGCAGGATGTCGATGGCCCATTTGATGCGTTGGTCATCTATGAGTGCGGGGAAGAGTTTCTTTCGCGAATCCTGCGGATCTTCCACACGTTGAATCAACATGATCGACTTCACGGCTTCGGCAGTACAGTCAGACACGGTATAGCCCTGGATCCGGTTGCTGAAACCCCATGCTCCGCGGCGGGCGTGACGATAGCCGGCTTGTGCACAGGTTTTCTGGGTCGGAGGATCGGAGTAGGCGGGAGAGTTCTCGTAGCCGACCGCGTGTGTCAGAATCTGTTGGTCCTCAAGAAACTCGAGGGACTTCAGCACCAAAGAATGAAACTCGGGCTTTTGCGCCAATTCTGCAGACATGGCTGCTTGAATAGTGAAGGCCGTGTCCCAGTTCTGCACGCCATTCGTTCCATTGACCATCATGCCGTCTTTGGACATCCACAAGTATTCGGCCAAGTTGGCGCGAATCTTTTGGATGGACTCCGCATCGGGACCCTCCCGTATATAGCAGCAGAGAAGATTCATCGGAGCGTTGACGGGAGCCAAGCCAGCATGATCTGTGTTGGCATTCTCCATCAAGATCAATTCCCAGACCCACTGCTCTGCCCGTTTGACTAGCCATGAGGCCCGGAAAATAGGGATATAGACGGCCGCGAGGAGAAAATTGAGAAGATTCAAGACCCAGGACTTAGGATTGTAGTTGTCGGCCGGACTGATAGCATTCCGATACCGTGACCACGCGATTTCCTCGTGGGGGGCGGTGAACAGCTCCTGTCGCAACTCCCGAATCAGAGAGTCCGAATCCGCCTTTGGGTAGACCCATTTCTGAGACCACAACAGACTCATCGGAAGAAAGACCATTCGCATGTGTATCCACCACCTCCATGGCGATATAGGCGTCCAATCCGGGAGCAGCCAGAGTTCTGGCGGTACTGGGTTCACAATATCCCATCGCATGACTCCGAGGATAGACAGCCAGAATTTTGCCCAATGAGGACCGTTGAGCGCACCACCCAGTGAATACAGGCACGCGCGAGCCTTTTTCATCCGCGCATCATCTGCGGGCACGCCGAGCAGTCGAAGAGACGTGTAATTCATGGCGGTGCCAAACACAGTAGAGTCACCTTCGATATGAAGACCCCAGCCGCCGTCGCCGCCATTCTTGGTGCCAATATTTTGCATGTTGAAGAGGTATCGAATCATCTCTGTCTGCTCGGCTTGTGTCAGGGGTAAGTTTGTCACGTAACATGTGATGACAATCCCTGGGAGAAGGAACATCGGACCGCCGTATTCGCATGCCCAATTACCCGGTTCCAGTTGGAGATTTGAGAAGAAATTCATTCCATTCTGTGCGGCCTGTTGTGGTGTCTTTGCCTTGGGAAGTCCTGGGAGACCCTAATTCGAGCGGATGTCAGCATTCATCTATGGAGAATACGACAGATGACTTACAGTGTCAAGACCCATGTGGAACTTGTCAGCAGTGGTCAAGGGCCATTCCTTCACTTCTTTATCGCTCTGTAGGTAATGCCATGTTTGACGCCCTCTATCGTCTCGCAACCGCCATCGTGTTAGCTCGGTCTTGTGAACAGTCGCATTCTTGATGGCCAGATCGGCCTCCGACTTTTTGTGCCCAAGTTTGGAAGTTGCCATTGCGATGTGGCTCTTCGTCGCGAAAATGTCACCGACGATAGTTGATGAGGATCTAATGGTCTATGTCGTGTCTTGATCAGTGTATAATTAATTATTAATTACTTATACTTTCGACCCTGGATCATTAATTCACAAGTGGTTCGATTTGATATGCAGGTACGCGAGAAAGCTCATGGAGTGAACGCTAGTTCATAAACAGACAAGCGTGCACAAGTCTGTTGCTTATCGATAATCTCGACTTTATTTTGTCAATTGTCTGATGACGCTGAACTGGGGGGAAATTTTGATCACATAGGTAGTCTTGAATTCTGAAGTCCCGCAGAATAGCAATTTCCTGGGATCACGCACCTCAATTCCTGATTGATATTGGGCAACAAAACACACGCCATGTCTCCAACAGATTCAGTGCCACTGAGCCCCGAAGAAATCGACGACGTGCTCTATTTCACTCGCGCAAACGAGCCCCACGATCTACAGCAGACACTTTCCGAGCTTGCAGCAAAACACAACACTTCAATAAAGGACGTTCTCGAGGGATCGATAGATTCGCAAACCGGCAACACAGTTTTCCACTTCTGCTCCGCGAATGGACTGATCGATTTGTTACCGTCGTTACTATCACCGTCGAACGAGTCCCGAGTATCTGCACAGACCATCAACCTTGGCAATCGAGAGGGCAACACAGCCCTACATTGGGCCGCATACAATGGCCATCTCCAAGTAGTGAAGTTGCTTATAGCGGCGGGCGCGGATATGTGGATCAAGAATGCGGCGGGACATCTGGCCATGTTCGAGGCGGAACGAGCGGACAAGAGCGATGTCGTCCAATACCTGCTCGAGGCTGGTGGAGAGAAAGTGGAGGAGGAAGGATCAGAAGCCCAGCCTTCTGCGGAAGAGGTTGCTGATGTTCAGAACGGGGAATCATCCAGTAGCAGTGCACCAGCTCAATAGAAGGACGGCGGTGGCAGAAGGAATACGAAGAGCAATGTCAGAAGTGACATCCGGGCGAGCTCGTTTGACATGTTGCGCTCCTTTGCCGTATAGGACCATGTGGGGGTCAAGTCTGCTTGGATATATTCAAGTCAGGCTGCTCATCAATCAAAGGGAGGCTAAGACATGAATGATTGGGTGTCATGCATGACCCGACGCAGAACGAATGCGTATGTTGAGAAACACGACCTCGACGATCCCGGACAATACCATACTGCCTCATCCGGACAGGAAACTTTGATCATGCCAGGTGAATATACCCGCGCGCATTTTCAAGTGGAATTTGCGAAAAGTCTGGGTTGGCGGTTCCCGGATGCTGCTTTGCCCAGATCATCTCATGTGTCGGATCATTGTTTGCCTCACATAGAAATGAAGTCAACGAAGTAACGATCGATAAACCATCGCCACGAACGCGAATATCCTCTCCTCGAATAATCTCTCCTCGAATGATCGACGTAATTGTTCAGCAGTGGAGCAAATGGCTACAGAATTAACAGTGTGAATATGAGGACGCGTTCCAGCTCGGGCCGAAGTGTGACGCATGCATGTGCAAGGCGCGCCGAAATTTCCTTGTCCCCAGCCATTGGCGCGCGCAAAAGTGTGGAGAAAGTGGCTAACAACTGCACACACTCTCTCTCTCTCTCCGACATCATTCTGGTCTGTCGTGTCGTCCATTGTCCCCTCAAGAATTACGAAAGTTGAGACACTGGAAACTCTCGATCTCTACACAATACCATAACAGCGGAGTTTACAGGCAGTGGTATCGCTGTCGAGCAGCGTACCGAGGCGACCGCAATTGCGACCGATTCCTCGTCCGAATTTCGTCACAGAACTCAGGGCAGCGTCCATCGTTGACAACCCAGGATCCAAAATCTCCCTTTTTTTCAAAAAGCAGAAAACAACGATCGAAACACATTCAAGAAATTCTCACAAAAACGAACACGATCATGCTCGACATCGCAGCCATTAGCGGCATTTGCGGCTCAATCAGCATCGCCTGCTGGGTCGTCGTTTTCTCACCACAGATCATCGAGAACTTCCGACGCAGCTCCGCCGAGGGATTGAGCGTCGAATTTGTCATCATCTGGCTGGCCGGAGATGTCTTCAACATTCTGGGCTCGGTGTTGCAGGGTGTCCTGCCGACCATGATCATCCTGGCAATCTATTACACATTTGCAGATGTCGTCCTGCTGGCGCAATGTTTTTACTACCGCGGCTTGGTATTCCGGGATCCTCGACCGGACATCCCAACCCCGGCGACAAATGCTCCGACCGAAACATCTCCATTGCTAAATGGCAATTCTACTGGAAATTTGAATGTCCCAGCATCATCAAATCAACACGTCCCGAACGCGGCAGATGTCGAATACACACCCAGTCGATCCCGTCGCTCCTCCTTCCGGGAACGTCTCACCAGCATCGACGCCACCCACCTCTCTCCCGCCGCGCCCATGCATCCCCAACCTAACCCAAGCTCGCCAAATGCCTCCATCAAAGCCTCCCGACCACGAAACTGGGCGCAAGCAATCCTCTTCAACGGAACGGTAATTATCCTGGTCATCCTGGCAGGATTCCTCGGCTGGTACCTCAGCCCCGCATCATCCGAAAAGAACGACAAGGACCAAGCAAAGGGAACCAATCCTGCCAGCCACCCTTCCTTCAACCTCTGGGGCCAAATCTTCGGCTACATCTGCGCGGTGCTCTACCTCGCCAGCCGGGTCCCACAGCTCCTCCTCAACTACCGACGGAAATCCACCGAAGGCCTAAACGCCCTCTTCTTCATCTTCGCCTGTATCGGAAATCTGACCTATGTCTTCTCCATCTTTGCCTTTGAGCCCGTATGTAGCTCCCGCGGTGGCGCGCATCATCACGGACGGTGGCAGGAGCGCAGTTGTACCACCGATGAGGCCCGCGCGATCTATGGCAGGTACATGTTGGTGAATTTGAGTTGGTTGATTGGCAGTTTGGGCGCATTGTTTTTGGATTTCGCCGTGTTTGGGCAGTTTTGGGTTTATCGGGCCAAGGCGGCAAAGAAGCTTGACAACGATGAGGAGGAGGCTGCTGTAAATTAGCTGAAGTACGAGAGAGTGGGAATCGAGCGAATTGTGTTTGGTGAGATTATGGCCGGTTGTTCGGCGTCTCTTTCTGCTGTATCTATATGGATCGTGAATTTCGTGATATCTCGTTCTTCTCTTCATTCCAATGATATTTTTGGGAAGGTGGCAACACACATCACCATGGTTTCTTCATCACTTCGTTATCCTCCTGTTGATCACCTCTCAATAACTCCGATTAACTCCTTCGTGAACCCCCTGAAAATCGGCTCCAACGAGCAATCCAAATACTTCTCCACCAAAAACCCCTCCGTTCCTCCTGGCTCCCCATCTCCATCACTTTCTCTCGCAAGATCCCTCCCCTCGACCACCGTCCCCACCGGATAAACCGGCCTTCGCCCCTCCTCGATCAAGCGAATGAACATCGGATCAATCGGGACACTGCCCAAGAACGGCACCCCGAACTCCCGCGCCATGACCTCGCCCCCGCCCTTGCTGAAGATGTTCGTGCACTCGGCGCAGTTCGGACACACGAACCCGGCCAGGTTCTCGACCACGCCGAGGACGTCGACGCCCACCTTCCGGCAGAAATTGATCTCCTTCTTGACGTCGGAGATGCTGATCGCCTGCGGCGTCGTCACGACCACCGCGCCGGAGAGCTGCGACGGCCCGCAGGAGAGCAGGAGCGTCTCCACGAGCGAGATGTGCTCATCGCTCGTCCCGGGCGGCGTGTCGATGAGCAGGTAATCGAGGGCTCCCCATTGCACATCGGTCAGGAATTGTCGGATCATGGCGGTCTTCTTGGGGCCGCGCCAGACCACCGCGTCGCCGCGGCTGGAGAGGAGGAAGCCGAGGGACATGCATTTGAGCGGGCCGATGGAGGTGGTTCCTTGTGTCGTTGTTGGGGGGGGATTGGTGTCGTGCACGCTGACCGGTAGCCATCCCCCGGGCGCCTGTGTGACTTTGGCCGCTTCGATCCCGAAGAAGCGCGGGATGGAAGGCCCCGTGAGGTCGACGTCTAACACGCCGACGGATTTGCCTTGGAGGGAGAGGCTGAGGGCGAGTTGGGTTGTCACGCTGGATTTCCCTACGCCGCCTTTACCGGAGAGGACGAGAAGGATGTTTTTGACGTCTTGGAGGGACATCCTTGTGGAAGTCGGGATTTCTCTTCTTGTTTCGTCGAAATTCTCCGGATCCTCGATGATGACTCTCGCAGTGGAAGGCTTTATCTTGCCACTTTTTCCTTCAGTAGCTCTGGGAAGTATTAGGTTGGATTAATTGGCGTGGTGATTAAATGAATCTTCCGGAAACCATTTGCACTTATTTCTTAAACTGTCGAGGCTCGTTCCATGGATGGTGATTGTGAATGTCCTGCAGGTGCTTATCAATCACTTCCACGCTTGTAAATGTGGCAAGGGTTGGGGTTATGTATAACCCTAAAGCACACACTGCACAGGTGCAGGTGCCCAGGTGTACTGCTTAAGCAAGAACATATGACTTGAATTTATTACTCGTCTCTTTGTATTACGCGACGAAACGGCGATCAGTTGGATGTGCGTGAATAGTTGATATTCGTAACGCAAGCAATAAGATCTGATGAGAGTCGTGTCTGCCAACGTGTGTCATGGAATCGGTGTTGTCCACAAAGCAATCTCGACGTTCGAGTATTCCTGGCAATCTGCCGTGATGATTCACGAGCGACAGAGACTAACCCAGTGCAATTCACAAAATCTGAAACGATCAAACTGCCGTTCCAAAAATCACCATCATCGCCAAGAGTAGGTGCACTGCGAACGGGAGGGAAGATAATTGTTTACATCATACAAGACTTCGAAAAACTGTCATTGCAAACAAAAACTTGCACAAGAGTTGCTAGTAGTACTGCCCAAAAAAATCAACTCGTACGCCGTCGCAACCGTTTGCGAATAAAGCCAAGAATAAAAGATCCCAGTCACGCCTGGATGCGCAACCTATGTGCCCAATCCCATTTGAACGCCTTGCCCTTACCAAAGGACGTAATGTGCTAAACTTGCTTCAAGCAAAAAACTCCGAAGCAGCAGTCGATCACGACGACGATGAGGAGACGCTTGACTGCGACTGCAGCGACGCCTTTCGCTCTGATGGTGATGAAACGTCGGAACTTGACTGGACGCTCCGGCGGCGTGATGAGGCGGTCGCGGTCTCGAACTGTTGACGGGTGTGCTCGTGCATGATTCTGTTGGGGAGGAATGATGTTAGTGGTTTTGTTCTTTGTGATATGCTTCGTATGTCCTGGGTGTGTGGAGGTGGTTTGGTGGTATAGACGAACCTTTGGTAGGAGCTCATGGCGGCGACAGGGTCTTCGTTCTCGCCGGATGTGGAGTGAGCTGGGCGCGAGATGGACTCTTGGCCGTAGGCGGACTGTGAGTTGGCAGACATTGTGACGTGTAGGGTTATGGGTAATGTTTTCTTGGTTGTGGGAGCACGGAGATGTAGTCGTCTACGATATCGCGTGATGGTATGCAAGACGTCGGGTTTGTTGTAGCGGTAATGGAGGTAGGGCAGTTGCTTAATTATGGTAGATGTCGGTATCCGATGAGTCTGGAAAGAAGGTGCGAATCGAATCGACTTATATGCATCTACGAAAGATAGTCAGAAAGGGTAACGACGACAACGACGGGATGCCGCCTCCCCACCTCCTGCCTACACACCACCAAAACGCACTAACGACTGGTGCATCCCAAGGGTTGCCCTGTGTTGTGAATCCATGGAGAGAACCAGGCCTGTACACGATAGACAATTCACGACATTCATTTTCCGGCCATGGGCAGAAGTTCACTGTAGCGTGGAAAAGGCCCAGGTGGGGATTATCCACACACTGGGCAGGGACAGAAGGGCAGGAGAGAGGCGAACTAGCGATACCGTGCAGGTCACGGAAGCGGAGGACCCTGCGTCAGTGGGTGCGCCGTAGCTCGAAGGGACTAGACGATCGGCAGAACACCCACCCACCCATTCGTCCTCACGCTTGTCATCATTGCAGCACGCCCCGGTGGGATGGGGTGTGTCAACTTCTTGCTTCTCGCCTGTACAGGAAACGCCATGACGAGATCGCGCCGCTGCATACTCAATCTTCATCCTCATCATGACCAGTTCTCTGCTCTGTCCTCCCTCCGTTGCCACCGCCGCCCTTCGTTCAACCAGCCGCGATCCTCTGTCCCTCTGTCGCGCTCTTCGGAACGAGAAAAGGGTTCAGGAAATCCAAGACAGATCCATTCTGTTGAAAAGTACGTGCATATGCAGACCGCAGGAGATCGAGAACAACGGTGAGACACGGCAACTTAGATGCTACCCTGTTGCTCGTTTGCGTGATAATAACAGATGACGGGGAAAAAGGGCCCTCCGACCATCAATTAGCGTGTCAGAATCAGAGACAACAGGGGCAACACGTCATGTCGATCAACGCTGGGTCAAGCTGCTCCCACGGTCGTGACACATGCATGCCTGTATGCACCACCCACCAACGATGCTGGACCTTCTGGCCGGCCTGCACTGTCCAACCGGTCCAGGGCAACATCCAGCCCGAATGCGCGAGAGAGACAATTTCACACTCCAGACGTAACTTTGCCCTATCATGTGGACAAGAGGGCACAGGGCTCGCATGTATGGGAAATGACTCGGCCTCGTGTGCGTGTCTCCTCTGTGCCCATTGACGTGAGTGAGTGGAAAAACAAAAACCATGTTGCGCTCTGCAGCAACAAGCGAAAACTAATGCAACGGCCAAGGTCGTGCGTACGTACAATATTGCTAGGAAAGTCTCTTCCCAGATGGCGGCGGCGGAGGCGGGCTCCTTCGCCGTCTCCGTATAGACGAGATCTGGCGTCGTCTCCTCCATACCGTGGGCTTGCACCTTCCCAGGGTTGTGCAGTACGGCTCATCACGCTTCTCCTTAGGTGTCACATTAATAACAAATGGACCATGATCATGCAAATCTGGAGAGATTAGGTCATTGCTCCTCGTCGCTGCTGCTGTTGCTACTGTTGCTACTGCTGCTGCTACTGTCATGCACAATACGCTAGATGCCTATTCTGATCTCATACTGATGCTGGAAGAATTGTCCTTCTTGCTCGCTAGAGAGGCCTCGCTCGTGTAAACCTGCAGGAAAAAACAAAACCCTGTCGCCATCATCATCGTTACAGTTCATGGCAAGTGCCCTTTGTCGTCTATTCTTGTCACGGTGATGCGGTTTGGTCCGCCGGACCCTCCCCTCGTGTCGTCTTTCGTCGGGAATTCTCCCAGTACCTAAGGGGGAGTAGCTGGCGCCCCTGTGTTTCATCGTCATGCGGTGCTCATCCGTGAGAAACCACAGGATCGTTCGCGTTAGGATATCCCCGCGACCCTCCTCACGCGACTTGTTACTATATTGGTTTTTTCATGACGGCGATATCATCATTGTGATGAACATGGATCCCTGAGAACTGCTTGTTCGTCCCCTCGCGTCGTTGCCTGCAGCAAATAGGTATTCTGTACACTACAGGACCCTGAAGATACGGCCATGTGGTGGTTGAGAATAGAATTCGTCAGTATGCGATGATGTTGAACAAGGGCTTTCGATCAGCGTTGTCCTCGCTTCCCGCACCTTCGTGGGACTTTCACGCACGGTTACACAAGACATTCCACTGCGCGTCTGAGGAGGCCTTCGCATGCATCCTCATCACGAGCACCATGCATAATCTCGTAGTCTCAATCACTTGGAAATATATGTGCAGCACAGACAAACCCACCGTGTCACCTAAGCTAGGCACCTCTTCTCACGTTCTCACGAACAAACATTTTGCATCATAAAAGTTCCCTCTGTCGTCAGTAATGATGATAGTAATCGGTCCGGGCTGAAGGCCGCTAATAATAAGAGACGTGCGCCCGCCGCAGGGTCCATCTCACACTGCGCACATGCCATCTGACGCAGAGATCGACACGTCCATTTACCCTTTTGAATTGAACGATGAGCTCAGAGCTCCACTTTCCGTATCACTGGCGACGAGAAAGAGCTTTGCATTTGCGTGGCGGTAATGATGGAGAAAATCCCTTTGTGAGATTCTCACTGGCTGGAACAAGAGCCGTATCGTTCGTTTCTGAATAATCTGCCGAATCTCTTTGATTACACAGTCATCACTGGGGAAGGGTTCTCCCTCGGAATGATGATGTGATCTGCGAAAGAAACCTCCTCGACTGGACGCCCATTGGCTGATAACTCTTCCCTCTTCCCTCTGAGGCCAAATGCCTTCGTCGCTTGTGTCACGAATGAAGGAGATACACCTCTTCTTGCTCTAATCTGACGAAGTGCCACTGTCACGTGGAGACTCTTTTGACATCATGTCGCACCGCTTCAGAGCCAAAGCCTTGTCCGCAGGGTTCATTGGCGTTGACAAAGCCCTACCGCGCGATATCGCGGAAGCACAGGGATGTGAGACTTCTTCGACATAGATCAAGCGGCGCATACCATCATCATTGTCGTGGTTGTCGTTCATGTTGGTGATGATGAAAAATGCATCTACACTGCAGTATCAATCATCTGTGTGTGCAGTTGGAGAATTGTTCAGACACAGCTGCAGACCTAGTCCAGGAAGCAGGCACTCAGGCACGTAAGCGGCGGCCGTGGCCTCCGACTACTGCCCGCCACTTACAAATGCTTCGACAGCCAATGTAATACATACTGTGATGAATGGTGATCGTCTCCTCATGTCCGCATGGATGCTATCTCGTCCTCGGCACGGGAAATCTCTAGCCACTGATAGTGAGAATAATAGACGGCATCCCCCAAGAGCACATCCCGACGTCGCCGCCGCCGCCACCATGATCTCATGTCCGCCAGTGTAGCGCAGGTACAATCACACACATGCACCTGGGCAGTTTGACAATTCTGGGGCTTGCAGCGCTCCTGCACGATGACAGCCATCTCGAGCGCTTTCTCCACTTTAGATAGATCTTGTATGGCACGGTCCGCGCCTCAAGTGAGATCTCCGAGATCCATTACCATGTTTCCCTTCTCTTCCAAGGCAAGGTTACTAGCGATGAGTGCAACATTCACATCTTGGCTGCTCGCTCCGTTCTTCGCGGCTGGGAGAAATCATCTCGCTAACAAAAGCTGTAATTCCTTACTCAGAGAGGGTTACTGGGTCGGGAACCCATGTCGCGCAGGTAATCATCAAGATGTCGCATAACCCATCGTGAAGGTGTGGGGATGGCAGATCTCTACTAGCTGCCTCTTCGCTACCCTAGCTGAAAGATCTGTGCTATGAAAATCAATGCTCCCCGGCCCTTGAATAATGTCCGTAGCTGAGCTAGCTGGATGATAAGCCAGAACAGCGATATATCCTTGGGTCATAGCGCATTCTTGTCCGCCCCGGTCCATTTGGAGCTTGCCAGTGTTTTCGAGACTCTCGTAATCACTCGTAAAATGAAATCGTGGTCTCGTCAATTCTGATTCATTCCAAGCCCGAACCCTCTTGTGGGTCCGACCACCATGGGGAAAATCCTCTCTCTCTCAGACATTACCCTGATACACACACATCCACACCGCTACAGATGGTCCTCGGCTCTGCACAAGGCAAAGCAGGAAGCCTCAAGACAAAAATCGGATCGGCCAAAGTCCCGAGAGCGGGAATCTGCACTATTGGAGCCCGGGATGATGAATCTGAATCCAGGTCTCAGATCTGTCTGGAATAATGTTCGAGATGGATTTTCCCTGATAGTGCTAGTAGATTTCAAGATGATCTGAACCCAGTAAAGATCTCATCCCGCTGTTCCGGGGGATGGATGAATAACCTAACCATGCTGCGAACTTTTGCCGCTTCATGATTTCCGCCCGTTACCATTTTCGAGCGGAGTGAGCCGTTCGCGCGGGATTGACGCTCACCTGTCCATGCCTATGGGCCGGGATCATCGGAGGTAATATTGAACGAGGAAACCTCAATCCTGAGAGCGCGTTTGACCGTACCACGCTCATTATTCAAACCATACCCGTGTATGTCATCCGAATCCGGCATTCGCAATCGGCGTTCGCTTGCCTCCATCAACCGATTGAGGAAGGAAGCCCGACAAATTTGAAGCCCGCTCAATGCCACGTGCTGGCGGCCATTGGCTGCTCATCATCTGCGAATGCGAACTTCACTCGTTCCTCTTTCCTCACTCAACGTCCGCACTCGCGTCGTCGTCGTCATCGCAGCACTATGAACGATGGCGTGTCCTCCAAGCGACGCGTGCATATATATAGATGAATCATAAACTTCCGTAAAACACCCTTGTTGACAGCTCCCACCAACGTATCTCGAGAAACTGATCGCTCAAGACGTGAAATATGCTCCTCTCAACGCTCCTCTCCACCACCCTCGCTCTCGCAGGCGTCACGTCCGCCCAAGGCTACGATCTCCCGCTCTCCGCCCCGCTCCAATCCATCCTCTACAATGCCCGCAACTCCTCCCTGACCCGTTACCCGACGCAATTGACCCAAGGCATCATCCCCATCGCCATCCACTCTCACAACGACTACTGGCGGCCCGTGCCCTTCTACTCTGCGCTCTCCGTCGGCGCCTACAGCATCGAAGCCGACGTCTGGCTCCTCAACGGCACATTATACGTCGGCCACGAAATCTCCGCCCTGACCCCCGCGCGCACCTTCCACTCTCTCTACATCGCGCCCCTCCTGGACACCCTCCGCCGCCAGAACCCTAACACGACCTTCGTATCCTCCGCCTCGACCAGGAACGGCGTCTACGACACCGCGAGTACCCAGACCCTCTACCTCTTCGTGGACGTCAAAACCGACGGACCGACGACCTGGCCCGCCGTCATCTCCGCCCTTCAGCCTCTCCGCTCCGCAGGCTTCCTCGCCCGTGTGGAGAACGGCTCCTCCAGCATCGTCCCGGGCGCCGTCACGGTCATCGGCACGGGCAACACCCCGCTGAACCAAATCCAGGGCGTGAGCCCGCGGGATTACTTCTACGACGCACCGATCCCCACGCTGAATTCGACATTCGCCAACATCACCGCAGCCGTCTCGCCGATCGCGAGCACGAATTTCGCGGCCCAGTTCGGCGATGTGCGGAATCAGACTTTCAATGCCTCGCAGTTGGCGCTCCTGCAGGCGCAGGTAAAGACGGCGCATTCCAAGGGCATCATGGTCCGATACTGGAACCAGCCGGGTTGGCCTGTTGGGACGCGGAATGCGGTATGGAGGACGCTGTGGGACGCCAGGGTGGATTTGTTGAACGTGGATGATTTGGAAGGGGTGGTGAACTTTTGGGAGAATAGGGGTTAAAACGCCTCGCGGTAAAGAACAGCAGATTTCCGCGACAGGTCCCGAGAGACAGGATTTGGGCGATGGGAAAAAGTGCTCGATGAGAGCCGCCCATGATTGATGAATTGACGAATTTTATTCTAGAGTAATGATTCATTGATGAACCAAGTCTCGTCCGGATCTTCTTCCGTCTCAGGCCTCATCACTGCGTTTTCCCGCTTCTTCCGTCGCGCAGCTGCTGCCTCGCTCTGTTTTTCGGCTCTCTCGTTCAGCGGTGTGAAAGTCACGGGATTCTTCTTGGCTTCGCCAGGGCCTTCGGATTTGAATTGATATCCTCGCATTCTAATTTTCCCACGAGGTTAGTTTGGGCGACCACTCATCTTATCGTTGTTCTCGCGCATGATCAGCTTTGAATACATACCTTGGTCCTTGGCCTGTTTTCTCAGGAAGATGGCTTTCATACTTTCGTGTAAAGTCTATCACGTCATGTTCAAATGTTTCGGCTGCCAGACTTTCCCTGATGCCATGGAAGAAGCGCTCCAAGACGTGGTGATTATGAATTTGTATAAGCACCCAGCCGAGCATCTCCTTAGCCATGAGGAGATGCTGGATGAAAGCCCGGTGGTGGGCGGTGCATGCGTAGCACTTGCAACCTTCGCTCAAGGGCGAAAGATCAACTACGTGTTCGGCTGACCACATATCGAGACCTAGCGGCAGTGATTGAACATCTGTCGCAGCATCCTGGTGTGCTTCCTTGCGTATGGGAAAATCGAATTGCAAGGCTATGCCTGCATCAGTAGCCGTCGTGATGAAAGGCATCGTCAAGATATCCATCCCAAGTGAAATTTGTCGCAGAACCTGATGAGGGCTATTCGGCGAAGTCAGAGCGAGTCGCGGGAGGTATTCAAGCTCTTCTGGTAAATCCTCCAAGGTATCTGTGCTAAATATTGCTAGACCGGAAATCTGGTCCGAGAATCGTTCCGCGAGATGGTCGACGAAGAATCGCTGCTGATAGCATCTCACTGGGAGCAGAGATGCAAACAGCACCGAACTTGATCCTGCTGTGGTGGGACTTGAGGATTTCCGTAGGGCAATGTGATCTTCCAGCCATTGGATATTACGATCAGTGGCAGTCTCTATCCTTTTGCTGCCCAATGTACGCTCGTACGGAATGTCGCCAAGCCCGATAATGATATCTGCTTGAAGGGTCTCGACAGCGCGTGCATAATGGTCTGTCTCCAACGTGCGGAAACCGACAGATGTGCAGACCGATACTGTGGAGTCCGTATTCGAGTTGGATAATGCTGCTGCGACAGGCGGCGTCCGTCTCGCCCCAAGAACTAGAAGCGTTTTCTCTGGCAAAGCAATGAAACGCCTCAAGGGTGAAGACTTGTTCGCATCGCGATACTGATATAGTGGAGGCACGTTCTTGGGCGCGCGTTCGATGACTGTACGAGGACTGCAGTGAGCACGCTGGTCAGCGAGTGTGAGGATATCCATTGTAGAAGGACTTACAGTCTTCTAAAGCGACGTAAACTCCCGAGATATCAGTCTGGTGTTCAAAGTTGTCTTGTGTGATATGCGGGATTATTCCTCGTGATGTGATGCCGAGAAAGTGTGGTGTTTCGAACGGTCGTCTGCCCTCCAACTGCAAACAGCCCAAACGGGCCCGCTTGAGAGATTTGATCACGTTAAACATCCTGTGCTTTGTGGCTTCGGTGGATTGTTCAAACAAAGCTTGTGCCATATTGATCTGGATGCTAGAGGGGATCTTGTGCAAAGCTGTTCAGAGAGGTAATTATCGTCAACAGGTGTTATGAAAATGTGATATCGTGGTAATGCTGTCGGCGGGATGTTCCGCAACCACATCTGAGGCTTGCTGCTCAGCACAGTGCCGCACTCCACATCTATTTTAGATCTTGTTGCTTATCACGAAATACCGCTTTGTGGTCACGTTGAACGCAAATGCCAAGGAAATGCAATTTCAACATTCCTTGGGTTTGACACAGCATCATTGCGTGTTGACGATGCCCTTTGAGCTTATATAGATTGGGCTGGAGATGATTGATCTATGAGGTTCTAGCTTGCAAGCTCACCTGCAAGCTTGACACGGCCCGCGAAACGTTGAGCTTGTCCGGAATGTTCTCTCGGACCAGCACAACAGCATCGGGACGACCTCAATCGAGCTCCGATGTGAATTCAATCAACAATCCTTCCGATCGATAGGCAGCAAGATAATGATGACGACCCGACGAGGACACTTTATCGCCTTCGAAGGCCTCGATCGCTCCGGCAAAAGCACACAATGTGCACGACTAGTAGAGCACCTCCGCAGTCAGGGCAAGACAGTCGAACATCTCCGTTTCCCAGACCGCACAACCGTCATCGGGAAAATGATCAACAGCTACTTGACCGGCTCGACCCAACAAGAGGATCACGTCATTCACCTACTCTTCTCCGCAAACCGCTGGGAAGCGGCGCAGAACATTCGTGACAAGATCGCCGCCGGCACAACCGTCGTCGTCGATCGCTACTACTACTCCGGCTGCGTCTACTCTGCTGCCAAGCAGAACCCCACGATGACTCTGGAATGGTGTCGAGAGCCGGAGGTCGGTCTGCCGAGACCGGACATTTGCTTGTTCCTGAACATCTCGGCCGAAGACGCCGCCAAGCGAGGTGGCTACGGCAACGAAGTGTACGAGAAGCAGGAGATTCAGGATCGTGTCCGAGCGCTATTTGCTGAAATGCAGAAGCACCATGATGAGTTTGAGGACATTGTGGCGATCAATGCGGGTGGGAGTGTGGATCAGGTGGCGGATGCGATTCAGCATGCGCTTCACAGAAAGATTGGAGGACCGTCCCAGCGATCTACTGAACTTCGGAACATTCAGCCTTGGTGATTTGACGTGCTGAGAATCAACCCCCGTCCTGCTATCTTTTTCTGCAAGATCCACTCGCGCATCATAGAGTTATCGAGGACGTCCCCAGAGCTGTTAGTGTTCGCTTGTACTGAGCCAGAGCCAATTAATTCGAAAATTGTTCTGCGACGGACCATCGTCGCTCTTGCACTCTTGGCTTGTTTTGTAACTTGCTCGCCAGGTCATTCGAAGCTACGATGGCGATTGTTCATGCGGTGTGTGGGTTTCGTGTATTGTGCAGAAGGAAAACCAAAATCTGCTCATGCGATGATCTCAGCATCATTCCAATCGCTATCGTCGATGACAGGTTCCAAGTCTGATGTTTCGCGTAAAGGCCGCTTGAATGAAGCGTGCTTTTGGCTCAATGGTATTTTGGATGTCTGTGTAGGCTTCTGTGCTTCATCTTGGCTACTTTCGGAAAGCTCTTGCCATCCGTTCTCCTGCATTTCAAGGGCAATGTCTAAGGCATCTTCATCAGGCTCGTCCAATTCATCTTCCGAGTCCACCACTTCGTCTACCGATCCGGCATTTTTCTTGCCACGTTTGGGCTTGAACAGCGCCGCAATCTCCTTCTCACCTCTCATTCGGAGCGTAAGATCTTTGACGGGGTCGATCCATTGTAAAGATGTATTGCACTTGGGACACTGCCCGCTTGTTGGAATTATCGCACCCGTATTTCCGTCCGCAGCAAGGAATGCTGCCGACATACATTGCACATGTGTAATAGATAAGCAATCCTTCCCTGGGCAGACCAGAGTTGCTGAACCTGTCGCAGGAACATGCTTCCGACAGACTGTGCATTTCAAGGGCCTCCCGGAAGCAAAGAGAGCAATCGTCTCCTCCAGCCGGGATTTTATACTTGAGTAGTCGACACTCAAGGCATAGATGCCTGCATTTACAGTGGGAGCGATCGCAACGCTATCTTGACTAGCAGAATTAGGAGCCAATTCGAGAGCGTCAGGTTTGGGTTCATGCAGGTGAACACTCAAGTCGCTCCTTGACCTTCCTATGTATTGCTTCGAAGCTCTCTGCCATAATTTGAATACATCTTTAGCGTAGAATGTGACTTGGAGTGGCCATCTACGGAAACTGGAGGCGTTCAGAAGCAGTTGCAGATTGGCCAGTCGATCGGTCAACGACATGTTTGCTCGCACTGGCCGTTTTCGAGCTCGGCCCGTTCGGGCTGAAATCTTGGTGATGGTCTTGAACGGAGTAATTCGGGCATCAACAGGAATATGACGAGTCTGATTGGGATTCTGCCATGCCCATCTGATGGAACTTGCAATTAGTCTAGAGAGCATGGGAAGGTCATGCAAGGGGCTTGCGACGATCGGCAGCGTGTGTGTGTCGAATTGCCACCCAAGGCATGAACAATTTAGCAGGATCAAGGACTCACTCAAACTGTAGAGCAGCAATCTTGCTGGGAAATCCGGTCACGAGACAGGTCATCTCCCAGGGTCGTAGAGAATCTCGCGAAGTTCGCGCCGCACCACCTTTCGTCTCGCCATTATGTTGTCGCAAACGTCGAGCGGGATTTGGCGTGCTTCCCACGTATGTGGCTGCATGCCGAGCGATAGACCGAAGCAGATAACAAGCATAAAATGCCGGTATCGGCTGCTTGAACTCACCCATATTTCCTAGTTTTACGAATCGCTCAAGAATAACCTCATAGCACTCGCTCGTCGTTGGAATATACAGGATGCTTTGCTGGTTTGCTTGCATGCGTCTCATTGACGTTGGGACAGGCCAATCAGAGACGTGCCTGACGACCCAAACTTGCCTAGCTTACTGGGCGGATCTGCTTTCATCGACGTCGCCTATCAAACCTGCATGGCTCTGCACGTCTTTCACGCGCAATCATTATATGAGGATAATAATGTACTCCGGGCCTAGAAGCGAGCCTGACATATGACCATCTACGCAAGAATATGGCTGCCAAGATTCCAAGCTTTAGATACCAGGTCAGGACCGCGTTCGAGGTGAAGAATAAATCCCAGTAGAGTTGTCATGCCCACACGCCCACTCCGAGGCATTGTCAAGTTTAGCCCCAAAGCGTCATCTCGTTTTGGTCGCGCAAAGCCGAAAGTCCAGGGCGCCGCTAGCGTCACTCCCACACTCATGTACCGGGCTGTACTTTCTCGCTAGTCGACCCTCACAGCACTGTATGTGTGTGACTGTTGGATGCCTTGCTGCGCTGGCGACTGCTCCGGCCCCATCTTTCATCCTCATCACTCTCTCTTGCTCACTCAATACTTTTCACCAACGCCAGCGGCCTGCAACTAACCCATCGATCATCCTGTGTCAATTCGAATGCTTGCGGCGCAGTCACTCATTTCAGAGGGTCACACTTGAGGACCGTCGCTTTTCCATTTCGGCACTTGTCGAGCGAGATTGACACACGCACGTGGTCATCCATATATCAAAAGCCGCCGCTGCTTGCGCCCGAACATCAAACCACATGTAGACTCGGTGCAAGCCACGACATCCATGTCACGACTTGATCAGCACTCCGATTGATACATCGATTTCCATGCGTCAAACCGACTCAACCATCCACCACGATGGTAGTGCCACCGAGTGCTGGCGCATCAGCCAGCATGTCCGCTAATCGACCTTCACCTTCAGCCATGTCAACGAATATGGGCACCCCTCTCGGGAACAACAAAGGCAAATCGGCCAACAACGCGGCGGCGACAGGCACATCGGCTGGACCACCCTCTGGCAACAATCATGCCGTTCCACTTAGTGCACGACGGGCGGAGCCACTGGATCTGTCGACGGTGGAACGTCGAGGTCATCCCACTGAGAAGCCAGAAAGAGTAAAAGCAGGCAGAATGTTTGGAATCCGAGAAGCGCCAGTGTATCGACCTACGGAGGAAGAATTTCGCGATCCGATGGAATATATGCGAAAGATTGCACCAGAGGGAAGTAGATATGGCATTGTCAAGATCATTCCGCCCAGTAGCTGGAACCCTCCATTCGCGATCAATACAGAGGTGCGTACAAGTCCTGCAGTGGATGGCTCAGTTGTATTAAGCTGTTCGTAGTCCTTACTGATATGATGGAATTTTAGCGGTTTCATTTCCGGACTCGCCGTCAAGAGCTGAATTCGGTCGAAGGCGGCAACAGAGTCAACAACGATTATCTCGATCAACTAGCCAAATTCCACAAACAGAATGGACACAATCTAAACCGCTTTCCGAGTGTGGACAAACGACCACTGGACTTGTATCGCCTCAAGAAAACGGTGGAGCGCAAAGGTGGTTTCGATTCCGTGTGCAAGACAAAGAGATGGGCGGAAGTTGGCAGAGACCTGGGCTACAGCGGAAAGATCATGTCGTCGCTTTCGACTTCCTTGAAGAACTCGTATCAAAAATGGCTTCTACCATACGAAGACTATCTTCGTGTTGCAAAGCCAGGTGTCCAACAGCAGATCGAGATGATGAACGGCGGTCCATATACCCCATCGCCAAATCCGTCACCTGCTAAGAAATCGCATCTCGGAGCGCATCAAGTTGGCTCGGAGAATGCCCAACAGTCTTCCCTCATGCAAGCGTCTACCGCACTACATGCAACCTTGAACGGACATGGACCCACAACGCACGAGTCTAATGGCCACCACATCTCCCATCCGCCGCCGCCGCACAGTGGTGGTTTCACGGCTGTCAATGCTGGCGGCTTTACCGCCGTCAACATGCCCACTCAGACTTCCTCTTTCACTTCTGTGAATGGCACAAATGTTTTCTCGGACTCAAGTCACAATACTCCCCAACGCCATCGCAATAGTCCTCATCACGGTGAAGCCGACTTACAGAACACCTCGTCCCAGCCTAACGGAGCCTCCATGAAACGACAGCACAGCGACATTGCCACGGATGACCCCGACTATATAAGCAGGAGAAGTAAACGCTTACGCAAAGACGTGCCTACGGTCGCTGGCAGTAATATGCACCTCTCGCGCATGGCTAATGCTCGGACGCAGCTCTTAAGAGAACGTGGCGAGTATGTTGCCGGTGAGATATGCGAGTCGTGCGCGAGGTCCGAGGAATCGATCAAATTCATCAAGTGCGAGAGCTGTGACTGCGCATACCACATGTACTGTCTGGAGCCTCCAATGAAGCAGCCACCAGATCACGAATGGCATTGTCCAAGATGCTTAGTGGGAACTAACGAGTACGGTTTTGAGGAAGGCGATGTGTACTCTTTAGCTGGGTTTCAAAAGCGCGCCAGTGAATTCAAATATCATCACTTCAGCAACATCCCTCGGCAATTCAGCCCATTCAGCGAGACCAAGAATACGCTTGAAGAGGAAGATGTCGAACGCGAATTCTGGCGCCTTGTTGAGGATTTGACTGACACAACGGAAGTCGAATACGGCGCAGATATCCATTCGACGACTCACGGTAGCGGATTCCCAACGATTGAGCGTCATCCTCGAGATCCTTATTCGACAGATCCATGGAATTTGAACATCCTACCACTCGATAAAGAATCTCTATTTCGTCACATCAAGTCGGACGTGTCCGGCATGACTGTGCCATGGTTATATGTGGGCATGGTATTCTCGACATTTTGCTGGCACAACGAAGATCACTTCACGTACTCGGCAAACTATCAGCATTTTGGCGAGACGAAGACCTGGTATGGAATTCCGGCCGAGGATTCATACAAGTTTGAACAAGCCATGCGGGAAGAAGTGCCGGAGCTTTTCGAAACTCAGCCTGATTTGTTATTTCAACTCGTGACTCTTGCAAAGCCCGAAAAATTGCGCAAAGCTGGGGTCAATGTTTACGCGATCGATCAACGCGCTGGGCAATTTGTTATCACTTACCCACGAGCGTATCATGCCGGCTTCAATCATGGTTTCAATTTCAACGAAGCCGTAAATTTTGCGCCGAACGACTGGGAGCCATTTGGTGAGGAAGGCGTCAAGAGACTACGTGAATATCGCAAACAGCCATGTTTCTCTCATGACGAACTTTTGCTCACCGCAGCTTCCCGCGACCACACCATACGCACAGCCAAGTGGCTCGGACCGGCATTGGAACGCATGCTGGATGACGAGCTTGCTGCACGTGAGCATTTTCTCGTGGGACCTACTGCAGAATCGGGCCTTGCACCAGAGGAGCCGTACACCGGACCCCGGTTTAGCAAGAAACCTGAAGCAATCGATGCTAGCAAGGAAGAAGAAGAGGTCATCTGCACGTTCTGCAAAGCATACTGCTTCTTATCACGATATGTTTGTAAGAAGACCGGCAAAGTCATGTGCCTGCTACACGCTGGCCATTACGAATGCTGTGATGCCCCCGAGTCTGCTCGCCACTCTGGGCAGGGAGGCGAGCATGGCTTGTATCTCCGCATGCCTGACGAGGTGCTCCACACAACAGTTCGCAAAGTCATGGACAAGGCCAACATCCCCGAATCATGGGCTGCCAAGGTGGATCAAGAGCTGAACAATAATTCCACGCCGTCGCTCAAACACATGCGGACTCTTCTGTCCGAGGGCGAGAAAATCCAATACCCGCTCCCACAGCTCGCAGGCCTACAACAATTTGTGGAGCGGTGCAATGCGTGGGTAGAGGAAGCTACTGTGTACATTACACGCAAGCAGAACGGGCGGCGCAAAAGCGAAAAGTCGCTGAGAAAGAGCTCTGCTAAGGCGGAAGCGGAAGAGCGCGAGAAAGAATTGCGAAAGGTTTCCAATATCTATGATCTCCTTGCCAGGGCCGACCAGCTGGGCTTCGACTGCGCTGAGATCAACACTCTTAGAGAACGCGCCAGCAGTATCGAGGAGTTCCAGCTCGACGCTAACACAGCCCTGAACAACATTCGACATACGACGACGGGGCAATTTGAAGAACTAGCTGAGCGAGGCCGCGATTTCCATGTTGATATGCCAGAGCTGGACAATCTTGATCGCGTTCTCAGGCGATTGAGGTGGAATGACACGGCACGTCAGAAGCGTCCACAATACGACACTCAGCGCCAGGATCAGAGCCTCGAGGAGATCGAAAAATTCATCGCTGCTGGGAGAGAAATGGGTGTACCGGATACGAACCCCGACATGGCATTCTTCATCGAGCACAAGGCACAAGGTGAAATTTGGGAGACCAAAGCGAAAGAGCTCATGGCTGTGGAGCAAGTTCACTACCAGCAATTAGATGCTCTGTCGAGACAAGCTGCGACTTTGCCTGTTACCCCAGCCACCCTCGCAGCGGTGGAAGCAATACTCAAGAAACAGCGGGAAGTGCAGGACAAGATTCTCTCGCTGGTGGAGAGAACAAAAGATCCCGAGTTCCGCAACCGTCCGACATATCGCGAGATGAAAGAAGTCATGGATACCTTGGAAGAGCTGCAGAGCAAGCCCGCCGGTACCATCGATCTCGAGAAAGAATCAAAGCGACACGAAGACTGGATGCGACGAGGCAAGAAGCTGTTCGGAAAGGCAAATGCGCCGCTCCACATTCTCCATCAGCACATGCAGCTAGTCGATAAACGCAACGAATCCTGCTTTGATCTGACCGATAAGCCCCGCGGCCCAATAGAGCCATCATCGCGAGCTGCCACGCCGGAAGAGGGTGCTCAAGTCGCGGACGACAGCGGCTCTAGCAGAGATGTTTTCTGCATCTGTCGGAAGCCCGAAGCTGGCATGATGATCGAGTGTGAACTTTGCCACGAGTGGTACCACGGCAAATGCTTGAAAATTGCCCGTGGCAAAGTCAAGGAAGACGATAAATATACTTGCCCGGTTTGCGATTGGCGAGTCAAGATCCCACGCGATGCCGCTCGGCCGAAACTCGAGGACTTGCAGATCTGGCTTGATGAGCTCGAAACGCTGCCATTCCAGCCTGAGGAGGAGCAAACATTGACAAGCATCTGCGACCAAGGTCAAGCGTTCCGTGACTTCATAAAGCCGTATGTCGAGCCATCTGTGCCAACTACTCCTGATGATGTCACTTTGCTGCGATTTTATCTGCGAAAGATCGAAGGCGCAGACATTCTTCTATCGCCGGAGACCAACTTCCTACGCCAGGAGCTGCACAGGCTTGCCCCAGTTGCCCCGGTTGCCCCACCAGTCATTCAGATGTCAATGTCAACACGGAAGCCTCGCCCGACCAAACAGCAAAAACTCATGGCTCAGTTGGGTATTACCGACCCTGAAGAGCTACCTGCTCAATTTCGTGCGAAGCCTCACATCGCAAAACGTAAAATGTCGGAAATCGGCAAGGCTCAGCCTGTATTGCAACCTGCCGCGGCCGGCTCACCTGCTTCCGTGAAAGACCTAGGGCAGTCATCTCCTCGCTCATCTCATGCCCAGGGCACGCCTGTGGTTCAGCCGACCCCACCCCCAAATGCGAAGAAACATCTTACCGCATTAGCTTTACAAGTGTTAGGGCCGTTGGCCAAGCCAGAAGTTGTCGATCAATTCCTTGCAGGCGAACCGCATGCCAATCGCGACCGGCTGATGAAGGTCAAAGCTGTGCTTGAATCTGGAGATCCGGCGGTGCTGAAAGACTTCTCGCTTTTCAAACGTCGCGTCAATGAGGTCCAAACACCATCTCAAATCCTCGTTTACGATGGTGTCAGTGCCGGCCATCGCTCCTCAAAAGCCAGGGCGGAACCTTCAAACAGCACTGGCAGAAACCCACGACAAGCCACCCGGAACGAGTCTCCGGGGCCTTATGGTAGTGCGCACTTTCAATCCCGCCGTGGCGCCTCTCCTCCGATCTACGATCCCCGCCCTCTTTCCATGTCCGCAAGTCCCTCTTCACACGCAGTGCATCTCAAATCCTCCACCACCAGCCCAGAGATTCTAGGTCTATCTGGTGTCCATGCCAGCAGCAGCCATGGTATTTCTAGCGGAATGCCTGCCGGAATCTTCGACTCGCCCAAGAACTCCGCCGGCACTGGCGCTGGTTTGCACAGCCCTGGATTTGGCGGCTCGCAGCAGAGCGCTGGCGGTAATCTCGAATTGGCCTTCGACGATCTCGTACAGGACGACATCCACGATCTCTCGTCTGGCGTAGGAGGCCATGAAGCTAAACATCGCGCTCCATCCGCAATTGATCCTCATCTCGGCAATGCAGCAGGCGCTGACGATGGTGCCTCCGAGGGTCAACAACCTAGCGATGATGTTCCTCGAGAGAGTGCGGCGCAAAATATCGATCCGGCGCTGGCTTAGCATGCCGATTCTTTGATCGATCCCGATTGCGATCACTATCCTTACTTATATTTGATTTGACCCCCCTCGACATCTCCGGGCTTGTGGCCAAACTCTCTCTTCTTACCCTAACAATGGAGGCCTTATTGACTTTCGGTGTGGGGTCGATCAACGACTCACAACCATGGACCATGGAGGAGTCAACTGTGTTTTCCATTTCAGCTATTGAATTCTTTCTTGCAGGAACCAAGGCGTGGTTCTACAAAATTGGCCTACGGGCCATTGAAAAAGCCGGTTTATGATCGGATCGGCGTTTGTATGTGTTTTTATTTGATTCCCCTAGGGATATTCTTTGCTTCGCTGAAAGATACGTTGTATTTCAAAAACTCATCATATTTGGAACATGGCTTCATCAATCTCGTGCTTAGCCACACATTGTGATGTATTGTAGGTAGCTGTCCTGGTGCATTTCATCGCAGGTGTCTCGCACCCACATGCAAAACGCCGATGCGACAGAGCTAGATATTGTCGAGGAGGAATGCTGTGAACATGTATCCCGTCGTTTTTCTACCATAGAAAAGTTTCTATTCGTCATCTTAGCCCTGACGGATATAGTACAAGTATTCCATGTGAGGCTCTTCACTCGCATCACATTCATCTCGTTTTTGACGTCGTTTCTGCATATCAATTCCCTTCGTCCTCATCATGAAGACCCCGGTCCTTACTCTCCCTGCGCTCCTTCGCCGGCCGGCCGTGTTACGAGTACCTGCTCTGGACCTTGTGCACTACTTGCTGCATCACCAGCGGCTGCGCGAGCACCTCCTCGTCTGCTGGCATTTGCCTCTGCCGCCGCGTCTTTGTCCTTGTTGATCTTCTCGACGATCTTCTCGATTTCCTCGCTTGGCAGCATCTCAACTGTCTTGCCGGGAGCCATGATCGCAATCTCGATGTTCTTCGCACCTGTCTGTACGACTTCGAGTAGAGATTTGATTGTAAGTTCGATGGTCTCGTCGCGCTTCATGTCGTCTTTGTGATTTCGCTCCAGGAATTCGCGGACAGTCTTTGAGGAGCGGCCGATTGCGTTTGCTTTCCTGTAAAGAGTTAGTATCCCTTGACAACGTTAGATCCGAATCGAATCAAGGAACATACCATGCGCTGTAGATCCCTGAAGGCTCGGTCTGGTATAGTCGGGCCTCGTTGCTGCCAGGGTCGAATCCAACGATCAATGTGGAGATGCCGAATGGTCTGACACCTCCGGACTGTGTGTATCTCTGCTGAACACCAGCAACATATTTCGTAATGTACTCCACACTGACAGGGTCCTCCACGGTGAGACGATGCGATTGTGCTTCCAGACGCGCCTTGTCGACGAGGATACGAGCATCGGCGTTCAATCCGGCAAAGGCCAAGCATACGTGTGTGTCAAGCATGCTGATCTTTGACGGTGTGATGCGGGTGTCCTGTAGTTTGAGTGCTGAACGCTTCTCACATCCAAGGACAACACATTGTTCGCCTTTGGCAGATCCTTTCACGGCAACCGCACAAGTTCCTCTCTTGACCGCCTCCAAGGCGTATTCAACCTGGAAGACGTGCCCGTCAGGGCTGAAGACGGACAATGCGCGATCATAGCCGCTCGCCATGATGGGATGAGGGAAATAGGGCTTGTGTTGGTGTGAAGATCAAACCACACTGCAGTGAAACTTGACTCTGGCCGAACAACCTGTACTGGAGAACTTGTTAAAAGAAGGCAAGATATCTTGTCGACGTCGGGGTTGTAGTGCACGATTGATGATGGTGTATGTGAGCTCACATGTGCCAGGTACAGTCAAGCACATCGACAGCACGCGTGGAGCTCACAATGACATAAATCGTGGCCCTCCGAAGTTCCAGGCACCATCACTGACGACGAGGTTTTCTACGGGATACCAGGTCATGCACGGCCACCATCGGGGGTGTCAGCTTCCAATGGCAAGACTATCACCAGCGTTATCGTCTCCGATACAGCCATTCGTGAAACCCCAACTTTGCTGCCCATATCGGACCTTTGGAATCCCTGCACGATATTTAATCACGCAGCGCAATTACCATGACTTCGTTGCAACGAACCATAGTGGGCCTGCGACAGCTTCGCATCCGCAATGCGACATTTCAGGAATCCTGTGCCCTTCGCATTCACAGACAGAGAACAGCATGCTGCTCACCACAGATGAGATGGCAACACGCCGCTCCCGCAGCAACGACGAGCTCGGAAACACCACCAGAGAACACGCCCGCTAAAAAGATCAAATACACTACCGACTCATATCCAACATTGAAAAGGGATCCGCGATTCAAAGAGATTGCGAAGGAGGACGTCAAGTTTTTCAAAGATCTGCTGGGCAATGAGAGCGCAATAGTAGATGGCGTCAACCAAGATGCAAGCGGCGAGATTGAAGCGTTCAACGCAGACTGGATGCGCAAATACCGGGGGCACACACGGCTAGTACTGAAGCCCGACTCAACCGAACAGATCAGCAAAATCATGAAATATTGCAACGACAACCTGATTGCCGTAAATCCTCAGGGCGGAAACACAGGCTTGGTCGGTGGATCAGTACCTGTCTTTGACGAGATTGTGCTCAACTTGAATCGCATGAACCGCATACGCTCCTTCGACGATGTCTCTGGTATCTTGGTTGCAGACGCTGGAGTTGTGTTGGAGGTCGCAGACAATTACCTTGCAGAGAGGGGACACATCTTCCCCTTGGACCTTGGCGCAAAAGGAAGCTGTCATATCGGTGGAAATGTTTCGACTAACGCTGGTGGACTGCGTTTTTTGAGATATGGTAGTCTACACGGGAGTGTCCTAGGTCTTGAGGTTGTGTTGCCTGACGGCACAATCATGAATGATTTGGGAAAGCTACGCAAGAACAACACGGGCTACGATCTCAAACAGCTATTCATCGGTGCAGAGGGGACTATTGGTATCGTCACAGGAATCTCTATCCTCTGCCCTCAGAGGAGTTCTGCCGTCAATGTTGCGTTCTTCGGCCTTGAATCATACGAAAAAGTTCAGGAAGCATTCAAGGAAGCCAAAAAGTCACTACAGGAGATTTTGTCTGCCTTCGAGCTGATGGACCTGCAGTCACAAAAGCTCTACTCCCGGGCCACTGGCAACAAGCTGCCACTGGAACAGGAATATCCTTTCTACTGCCTGATCGAGACATCTGGATCCAATGCCGAACACGATAGTGAGAAGCTCAATGCCTTCCTCGAGCACGTCATGAGCGAAGAGATCGTGTCAGACGGTGTGGTCGCCGAGAACGAAACACAGATCAAGAACCTTTGGCGCTGTCGTGAGGGCATCAGTGAATCATCACAGCATTGGGGCGGCGTGTACAAATATGATCTCTCCATCCCTCTCCCACAACTCTACGCCCTCGTCGATGACGCTCGCGCACTGTTTCAGAAGAACGGTCTCATGGATCTAGAGGATGAATCAAAACCCGTCGTCGACGTTGTCGGCTATGGCCACATGGGTGATTCAAATTTGCACCTGAACGTTGCTACGAGGCGGTATGACAAGGAGGTCGAGAAGGTACTTGAACCGTGGGTGTACGAGTGGGTGCAGAAGCGCAATGGCAGCATCTCGGCCGAACATGGCCTTGGTGTTGCGAAGAAGGAGTTTGTTAAATACAGCCGCGACGAGACGATGTTGAGGTTGATGGGCCAGGTCAAGAACCTCTATGATCCGGTAAGTGCTTCCCCTTCTTCGGTGGTTCGAGGCATCTCGAAAATGTTTTGCAATATTTGACTGACGAATGTTTATCACAGAACGGAATCATGAACCCATATAAGTACATCTGAAGCCTTTCTCGAGCACAGAAGAAATTCAGCCGCAGCGTTCACAATTGGAAGCACCCGCATTGAATTGCTTTGCCTTTGTTTTTACGAGTACTTCCGCTCTGAGCGGACGAATGATAGACTCTTGTACATCATTGTTGAGCCAAGAAGCGAGCTGGCTACCAAAACTGGCGCACGTGGATATGATCGCGCGCACTCTGCAATGCCCTCGGTCCAGCCGATTGCATCTGCATACCTGTCACCCAACTCTGGGCATACGAGTTTTGCACCACCCTGATCGTGAGCGGATGATCTCCGCTTCCTTCTGCCATCAAGTTGCTTTGCTGAAGCCGCTTGACAGCTTGACAGATCGTCAAAGTCTGCTTGTTCTGATTCCCACAGGCATATCCCATACCGTTGAAGGTTACGCTGTATCTTGGCCATCGCTCGATTGCTTCGTGAGTTTATGAGTAGTTGACACGGCCCGCCATAATTCTCGTGATATGGGAAATACCTTCCGTTGCAATCCTCGGGAATCTTTCAAATGTTCCTGTGGAGCGAACGGCGGCACAGTCCATCCGTTGAGAACGAGGGGGTCGATGAGTAGATGTCGTATTTGAGGACCGCGACGTGTTAGTGGCTGGAGAGAGCTCATGACTCGGAAGCGACCGTTCGTTGTAGTTTTTGAAGTGGTGGAATTCTAGTCTCTTCACCAAGGCCGAGATCGAAAGTGAGTCTTAATGTTGAGCCGGACGGCGAAACAAATGAGAATGAGGTGCATGAACATCCTGGCGATCGTCGAGGCCTTGGCCAGCAAGGGTGGTGACTGGTTTTGGAGAGTCAATGACCGGCGTTGTGGCGGATGACAAGAAGGATTGGATGTGGAAGAACAACATAAGTTTGAAAGGAAGTGAAAGACGTGCGCTGTCAGTGTCGTCACGCGAGCACCTTCCCTGTTGTTCACTTGTTGATGTTACATTACAGGGATGATGTGACAGAAATTCACGCAAGTGGTAGAGACCAATGTATAATGATATCAAACAATCAAGCGCCAACATCGGCTTTCTCGGCGGCAGCTGCAACTCGCACTAGAATCCCAATTGCGCGTACACTCGTTCGCTGGCGCTATGATACCGGAATTAGCAATGAACATCAACATCACATAGTATCTACGTAGTTATCCCAGATATGAGTGTACTAAAGGTGACGATGTACACCAAGGTTCTTCTGAGACGTCACTGTACCCAAGAGCGCAATCGCTGATGAGAGCGTTCAAGGGACATTGTTCGGCGTTTGTACTAGTGGGCCATGGCATTTGCATGGCGAAATCTTGGTTGTTGGGGCCGCGCGTAATGTGCCGGGTTCAGCCGCCGATCACAACAGCTTCAATGACCGCATTTTACGTTTGATGGACAAAATTCTCGATCATCGGTTGATTTGTTACAAATTCGAGATATGTCTTCCTCGAGGTATCTGGTGTGATATGCAGAGTCCGGAGCGGGGATGTGTGGCTATGTCAAGGAAGTCGCTTGCATGCATCGACAGAAATCACTGCCGTCGAGTCTCATCAATCGCTGTGACGTTTCGCTCTCTAGGAGTCAGGGCTGCTCTGTATCACTATTACTCAGAGTGACCTAGCCGCGCGTTTCTCTTCTATGATGAGGTGAATGACTGGTTTCGATCACAGATGTTCATTGCATCCTGACTGTTGCGGCCTTCAACAGGACCCGCATGTTGTCGTGTTGCAAGCTTTCGGAAGAGACGGGTGGAATGGGGTCGCACATTGAAGAGGCACGAGAGACTACAGAGACACGAGGTTGGCGTGATGCAATTGTGCGGAGCAATCGTGAATGCACGAGTCATGAAAATGCCATGGTGGTTCGCGTCGTCTGTTGCACTCATCAGGCGTCCCGTGCTCAATTCTACCCAAGTACGTGGGCAGCCTCCAGCTGAGCGTGGCGGTGCATTTGGCTGACTAAAGCGTAGAATGCGCCCTCTACGGATATCTTCAATCCTCATCTCGCCCTTCAGGCCCCAGCCAACTCTATACACCGTTCATTCGCCATCGGTCAGAGTCTCACTGGCATCGCCGTCCAGGCTGTGAAAGTTTCGTACGATGGCGCCCAAACGTAAAGCTGCACCGGCGGCCGGACGCCAGGCGAAGCGAGTTGCCTCCGGTGTCAGTACACCTGTCAGCCAGGGCAGCGACGAGGAATATCGTTCCGACGGCGATGATCTGAGCGACGATGCCGTGGAGGAAGTACCCAGGAAGTATGATGGTTAGTGATCTGATGAACAGGTGCTGGTCCAGACATCCCTGACATCCTCTCAGAGGTCGTCAAGCGATATCAACCAGCTACATATCATAGTCATGGAGGAGACGCCGCCACGCATCTCTTCAAGGCAAATCGCGACTTCTCGCGTGAGGTCCTCAAGCCCGATCACCACCTCCGACCTCTATGGATTGATCCACAAAATGGAAAAGTCGTGCTTGAAACCTTTGCGCCCAGCTTCAAGGCTGCGCAGAACTTCTTGATTAACATCGCCGAGCCACAAAGTCGAACGACAAACATGCACGAGTATACTATAAGCCCGCACAGCCTCTTCGCCGCTGTCTCCGTAGGTTTGACTGAACAAGACATCGTCCGTGATCTTGAGCTATTCTCAAAGACCAAAGTACCTCAAACCATTATAGATTTCGTCCACGAAATGACACAGTCATTCGGAAAGGTAAGACTCGTTCTCAAACACAACAGATACTTCGTCGAAAGCAACGATGCGGCCGTACTGCAGATGCTTCTTCGAGATCCTGTCATCGGCCCTTGTCGTGTAGAAGAGTCGGAGGAGCTGCATACGGAAAAGGCGGCGAAATTAGGAGGCTTGATCATTCCAGGAACAAAAGATGCGGCAGGAGTCAAAGAGGCCATGGCACAGGCGGCGGCGCAAGAGAAGCGTGAAGGTGAAGATGACGAATCGGATGATGAGTTCGGAGGCCGGGAAGCAGACAAGGATATGGCGGAGTTCTTGCGTGAAGAAGAAGATGACGACGAGTTGGACCAAGTCCATTCCTTCGAAATAGATGGCAACAAGATCCAGGCTGTTCAAGAGCAGTGCAACGTAACATTACATCTACCACTCACAGAAGAATACGATTTCCGCGCGGACGATGTCAACGCGAATCTGGATATCGATTTAAGACCAAACGTCTCAGTTCGATATTATCAAGAGCATGCTCTGAGTAAGATGTTTGGAAACGGTCGTGCTCGTAGTGGAATCATTGTGCTCCCCTGTGGAGCGGGGAAGACTCTTGTTGGCATCACGGCAGCTTGTACGATCAAGAAAAGCGCTATCGTGCTTTGCACAAGCGCCATGAGTGCCGTGCAGTGGAAGGAGGAGTTCAAGAAGTGGTCAAATATTAACCCTGAGGACATTGCTATCTTCACCTCGGGAGAAAAGGAAAAGCTCAATCACAAAGCCGGCGTGATCATCTGCACTTACAGCATGGTCACACAAACCAAAGGCAGAGCGCACGACAGTCAGAAAATCATGGACTTCATCATGTCTCGAGAATGGGGTCTCATGGTCCTGGACGAAGTGCATGTGGTCCCGGCCGAAATGTTCCGAAGAGTCACAGAGCGTATCAAAACGCATTCCAAGCTCGGTTTGACCGCCACACTTCTGCGAGAAGATGACAAAATTAAGGATCTCAACTTTTTAATCGGTCCGAAGCTGTACGAAGCCAATTGGTTACAGTTGAGCGAAGAAGGCCATATTGCCCGCGTGCAGTGTGCAGAGGTTTGGTGTCCCATGACGACCGAGTTCTACAACGAGTACCTCCAAGCCAACAACACCAATAAAAGAAGCTTGCTCTCTACCATGAATCCTCGGAAATATCAAGCATGCCAATTTCTGATCAACTTTCACGAACGTCGCGGCGACAAGATCATTGTATTCTCGGACAATGTCTACGCATTAAAACAGTATGCCACAGGTATGATGAAGCCCTTCATCTTCGGTGACACGCCTCAACATGAGCGTGAGAACGTTCTACGGAACTTTCAACACAACGACGCAGTTTCTACCATTTTCTTGTCGAAGATCGGAGATACATCACTCGACTTGCCCGAAGCGACTTGCCTTATTCAAGTCTCCTCCCACTATGGATCACGACGTCAAGAAGCCCAACGATTAGGACGTATCTTGCGAGCCAAGAGACGTAACGACGAAGGTTTTAACGCATTCTTCTACAGTCTCGTCAGCAAAGACACCAACGAAATGTACTATTCTTCCAAACGCCAGGCGTTCCTCGTCGATCAGGGATATGCTTTCAAGGTAATTACCCATCTTAACGGCATCAACCAAATGCCCAATCTCGCTTTCAATACTCAACAAGAGCGCATGACCCTCCTCACCGACGTCCTTCTTCAATCCGAGACGGCTGGTGACGTCGAGGATATCAAAGATGACCTTTTCAGTCGCCAAAACGTCGGTCGCAACAAGAAGAAGGGCTCTGGTGTTCGTCGACAAGCGGGAACCCTGTCCTCGTTGGCCGGCGGGGACAATATGGCTTACATGGAGTACGGAAGAGGCAATGCGAATAAAGCTTTGGCGAAATCAAGGAATGCTTTCTTCAAGAAGGATGATCGCTTACGAGAGAGGAAGAAGAAGCAGGCCGATGAGATGCTTGCGATGGCGAATCGAAATTGAGGAATGCTTGCTATGTCGTTCAATTTCTTCTATATACTCGCACTACCTTCTGTAGTATATGCACACCACAGGGCCCCGACAAGCTTATTATCCATCAATCTCGTGTCTTCTGCACATATTCTTCAATGTAGACAGCTAGCTACCGTATCTTCGATCTCGGCCTGCTTTGAGGGTGCATGGCGTGCTCTGAATAAATTATCGTGCTTTGAACATATTGATGAGAAGCAAGTGCGCAAGTCATTGTGAGCGTTGGCGGAGATGACTTGGTTTCCGGGATATGTCCGGCTTCCGCCCAGTGACGGAACGCGACCTTGTTTTGTTGTTGTAATTTTTACACATCAGACTATTGTCCACGGCCTTGAACCCCTCACATCGTCAGTTCAATCAATCTATTTATCATCATTGACCAAGAGATCCGTTGGGGGTGCGAGCGGAGTGTTGCTTCTCGGATCATCGCATTTTCCGACCTTTTCAGCGGTCAAGTTCGGTACCAGAACGCGTGAGGCCGCCCTCCGCCCTCCGCCCGACACCTACAGCATCGGCAGGGCTCGTCGATGACTCACCAGGTATCGAGTCCTCTGACTGCTAATGCTATCTACTCGCGAATTTGTTTTGACCGTCGTTTTTATTAAGCGGTCGAAGTGCCCTTTCAGATCTGATTAATGCCTCCGACGATGCATCCGCGCACCAGCACAGCATCCGTCGATGCTGCTTCTCCGTCCAGCTCGAAACGACGTCGCCGCGGCGAAGACCGCGTGGCTGCTGCATGCGACCTTTGCAAGAGCCGCAAGGTGAAGTGTGATGGGAACCTGCCTTGCTCATACTGCTGCAAAAGATTGCTTAATGCGTCGTGCGCATTCTCGGGACCGAGAACACATCGGAACGGATCTAACACAGACGGGGTTTCCGATGATGAAGAACCACGGCAGCGGAATCCCATATCACGATCTGGGCCCGGCGGTAATACAACGGCGACGACAGCAACAACAGTGCTTACTTCGACACATCGCGCAGGAAAAGTTAATGGAGCCCGACAAAACACCGCCGTTCCTTTGGAGGCGCGGCTCGTACGCGATGCACAGGGCAAGATGATTTTCATCGGTGATTGTGCGCCGCTATCGTTCTTGCAGACTGTGCGGCAGTTGATTGCGACAAAGCTCACCACGTCGGCCGAGTTGCCCGCACATCTCTCGCACGACTCCGTCATCGAAGTACGAAGATCGAAGCATGTCAATAACAATGGTCAATCCGAGGCGCGTTCCGCCCGAAGGATCCGATATGAGGAGATATCCGACCTACTACAATTTTATTACACAGCGACCAGCGGTCTGGTTGACTTTCTGGACGACGAAGCGCTTGAGCGGCAGGTAGAGGAGCGATTTCGCGAAATTAATGGGTCCAAAGGATCTGACCTTGATGAGCACGACGTTGGAAATGCTCTACTGTATCTGATCATAGCTATCGGTCTCCAACACATGGACGATGATAAACGTGCAGATTTCTGGTTCGAGCGTGGACGACGAATTTTGCTCTTGCAGTTGGACAGCGACATGACTATCTTCAGCGTCCGCGGATTTGCTTTGGTGTCAGTGTTTATGCTGAGAGGATGTCAGCTTAACGCAGCCTATCTCAATTTTGGTATGTAGTCACACTCCGTTCGCTAACGTTTTCACTAACAATCTACCACTAGGACTGGCTGCCCGTTCTGGTTATGCCATTGGGTTGCACCGAAGTGAAGTGAATGCATCTTTTGGACCTAAACTCCATGCCTTACGGTAGATCTGCCCTGATTATGAATTAACACGTGGACCTGAACACTGACGGCGCCCTTCCCGACAGGAATCGAATCTGGAAAAGCTTGCGAGTGGTCGATATGCTTATGAGCAATATGTTAGGTCGACCAACCTCGACCGCTGATATTGACTGCACAATCCCATATGACAAACTCGAAGATAATCGACATCATCGGCTCGATGCAAGTCTACAAATATTCCTTGTTATTGAACGTATCGTCTTAGAGGTGTATTCGCGGAAATGTATATCGCTTCGCATCGCAGATTACATCTCGCATCAGATCAAGCTATGGGCTGGCAAATGGATGGCAGACTTCACTGAAATTGTCGAAAATCCCCGACAATGGCTGAGACGAGAAGTGCTAGGTGCCTGCCGCAACTTGTGCTCGTATTACTACAGCATTATGCTACTCACCCGACCTTTCCTCATATATCAGCTGTACGACTACCTAGGCGTCTCATCCACATCCCGTGGTTCACACGCTGAACATCAGAACAAAATGAAATTTGGAAACGCTGCGCTCGATGCTGCGAGCAGGATGGTTGAAGTCATGTGTGGTATGATTGATGAAGCCATTAACCAGCGAGAACCAATGGTCATGTGAGTATGCGCAAAAGCCTCGTCACGTTTGCTGGCGACTAATAGCGTTTGACAGATCCTGGTTGTTCACCGCTTCACTTGTCCTCACAATAGGATTGCTCGGACCGGATGGGTCTTCCTTCGAGGAACACTGTCGTAAAGCGATAAAGTGCTTGGGATACTTTGCCGCCTCCTCCGACCCCCACGCGCAACAGTATCTGAATGCAGTGAATGCCATATTCGATATCACACGTACTCATGCATTGGAGCGGGAAGTACAGCACCGCAAGGAAAGGAAACGTGCTTCTGCCGCCTTATTTGGTCTATATTCCGGAACCGACCGCGTATTGGGGCATCAGGATTCGACTGCGTTACGTGATAGCGTGGAGATTGCAACAGAGCCACCCGAATCAAGCGCCACCGATTTGACCACCGGCTATGGGGATATATTCGCGCTTCCATGGCTTGAGGGAAATGACCTTGATCTGCAAAGCTTCCTGCGGCCCGACCGTGAAAGCGTGGAGGGCGGCTTCAACGGGGTTCCTCTCTTTCCAATCCACGACCAGCGGCCAACAAACACCGATCCAGATCTGCCGTGGCTGTGACAGAGCTTTTCCAATCCATCGAGACGATCCACTCAAAATACATCGTGAAAGCAAAATGAACGTTCCAGGGGTCGCTCAGATTGGACGTAGCACTCTGATGACTTATCAGTTACTTCATTTCACTGTTGACTAACAGCGAGCCCGGCCCCAAACATCGAAAGGCACATTCAGATAAAGTTCGTTTCGATCAAGCTGTCTTTCCTCTTAAGCCGTCGAAGTGCCGCAAGCGATTTGGCCGACACTTTCACGAAGCTCGTTCTACGCAGCAACAGCCGCCGCCTTTGTCTCGTCCCTCGATTGCTGCAGAAATGGCACGAGTGTGGTTCCTCCGGTGCCAATAAGCTCTTGTTTCGCATTGTTCGTAGTTCTCGTGAGCTTGGCAGCGAGATCAACGTCCTTCATCTTTGCAAACGAATTTGGCGTTCTGCTGGGGACGATGATATATCTCGTGACAAGCTGAATGTGTTTGTCTCGGAAGGCACTGAGGCTGGCAACAGCGTCGTTGTATGCCTCGAAAAGTTGTGTGTTTTCCCGATTGGCTTCCACGTATCGGCGTAGCTGCGATGTTGCGATCATGTCTCGGATGAACTTCGCGTGAGGCCCAGGCATGTACGTTCTCATCTCCTGAATTTGCATCAATTTCATGCTCTTTTTCGCCAAACATCAAGATGAGACCATCGCACATACCTCATGGAAGACGATTGTCTTTTCATGGACAACACCAAGGATCGCATCAAAAAATTGTATCAGCGAGCTTTGCCCATTGCTCCCGCCCCTGTATTTTCGCCAGGCTCCATTCCCGTTGCCCTCGTCATAAAAGACACCCTTCGGTAGGTGATCATTCAGACTTCCGGCTAGGAAAGGACGGATCCGATGGTAGAATACCTGAGGGTCACAGCGCTCGTCCATGCGCTCAAGCAAACTTGCGATCTCCAACAGGCTCTGGCTCAGAAATGACAAGCTTTCAATGACCACCTCCGAATCTTCGTCATCGATAGCCTTGAGCGCAGCTAACATTGCCGTGATCACAGGTGCAGCACGTGCCTCCATCGCGTTGGAGACGATGAAGAACCACGACTCATCCTCTGTGCCAGTGAACGTGATAAGGGCTCGCAAGTTGCCCGGTTGGGTCAAGTCGACTCCTTCCGAACATGGTGCCCAGTTCCAGAGATTGAGTGCAGCATATGATGCCACTGGCTGAAGCTCTAGATGTGAAGCAGCCGCCAGCAGAGGAATACTGATCGCTGGCGGGAGTCGCTGTATCGATCGATCAGCTCTTGTGACGGCTTGCCGGATTTTGATCTCGACGTACCTCGATTGGCTTCTGACCAGCCCATATGTAGACCTGAGCAAAAGCGGACAGTAATAGGAACGCTCTCTGCCACTCTGACTCGTCGAGGAGACTGGTTGTTGCTAGAGTCGGTAGCTTGTCAATGTGTGCCCGAGCTTGTAGTGTCGCGATCAGCTCTGGTAGACAGTCTGCGATATCTTCCCAAGGTTTATAATAAATATCCGAAAGACATTGACACGGAGATTCGGCGGGTAAGAAGCCATTGTGGGAGATTCCATATGAGCCGAACGCTGCAGCTGAAGGCGGGAGATCGATCTTGTGCGGACTCATGCTTGCTCAATGAGATGATATTACCAACGTCAAGGAGTCGCAGTGACAAGAACGTAGCCTCTCTAGCTCTATATCGGGAAAGTGATCATTATATACGCTTCACTTTTACTGTTTACCGCTTTTTAATCATCTGCTCCATCCGAATAATCTTGGCTTAGTACTCTCCGAATGTTGAGAATGCCTCGGAACGGACAAATCGCCGGATCATTACCGGAACGGAAGTGCTCAAGGGCAGGGAGACAATAGAGTTGCCGGTCAAGTCGGAGGGGCATTCGGATGATTAACTTGATACAAAATCTCTGAGTAAGGCTGTGGTAGCCCACGACCAGCCATCCTGGGTCGTTTTTATTTACCTTCCAGAGTGGCCCATTCGATTTGCCCGATTCTTATGTCGGAAGCTCAGGTCGGATGTCACCTGCCTATCTTTGACACCATGGTGCGGCTGGAGGTTGACGTCGGTGAACAGTCCCCAATTGGTCGTGTTCGAAGGCGAAGATGCATATAAGTCATATCTGGTCCAGTTCCTCTACCGAAATCTACTTGTAAATTGTAATAAGTCAAGCTTACAGGAAACTGCTATCATTCTACAATCATGGACACCAACCTAGCAGTCGAAAGCCTGCGACGTTCAGAGGCAGTCATCTGGCCTGCTAATGCGCAAACCTTTGATTTTGCACAACAGCTCGATCAGAACAAGGATCTCGTCAACTTCCGAGATGAGTTCATCATCCCTACAACAGCGCAATTGAGAAGCAAGACGCTGCAGGAGTCTCTAGAGATAACCAATTCATCCGCACGACCCAGCGTCTATTTCTGTGGCAATTCCTTAGGGTTACAACCGAAGGCCATTTCGGAGCATCTCAGCGCATATCTGAAGACATGGGGATCAATCGCCGTCGGTGGTCACTTCACACGTTTGGAAGACTCGCCGTTGTTGCCGTACCAGGATATGGCTGCAGAATGTGCTCGAAGGAGTGCTGAGATCGTAGGTGCTGCGCCGGAGGAAGTTGTAATTATGAACACTCTCACCGTCAACTTGCACATGATGATGGCCGCTTTCTACAAGCCCACCGAGAAGAAGCACAAAATTATGTGCGAATGGCGACCATTTCCTAGTGATTGGGTAAGCCTGCTCCTGGGAAGACTGACTACCCCTTCGAACCATAATTGACAATCAGGCCCCCAGTACGCGATCGAATCGCAAATCGAATGGCACGGTCGCATTCCGGCAGAATCGATGCTTCCCGTTCAGCCCGACAAGGGAACGTACTACATTTCGACTTCCCGGATCCTTTCGTTGATCGACCAACACGCCGATGAACTAGCCTTGATTCTTCTACCCGGAATACAGTACTACAGCGGGCAATTGCTTGACATTCCAACCATCACCAAGCATGCACGATCACACAATATCACAATCGGCTGGGACCTTGCTCACGCAGCAGGCAATGTCGAATTGAAACTGCACGATTGGGGTGTGGATTTCGCATGTTGGTGTACGTACAAGTACATGAATGCCGGTGCAGGCTCGATTGCGGGAGCGTTCGTGCACGAGCGACATGGAAGCGTGGTGAATCAGAAAGGCCTGCGCGGATGGTATGGAGGTGATAAATCCGTTCGATTCCTGATGGACAACAGTGAGTTATACGCGGACAGCTATTGTTTCATCCCCAGCTAACGCGAGGTAACCTAGAATTTGTGCCTACGCCAGGTGCCCAAGGCTTCCAAGTCTCAAATCCGTCGGCAGTCGACTTGACGTGCCTCACAGCGTCCTTGTCTGTCTTTGAGAAAACCAACATGTTCGAATTGCGTTCGAGATCGCTACTGTTGACCGCGTACGCGGAGTTTCTTCTGAACCAGATTACGGATCGTTCCTCGCGCGAACAAGAGCCGCCGTTCAACGTAATCACGCCATCCAATCCAATGGAGAGGGGAGCACAATTGAGTGTGCTAATTCGAGAGGATCTCATGGACGGCGTGAGTAAAGCCTTGGAAAATGCGGGTATCATCTGCGACAAACGGAAACCAGGCTGCATTCGAGTGGCCCCTGTGCCCCTGTACAACACATTCGGCGATGTCTGGCGATTCATGGAGACACTGGAAACTGCGCTGCACCCATCGTCCACGAAGTCGAAAAGGGACGATTCGGCCGTGAGGTTGGGAGAGTAGACCGGCGGCTGAGAATTTGTCGGGATAGAAACGGTTCGATGTCGCTTGTGGCAATAATTCAATTCACTTTCCATTCGTACAAACCACTCTGGTAATGTGATCCTGTCGTGTCCCAATTCAAGTATCTCTTTTAGTGTCGAAAATGCACAGGCGCCCAACTCCTCGCTAAATTGTGATGCAAAATTTCCTCTTTACTGGCCAAGTACTTTCTTGTTCTCTGTCCTTATTGTTAGTGGCGCCTCCTTACGATGATAGAAGATTTCGCAGATGATTCGTACTTTCGAGCTGAGTCAAAAGAAGGCCGTAGCGCTTCTTGAGGGTGACACGGTGTCTGCAACGGTCGCATGATCAGCAAAGGTTCTGCTTGATTGATTCTGAACAGATAGTCGTCGGAATGGCGCACCTCGAATATTTATCGTCGGGTGAGAATCGGGCTGGGTGTGCGGACTTGGTGACCTCTCCCTCAACCACTTTCTTCAAGGTATAAAGGCGCTTGCCTTCAGCATCGAGAGTAAACATGAGATGCATAACTGCGGTGTCGAAGATGATTGAGGTCTCGTTGAGTGGATTGTGATCGTGGTCGCGTGGTGATGTACAAGCTTGCAGAAATTCCGACTTGACAAGAAAAAGCTTTGAGGTCAAAAAGTCCGAGCTTTCTCTTAGCACAGAAGTTTAGGGTTGTCGCAAAGCCCTGCCAAGACATGCGTTCTGACCACATCGCTTCAGGGCTGGAGAGCTTCGAGCCAATGCTGTGATGTGAGATGTGAAGGTGTGTCACAAAGAGGTCGATCGCGGTCTGACTTCACAACATTTCGCTACACACAAGATGCACAACACATTTACAAGGATCCAAAATGTCTTCGGGTTCTTCACCTCTGTGGCTTTCACTGTCGCTGCCGTGATCGCCGTGAGCGTGCTCTTGTGTCCCCAGTCTCCAAGCGCAAAGCTTGAGCTACAAAATGTTAGAGTGTAGGTACAATCCTCTCGTCGCAATTGATTTTCGGAACTTCATAGATCAGATCTGCGGCTGACAGTCTTGATGTGAATGATAGTGTGAAAGGTCGCCCGCATTACTACAGCACTAAACGCGAGGAGTACGCTCACGTCACCTTTGATCTCGATGCCGACCTCTCTACCCTGTTCAACTGGAACACGAAGCAGATTTTTCTCTACATCACCGCAACCTACCCATCCGCCTCCCCGAGCACGATTCCTCCTTCAGAAGCCGTGATTTGGGACGCCATCATCCCTGCCGATGACGCACCCTCCCACCCCAACACATACGTTCACCCTGATCGCAAGGCGAAGAAGCCAGCCGCGGGCAGCAAAAATAAGAAGCGGGCTGCGAAAAAGGTCAAGGGAAAGCCTTACCCTGCGGGCACTAAACCCGGCATCCTGCGCCTTGCTTCACAGAAGCCGAAATACCAAATCACGGACGTGAGCGGCAAGATTGCCTCGCGAGGGAATGCGACTCTGACGCTGCATTGGAATATTCAACCATACGTTGGCGTGCTCACATGGAGCTCCCATTCCCCGATCACGAAGGCTTTGGCTTGGAGGTGGAAGGCACTGGAAGGAGGACAGAGCGAGGTGTTTGAGTTCCCACCGCTGTTGAGTGCGGAAAACGTGAAGAAGGAAGATCTGAAGACGGAAAAGGGTGGCGAGGCGCATCGCTTAATGGCTGGATGACCTCTCGTAGACCATTCTTAGTGTGCTGGGGTTTCCATCAGCAAAGCACTTACGTTAAAATCATTGCTCGTAAGGGCGTGATGGAATTTGATTATCCATCAAAAGTCAAGACGTGACACACGCAGTAAGATGTCTTTTCGTTAGAACCATTTCTAATTTGTGCCGTTAATCCCATGCGGGTGAAAATAATTTCAACAAGTGTACGGATGGTGTCCAGGTATCCGCTGGTCCCAAGCGGTCACTGGACCAAAAGAAGGGTATACAAAAGATCGAGGAAGAATTTGAAGAAGGCGGAAGCTCTCCTGTGATATCGTCATCGCCAACGAAAGCGTGGAGGAAAGGCGTGATAGCGTGGTGGACATGGCCGATCTTGGCGAAGCCGATGATGCTGCATGATATGCCTGGCCGCATTCTACGCGGGCGGTTGTTGCAAGCCACCATCGCCACTGACTCCCTCAGCCGTCATGATTCGTGGTCTCTTGGTCTCGGGTTTATGCCCCTCGGCGTTGAGGCCCGGCTCAATCGCCGCCCCGGTGGTAGAAGTTGCGGCAACGTCTGAGAGGTCCTCTTCTGCCTTCCTTTTCTCAGCCTCTGCGCGATCTCGTCTTCTCGCCTCTTTGTCTTGCCTTTCCTTGTCCTTCCGCAGTGCTTTGGATTCGAACTCATGCCAGTCGCCCTCCAAATCCGCCAATTCGACGACCTGAGCAGGTGCAGGTTCTTCGGTGGTGAAGTAAGCATGGGCCAGGACGTCGGCTGCGGATGGTCGGCGAGCAGGGTCGTAAACAAACATATTCGCCAAAAGGTCGAAAGCGGCAGGAGAGACCTTCTCGCGATACTTTTCGGCGAAAGTCGAGGAAGGTCGTACTGTTGAGGCCGAAATTGAGCCGGCACGGGGTGGTGGAAGCGGAGGGAGCAGGAGTTCGTACCATTGCAGATCGACAATGCCCGGCCACTCACTTCGTGTCGGCGTGCCAAGGACGTTGTATATCTTTTCTAGTTGATTGATCTCGCCGCCGTCTCCAGGGAAAATGGCGTGGCGGGTGAATATTTCAACTAGAACACATGCGGCACTCCAAATGTCCACGGCCGGACCATATTGTGTTTCGCCGAGAAGAAGTTCAGGACTTCGATACCAGATGGTGATGACACGATTTGTGTAGTCTTGTTTCTGTCGCTTCTGGTAAAAGCGCGCGAGTCCAAAGTCGGCCAACTTCAATTCCCCTGTCTTTGAGACAAGTATATTCGCGGCCTTGATGTCTCGATGTAGCACGCCTCGGCGATGAAGATAATCAAGGCCCTCGAATAATTGTTTAGCCAAGTGTTTTTTGTGGGCGTTGGTAAGTGTAAATGTCGGATGGTTCAGAAGTCCGGTGAGGTCGTGAGAAAGGTATTCGAACACCATGAAGCAATCGTTCCGCTCCACCATGACTTCTAAAAGTGGAACAATGTTCACATGGTTTAATGATTGCAGAAGTTTGATCTCTCGTATCGCAGTGACAGGAAACTGTGTCCATTAGCAAGACAAAAATAAAGGACGGTGAGTTGTCGAACTTACGCCATCCCGTTCACCCTCCATTCGGATCTTCTTCAATGCAACCTTGCCACCAGTGTAGACATGAGTCGCCTTGTACACTTTGCCGTATGTACCACTTCCAACCACGGACTCATTACCAGTTTTGCGATAGTAGACGCTATCTGACTTGGCGAACTCCTCGCTCAAGATCGGTCGCGGCTTGATCCGCTTCTTCTTGACGATTTCTTTCCGTACGAGTTGTGGCGCAGGTGGAATGCCGATGGATTCGATGCGTGTATTGCCATCGTAATTTCGACTCTTAGGCAGAGTGGCTTGCACCAATGGTGAAATGGGCGCGGGTGCCTTTTTCGAAGCAAGAGGTGATGATGGTCTTTCGTTCTCTTTCATTCTCTCAGAACCGCTACTTGTGCCAACTCGTCCCTTGATGGAGAAGCTGATTTTGTTGAAACCCCCTTCTGATTTGTTTCCTCCTCCCATACCACTCCCAGAGGGTGCCTCAGTCTTGCGCCTTTTCCGCGAGCCTTCGTCTTCATTGCGGAATACTACTGCCGGCCTGTATGGAATATCGTCGTCGTCTGGGTCGCCAACGGAGACGACCGACTTCATGTAAGTGCTGGGAGGTGCTGGTGCCAGTGTGACTTTTGATTTATCGCCAGTCTCGACAAGCTGTCCGCCTTTCGTGCCATCATTTGGTGTCCAAGAGAGGTTAGCGAAATGAGCCCGGCTGCCTCTCTGAGCAGGTGTTCCACGAGCAGCTGGGCGTGAAGATTCCCGTGATGACGAGAGACCGGAGGGCATCGGTGATGCATCAGTGCGCTGCTTGGTGGACTGCGATGCGTGATGAGAGTTTTCAAGTGCTCCCGATGAGCTTTGAGGATGATTCGATGGTGGCTGATGCGGTGTGAGGTCACCAGGCGACTCGTTCCGTGGATGATGACTGGAGTTCGAGTGGACCTTTTGCCCATGAGCTGGTGAACGCGAGGACGAATGATTCCGATGACGCGCATCAAATGATTGTCCGCCGCGGCCATACATAATCGCGATCTGTGTCTCTTTGACGGTCTATCTCTGGTGCAAGCAAGTCAGGATGTACAGATTGCTCTGTGCGTCTCGTGATTGCTACTCCCGAGCCTACAGTGCTTGTCAGGCAAGCCTTCTTAGCCAGGGTGAAATACCCGATCCCGCTCTTGCAAATTCGCAGGCAGAAGCTGCTGCCCCGTATGGAATATTCTGGTCTCGACTCTGTCTGACGCTCGTTGGATGCGACAAACTTGCTCGTGTCAACGGTACGCGACGCGGGCGACTGACCCCGTGTGTCTCCCAAGTCGACCCACAATACACTTAACCCGATCTTCGCGAAGTGCTGTACCGATGATGCCTGAAATGTCGCGAAAATTGTGCGTTTGGGACGTTGCGAAGCGGCAATGTCCCGGGACCATCCGGATCCGATCTCGAGCAAACTCAGGGCTGATTTGCACTACATGGAGATGCGCGGAGAGAAATAGATCGAGGTGGCGATCAAGAATGTTCTACGCCGCGACGTAGCCTTGTGCGCACACGAAGTTGGCTTGCAAGAGTTCGAAATCGTATCCCAGCTTGTCGCAACGGGTTGGCGGGGAGTTCGCGTGAATGACGATCGATGCGCGGATGAATGCGAGGAAGGGACACTCGAGGTGGCAGTGTATTAGCGACGGTGAATTTGCAGGAGGTCAAGATTTCGAAATGGCGGTCGCAATGTCTTGGGAGAGTAGAGCAGGGAGCGATCGTGATGGATTGACAAAGTCGATCCGCATTCGTGGCTGTAGGGAATAAATGGCTGGTGATGACCACACTGGCGTCGACTGAAGGGAGACTGCCGCTTTATTGTATATTTCCGGAGGCGGATGTGCCTGAGTTAGGGTTCGTTTGACGCTCATATTGTTTCATCTCTTCTGCAAGAAGATCTTGCTCATCAGTCCAATGGACCAAAAAGCACCACTCTTATTATTGCTCCGAATTACCGAGCAGGCCGCAGGCATCGGAACTGCAATTTCTCAAAATTGTTCGGAGCCCAATTGGTTGCTCTTCGAGCTGACGATATACCTAGCTGCCACAACCAGTCCTCCAACAGTTCTCATCCAGCCGCCTTTGGTTCCTTCATCAGCAGATCTAAGCAATGATCTTCAACGAATCATTATTAATGAAACGCAGATCTCTCTTCATCTGGTAGGCACTGGGATAGGTCCTCGCTCCGTTTGAGGCACTCAGGCCTCATCGTCGCTCGTATTCATCGACTGCCGTGTACGCGACTACCGACCTGGGCACGTAGGTACTAGTATATCTGCGTGAAAGCCGGCGTGCTACAAATGGATTGGGCTGCCTTTTGGCGACTGCTCCTCATTGCCCGCTTGTCCGAATGAAATCACACCCGCTCGTCCACGACCCCTGTACCGTAGAAGTTCCACTTTTTTGTTCGGAAGCACGACAATGACTTCATCTATTACAACCAGAAGCTCCAATCTGCGGTAGAGAGCAGTCCACGGGGCGAACCCTTATCAGATTGAACGGTGAAGCTGCTAATGAGGCGTGGATGATCTTCTCCGCCTCCCGGGCTGAGCGATGTGCGGCACAGCCCCCACCTCGAAGGACATTTGGATGTCCTTCGACAACGCGCGCAGTGACGCGAATCAAAGATAACCAGAACGGTTCGCAGTCGCCAGTTCGATTTCCTTGGACTTAGGGAATACATTGTTCATGCCATGTCGCATTGTATCTTGCTACGACACACAACACGTTCGTTCTAGGTTCATGCGACAGATTCGCGAGTCCTCCTTAGTGACCTCTATCCAAACGGGTCTGTAGTGGTCTTCTCGCCTTCCCGCAGCACCAATGTTCAGCAAAGCATAGAGCCCAAGAGAATTGCAACCCCATTTACTGGGTACTTGTGTCTAAGCGCCTCACACTGTTGCGTTGAATCGCGTTCTTACACTTTAGACACCCGCACGAACGAAGCTCGTCAAACGTGCCCCTTCAACATGTCGGAAGCTTTCATTAAGTACGCATACGTTGTGGCCCTTGCGGTAGCAGCGGTGTTTCTGCAATACCTTTTCAAGCCACTCTTTGATCCCTTGCGATCCATCCCAGGACCATTTCTGGCCCGATACACTCGGCTATGGCAACTGAGAATGTTCAACCGGGGCGACATACACCGAAGTACGATTGACCTTCACCGACGTCATGGTGAGTGACATCGACCACAGATAGTGCAGAGCATCAGATCTTATAGATGCAATCGTTGCGACAACGCGATAATCAGCCTTGCCCTTACTAAAATGGGACTTGCAGGCAGCGTCGTAAGGATCGGACCCAATCAATACAGCTTCGTCGACCCCGAGGCTGCTAAGGCTATCTACGCCATAAGCACAAACTTCAAGAAGTCAACGTTCTACTTTCCGTGGGGAGACCCGACCGCTGAGCAGCAGAACATATTTCAGGTCCAGGACGTGAAGAAGCATCAAGAAGATCGACGCAAGATGGCCCCCATGTTTTCTCTTACATCGCTTCTCTCCTATGAGCCGTACGTTGATTCCAGCAATGAGGTCTTGTGCAGACGGCTTCGAGGCTTTGCAGAACGAGATCAAACATTTGACCTCATGCGTTGGATGCAGTATTACGCTTTCGATGTGATTGGCGAGATAACCTTCGGTAGGACCTTTGGTATGATGAACCGAGGTGCCGATGTCGCGGGAACACTTGAGACCATCCACATGGCTGCTGTGATACCAGCTCATTTAGGAATTATCCCAGAGCTTACAGGAGCATTTCATTATATTACCGCCCTCCTCACAAAGGAACATCCTTTCACGAGTCTAAACAGGTATTGTGAAGGTGCTACAGAAGCGAGAAAAGCTGGAAAGGCCCCAAGCGATCGAGAGGACTTTCTGGCCAAGGCTCTAAAATTGGTTGATGCAGGCAAGATGGACGAGAGACTTGCCCATGTCACCCTGCTTGGAAATATCCTTGCGGGCTCTGACACGACTGGTGTCACACTCTCGGCTATTCTATATTATCTGATTCGCAATCCACCTAGTATGCGAAAACTTCAGCAGGAGCTTGACGAGGCCGCACAAAGCGGTAAATTGTCGCAACCGGGTACATTCAGCGAGGCGAGCAAGTTGCCATATTTGCAAGCTGTCATCAAAGAGGGTCTGCGTATACATCCGGCGGTTGGCATGCAAATGCCACGAGTCATTCCAGCTGGAGGGAAGGAGCTAGCAGGCCATTTTTTCGCAGCCAACGTGGGTTTCCGTGTTTTACTTATTGCAAACTCACATCCTGATTTATGATCTGCAGACTATCGTCGGCGTCAACGCCTGGGCACTCCATCGAAACGCCGATATTTTCGGTTCAGATGTGGACGAGTTCCGCCCTGAGCGTTGGTTAGGACTCCGCGAAGACGTCGCCAGAATGGAGCAATTCCTGTACTCGGTATGATTCGGTCCATTTGACCAGTGCTAACACCACGATTGCTGATTATTATATCTAGTTTGGGAGTGGATCGCGCTCATGCCTTGGTAAGCATGTGAGTCTATTGGAAATCAACAAAATTATTCCACGGCTTCTCCGTGAGTTTCAATTCGCTGGGAGGGGCGACAGCGTGTGGACAACCCACAATCACTGGTTCGTCAAACCTTCGTACCAATGTCGCGTGAGCGTTCGGAATCTTTCTGAGTCACGTGCTACTTAGAGTTCTAGCTATAGGACATTGGCAGCTAAGACCTAGATCTCATACATTCAAATAAATATCTTCCTACTTATGGTTTGCCTTTCTAAGTCGCGAGATTGTAACATCTTCGGGTAACTTGAAGAAAAGAAGCGCTAGCTTTGAGGATTCCGTTAAAGCTCGGGTTTACAGTGCGCCTTAGAGATAGTAAAGAAGCTTATTGCTAACATTGTATGTTAGGAAGTCAAACGCACTCTGATCCTGTCAGCAGTCTTGGCACAGCATTGCGTTCAACTACATGATTCTTCGCAAACCTTCCAGTTCTGAAAGACTAGTCAGGAGGTGCACATTGTTTATAATCCATGCTATGCTGTTTGCTATGAGAGTATTGTGATATTTTCCGGCAAATACCTCCCTATGCCACCTGCCAATGCCGCTCCAGATAACCCCTTTTGCTACTTCCGCGCATATTTCCAGATGCAACCCCTGCGAGGACACCCTCTGCGTTAGGTCCATAACGACCTCACTCACAGTCATCAATAAGACCTTGGTCAAAACTGTCCGAGCAAACGTAGGAGCTCGCATCATTGGTGTTGTTGCCCGCATTCGGCCGCAAGGTGGCCACCTTTGGATACAAGCACAACAGCCGGGTCGTGTTTGCGGTTGTCTGGCCGATCAGAGTATCCGGAGCCTATCTGCTATTTTCGGTACGGAAATTTTGGTTTGGGGGAAAGTTAGGGTTTTGCGCGAAGCGCGTATGTGTTTTAGGGTTTAGGGTTTAGATG